CCTTATCACATTGCTAGTCAAAGACTCCCGATTGACCTTATCGGGTCTAATAGCAACAAAGTGTGACATGGGAGCTGCTTCCCTATTAAGTGCTTCAATGACTGTTTCCTCCGGCATACGTCTGACTGCATTCCCATTAGGGTGTTGAATTTGTCTCTTTTCATTCCTCTTGATCCTTCCTTCAGCTTCTAGCTTGGCAAGGTGAGGGCAAATGGGGAGAGTATGTCCTATCTCTCCACATCCAAAACAAATCCTATTCTGAAATGGTGTTCCTTGTGGTTGGTAAAATCTGGAACCAGGTTGGGGTTGAGGTCTCCTTTGACCATATCCTCTTCCACCACCATTACTGGGAGTAGCATTCAATTTAGAACCTTGTAAGTCAGGAGACATTCCTGCACCAGCTCTGGGAGGGGGTGGAGAAATAATCTGCATGACTCTTGGGTCTAACTTAGTAACACGATAATACAAAAGAGCATACTGAGGATCCTCAAGTGACATGATATTGAGCTGCTTGATCAGATCCTCAATCTCATCACGTGGTTCCGTACATATAGCTTCCTTGTTAGCCTTGGCTTTCTTGGAGGTTTCCATAGGAGTTGTTGTGCCAGAATGTCTGTCCTTATGTCTAGGAGTTTCTTTAGCAACATGTCGCTTCTTCGAACCTTTCTTAGTAGATTTGCGAGGTTTAATCTCTGCCTCATCATCTGAATCAGATGACTCCTCGCTGGAAGTCAAGGATGATTCAGTAGAGTCAGAGTCCTCGGAGTCTGAAGATGAGAGATCAGTCTCTTCCTCGGAGATAAGCAGATCTGAATCGAAACGGTCCCTGTGAAGTAGCTTCTCTGCAGCTGAGATAACTTTATCCACGCCAAATGCCTTGGATAAATCCTTGTCAGGTTCCTTAGCCATAAGTCTACTTTCAATCTTAGCACGCAAATTCTTATAAATTCCTTTCCAAAAATAACCTGCATACTCATCTGCTGAAATCTTCTTTGCAGTTTGAAGCCAACCTGCAATCCTAATAAATCCTCGTACATACTTCTTCCATGCCGCTAGAGTGGGAATACGTTGTCCCCTCATAGCCTTAACATAGGAGAGTAAATCCTTTCTTTTATAACGCTTTGTGTCCAAATCAGCGTCATAATACTTTAGAATGTCTGCCTTGAGAGCATTCCAATCGGCTTTCTCATATGAGTCCAGTCCTTCAATGAACTCGGTGACATGACGTGAAGTATACTGGGTAATAGTTTCACATCTGTCCTTGTCAGTGGTGACTTGGTTATAGTCACATAACTTTTCATAATGCTTGACAAACTTTTTGACTTCTGTAAAGTCTCCTTTAAACTTCTTGGGAGCTGCCTTACTCCCGGGGATAGGCATAGTAAGAATAGAGTGTGTCATCATAGGCAGTGTTGATGGTGACATAGTTAACTGTGTGGTTAAGATAGATGCTGGGGAAAATGTCGTGGACAATTTGGTTACCTGGTGTGTTGGATTCTGAATGGTTACGTTTGGATAGTACTCTGAATACGAGTAGTTTCAATAAGAAATCAAGAAGAAGCCTCCCTCGCGGTTGGGCTCCAGTGATGTCTTAATAACCGAGGGTCTTATATAAATACGTGTAAGAATGTAATGACACCACAATTACACTGGATAAGACTTCTTGCCAGTCCTCGATTAACACGGTCTACGACTTTTCTTCTTTCGTGGTAGATAACGTGTGAGTTCTTGGGAGGCTCGCTAAACCAATCAGTCAGATTAACTTAGCCGGAGCTTTATTATCTCTGATTGAAACTATGGGATTGTCTAGGATATACCGTCTAGACACTTGAACTGGTTTCCTGAATATACGGTTAACTGTTGAGAAGCTGGTCTCAAATGTGACTACGTGGACCAAAGCTCGTGTTGGTCAATATGCAAATACCTGGTGAGAACGCTGGTCTCACAAATAACAACAATGACAAATAAAAAAAACAATGACAAATAACAGCAATGACCAAAGCTCGTGTTGGTCAGTATACAAATACCTGGTGAGAACGCTGGTCTCACAAATAACAACAATGACAAATAAAAAAAACAATGACAAATAACAGCAATGACCAAAGCTCGTGTTGGTCAGTATACAAATACCTGGTGAGAACGCTGGTCTCACAAATAACAACGGTGACCAAAGCTCGTGTTGGTCAGTAAACACTACGTGGTGAGAACACTGGTCTCACAAAACTGGGTTTCTATCGCGAGAAACTTATGTAATCTCAAGGGAAACACTTTCCCTGCACTTGTCTGGACAGTTCTTACAAAGGAAATGGGCTTTGTAAGCAGCAATTTGTTCAGACTGAAGCTTCTTAGGTGAGAGTTCAATTTGCTCAAGTGGGAGTTCTTGAATGCAACAAGTGGGAGATCTATTTTTTTGGGGGAGAATGGGCTCTCCTTATATACATTTTGTGTGGGAATATTATGTAAGTAAAAAGGTGATGTAATGACTTCAGAATGTGGGAAGAATATTCCAAAAACTGGAGCAGAATGTTCTAGCAGGTGCAAAAGAACATTCCAGAATATTCATGGTGGGATAATGACATCATTCTGAGTCACTATGAGTCACTATGAGTCATTATGAGTCATTGGAATGTTCTAGCAAATTCCATGGAACATGACATCATTATGACATCACTATGATATCATATCTTTCAACCAAAATACCTGCAGGAGTGTAGGTGAAGTCCTATGACATCATTATGACATCATACCCTGTAGGTACAATTTTATGAAGCATCTGATTAGTCAGAGCATCCTAATAGAAAAGCAAAGTAAAGAAACACTAGAGAAAACAACTCAGAAATAATGGAACAAATAATAGTACACAATACGCGGGGCTTTTTAGATAGGTTTTTGTTAGGCTTTGAACTTTTCTCTATGGGTTTCTCTAGCCAAAGTGAATAAGCCAAATGAAAGGCAATACATTAACCTTCATTTTGCTTCTCATATCAACTAGGTCATTATGTGATTCCCATCTCACATATGACTTTTCTTCAAAACATGGTGGATTCATGAATCGCTGAGGGAAAACTGAAACTATTGGACCAAGGTTTGATACCAAGGTATGGGTTGACTAGTCTGAGGACTAAGCTAACAGACTTTGTCTTTTAGGGGGATACCTAGTAGTCATGTCCATGCATGATTCCCAAATCATGCAGGACACCGCCCCGCCACTCCTATATATGGTATCTTAATCTATCTTGACAATCTATTACACGATCAATATCTGCTCTACAATATACAATCCCAGATGCTTCACTGATTGAAGATACTGTTAATGCTACTTTTGACATTGCGCCATGCAAGTTCCAGTTGCAATGTGCACATGCACAATTAGATCGGAAAGATGTCATTACCATTGCTCCAACAGGCACGGGCAAAACTCTAATGTTCTGGATCCCCCTCCTGTTCAATAATAACGGGATTGTAATCCTCATTACCACACTCAATGGGCTTGGCGACCAAAATATCAAGGAGTTGCAGCAGCTAGGTATCTCAGCAGTCAATGTAACTGGCGCAAATGCAACAGATGACATGATTCAAGGTATGTTAAGTCTTGTTCACTATTATTGCAATCATTCTGAGCTATGGAGCAGGAACCAAGAGCCGTAGATATCAAGTAATTATCGCGAGCCCCGAGATTATTCTCAGTGACCAGTGTTTCAATGATCTATGGAGAATGAGGGACTTCACGGTGCACCTGTTTAATGTCACCGTCAACGAGGGGCACTGTATCAGTCAATGGGGAAAGGACTTTCGCCCCAAATATGTATAGTCAGCTTGGAAGACTTCACTGGCTCCTTCCATCGCATGTACCATTTCATATCATTTCAGCAACCCTACCAGCACACATCCTGAAAGACGTCATGGTATCCCTGAATATGTGGGACAAGAACACCTGCATGATCCAACTTTTGAATGACCGACAGAACATACAGGTTGCTGTTGTTGAGATGCTCCATTCAGCAAATAGCTTCCACGACATCAACCGTATCCTTCACTTACTGCAAGGAATACATCCCCCAAAGTTCATGATATTCTGTAACTCAAGACAAGACACACAGAGAATGACCAAGTACCTCCACAGTCAGCTGCAACCAGAACTCCAACTAAAATTGTTTGGTTTCACTCCGGAATGATGCAGGAATTCAGAACTGACATGATGGCGAAGTTGCGCAGCGGTGAATTATGGGGGATGTGTTGTACAGATGCTGCAGGAATGGTCAGTTTGTTCTGTCTCGCTGGTCTTAGCTCAACCATACATGTTAACAGGGTCTGGACATTTGGGATGTCGAGTTAGTTGTCCAATGGGGATATATACACAGTCTCTGTACCTTGATGCAAAGGTTGGGCCATGCTGCTCGAGATCCCTCCATTGAGGCAAGCAGTATTTATTTTGTTGAAAAAGATTATAAGAGGAAGGGGAAAGGGAAAAGGGCAAATGGGAAATGGAATTCAAGAGCCCAACAAGATTCCCCAAAGAAGGCAGCACGTCTGGAAGGAGTTGTGAAGAGAAGTAATCATGATGACAAGAGCAGTGATAGCAGTGGTGAATCAGATGGTGAAATCAATGATACTCTTGCAGCGTCTTGTAGGAATACTGGGGTTGTCACATCCACGAGTTCTGGAAAATCCTGCCATTGTCTACTGGTCTGGACATAGATGAATTTAAGGTAGCAGCCATGGAAGTTTTCATTGAGGCTGGAAACTGAACAATTTGTAGATGCAGAATTGCAGACGAGTATTTTGGGAATAATCTGATCGGTGAATCATTCTATTCTGATGCGGTAGTCGTTGACTTGACACCTATAATATAAGAGAACAATAATGACTCAGATGTCTGCTGTAAAAGATGCAAGAAGCGCACAACGAGGCCGCGCTTCTGCTGTGATGTTTGCACTCCACACGTGTTCCTACTTTTCTACACCTCACCTCCAGCAAAGCCCAAGCGAAAATGGAAAACGATGCTTCCTGCTTATAAAATGGATACAAGAGACTATGCACTACAGACTGACCTCAAGACCTGGCGCCAGAAGATACTTGTTGATTTGGGGATCAATGATCCATTTTTCAGTCCTGCTCTTATTCTTCTGGATCCAATCTTAATGCACATCATTGATCTCTCCCTTCACTCAAAGCTATCCAATGTTGCTTCCCTCCAAGACTTAACAGACTGGTGCTATGCCAATGAGTATGGTAGAAATATCTTGGATTTGGTCCGCAAGCATTATCCCCTGCTGACAGCTGTGCAACCACCTCAGCCTAACATGTTCATTAATATGTCCAATGTGGTGTCACTCTCAACAGCATCAAATCTGCTTAATCCATCGGCCCACTCTGCAAATATTCCTAAGAAACCACGCAAAGTAACTGTGTGTTCTAAATGCAAGCAATCCGGCCATAATGGTATGTCCATTGTTCTGTTCTGCAACCTACCAAATTAAAGTTGAGTCTTTCTTAACAGCGAGGAACCATCTTTGCCCAATGCGCGCAGGTCCTTCTAACACCAACCTCAATCAAGAAAACATTCTCCCTAGCGGCGCTACTTGTGTCAATAATCAATGACGTCCTCTGCCCCCACTAAATCCACTTCTCCATCACAGTCCATTAGCGCTTCCTTGCCTTGTACCAACATAGTCATCCCTGTACCAATCTCATCCTCCACTTGATGGTCAGCATGTCTTCTGGCTGTAAATATATGTGGTGAGTGCCTTCATACTTCATCACACAGTTTTTGCAAAGTTTTTGTCATGTTCGGTGGCACATGTTTTATGGTGCACTGTTTGACATGGCATTCCCGGTAGAGTTCAATCAGAGGGGATTTGTTGATGATGTGTTGGATCGTATGATTTGATCCTTTCCCTGCAAAATGACCTATTTTCTTGTCATGTTGCCCTTCAGTTTACTGATAGAAACATTGTACCTTGTATACAGATTATTCCGTTCTACCAGCCAATCCACGGGTCAAAATTTGAAGGCCCTTCTGGTTGATTTGCAAAGCCAATTCAGTTGGATTAGTTGTCTGTAGGTATTGTATTTTCTGGTCAATGTGTAACACATTGACAGAAACATGCACTGTAGGTCCTCGGGATAAATGTACCCGCATCTGTACCATAAAGCGAGCTGTATGATATGCATATTTGTGCTTTTTTGTTGCTTTGAATATGTAGATCCACAACAAGAAAGAGGCCTTGACTCGTCCGATATCACCACTGTTCATCGCATGACAGAGATTGACATAGAGTAGTTCATCACGGTTGGGCAACACCTGGTTTTCGAATCGCTGATCACGCTCTTGTCTAGGTCGTTGACACAGGTTCATAAGTGTTGTTGTATTGGCAACAAACTCGTTGACTATGTACTCTGACATCTCGACAATCAACTCCCATGATGGCGCACATTTTGCGAACACTTCGAGTGAGTCCCATGTGCTGTTTATTGTTTGAGCCTCCACTAGCCAACAATCTAATATTGACGCCCAGAGATCGTGATGCAGAATGTCATGCATCCATCGAAACCCTGGCTTCAATGCGAACTTTCCAGTCTCACGGGGCCTCAAGACACCAACATGCTGCCAAAGGCTATTGATGTCCGTTCAACCAGCTTGTGGTTGGATCCATGTATGCCATAGTGCATCGGCACACACCATTTTGAAGTGAAAGAGACCAGGAACAAACACAACGTGCTGAAAGCAGTGTTTAGGTGTGTCCTCAATATGTCGTGATTTGATGATCGTGTCTAATTGTTCCTTGGTTAAAAGGTCTCCATGGACAAGGAGGACATGCTCAGACATATCAACATCATACTGTGGATCAAATCCAACCTCTTCACACTCCCCAATTCTGCCTTGTCTCAAAAGGGTGTCCATAACCTTGATATTTCCATCAGTTGTTGACTGTTTGATGGGCATTGCTTGGCAAGGTACTTGTCTTGTCTTGTGCAGTGGGATGGCATTGATAACAACCAGATCGTCATGGTGATGTTTTAGGAAGTCGAAATACTTGCCGTGGTTGAGCAGGATGTCACGAACATGCCAGGCAAAGTTCTCCTCGCATGGAGATAGATGTTTCCCTGGTGGGATTGTCCCATAAGAGTTTTCTTGATGAAAAATGCGCAGATCCTTTGTGGTGAGTTTCCCGGCAGCCAGGGATGCTCTAACTAGGCCGCTTGATTCATTCTGCCATATCTCATGTGAGCACTGAAGGACCACAGGGTTATTAATACCATACAAAGGTATTGTGGTTGCAGAAGTCAAACTAATGAATTGGGACTGGTGCTCGATTGTGGGCTGTGCAGTCTTGAAATCGATGTCAAAGTTGTCATAGGCAAGTGCTGTTGTCAATGTCCATACGGCTTGTTTGATTTGAGCATTCGCTTCTTTTGACAAGGATCTTACAGCTGCTGCAATGGATTGTGTGCTGATGGAGATACTGGTGTGTGCGAGTGCCTCTATCACTCTTTGCGGGGTGCCAGTTGAGTGCAAAAATAGACTGAAGATGCACTGGAGTGTGTTGCAGCGCTCATTTGAGCTCTGTGCAAAGATGCATGCACATATCACAGTTTTCTTCAGTCAATCAGGTGAGTACTATGTCTTATTGTCTGAGAAGTGTCACAAACTATGATCATTAATGCTGTATTCCGTTCTTCAGCTCGTCGTTGCCGTTCTGTACTTTTGGATTGTTTTCATCGTCACGCTTCCTCTTATTCAAATTATCAATCATGGTGGAATTGTTAAGACCGTACTCAAGTAGTATAAGATCCGAAGGGCTTCGGCCTCAGCTCGTGCGCTGTGCCCCTTTCCCGAGTCTTGCCCCTTATTTCAGAGAGCTAAAGTATCGTGTCTAGTGAGACGGATAAGTATTGTAACGGATAAGTCTTGTATTGCAACGGATCCGTTAAGACTTCCGGATATCGAATGTATAGAGTAACGGCTAATCCGGATCGGATCCGGACTAGAAACTACGGGTGAGGACTGTCCGAATGACAGAGGCGGATATGTAGACTATAGGAATCTATCCTAAGTCTCAGAGTAGACAAGAGTAGTGTACTCAAGTCCGGACGGATAACAGGGGGACTTAGAGTCCAGACGGAATGAGTGCAATCTAAGATGATATTCAACTGATCTACTACAGCGCATATACAAAGGTTTATATACTACGGATGGCTAACGGAATGATCAATAAGCAAAGGTGCGAGGCTATGAACGAAAGTATAAGCAAAGTCTAAGTGGAGCGTATTGGTAAGTCGGATGGATCACAAATCATGAACCGGGAATGAAGTACAAGTAAAAGCGGATTTGTAAGTGTAGCGGATCAGTAAGCAAAGCGGAAGTAAAGGATAACCGGTATAACCGGTGTACAGGAATACCGAAAGGAGATGAACGATAGTTAGAGTTATATGAACAGGAAATGAAATAAGAATCAAAGCGGATCTGTGGACCGGACGACGGATATGTTCATTGGATCTGGATCGGATCTGTAACCGGATATATGGTATATGACAGGAATCATCCCCTCCAAACTTGCCTAAGTCCATCTCTTCATCCTTGTGCCTGTCCTCCTCATATTCTCGCAGCATATCTTCTATGTCCACCACTGAAAAATTCCGCCTTCACCCTGGGTTCACATCCAGAAGTGCGAGTAACATTTTAAACATATTTGGCGTGATCTTTTGATTTTCAGTGCGAGTTTGTGGATGAATGAGTCTTCAAGTTGCGTAGATGTCGTTTTTGTTGCTTTGAAATGCAATCTGTTGCACTCACTCGACAGATCAACCATCTCGTCACAAAGAACCCCCGACAACTACTTCAAACGCCTAGCCAAAGACAACCTCGCAGCATCCAGTGGACAAGAAAAGAAGATGGCAGATTTCAGCTGCATGTTGCCACAGTGACTCCTTTATTAGTTGATAGTTTCACTGTGGTGTTGATATTATTGCTTTTGTAAGGTCCAACAGCGATATTTCATTTTCAAGCATAAGCTGAAGGACACTGTTCATAGCATTAACTGGAGGAATGGCAGGCATCCTGAAAGGGGAGGGGGGGTACAGCTAACATCTCATTGTCTCATAGGGATACTATTTTAAATGTGTCGCTGTGTGCTCTATTACAAGTTCAATGTGTTTGTGTATGTATTACGAAAGGACATGACCATATATGGGAGCGGCGGGGTGGGAGGCGCTCGTTGCTGACTCATACTTAGATCTGAATATTTTAGGTGAGACAAACAGTGTTCAACTTTCGCGCCACAACAAGTTTTGCCAGTCGCTTGTGGGGAGTTGTCCTCCAAAATTTCGGCTATAGTATGATGACTAATGTATGGTTTTATTTGTATTGTGGCTCTAGGATGAGAGGACTTCTCCCGCGGGTGGCTGGGTAGGAGTCTGTGTTTTTAGTTACCTTCACTAAACATTAAGTGACATAAGCGGGAAAGAGCAACCAGTGATTTTCCTGATGTCATAATGGTCATTGGTGTGCTTCAAGGATAAGTGCTTGATTGAATGGGAGGAACATGATCAGGGTGCCAGTCACATGTCAGTGGTGTGCGTCACTGCACACTTGTAGATGTGAAGACAAGGAAGATACTGATGAAACTAACACATCATGTCTTGATGGAATGACCATCTGTGATCGAAGGATATTCCGCCAGGCATGATGGCCAGTATATGTACTAGTCTGATGACTCTGATCAGTCCATCGCTGTTTTTGTGTGTTGATGCACGATGCGATCACAGCACGTGTGTTGGAGTATGATGTTTGGCATACTGCGCACTATATATGTTCGATTGCTATTGAAGCAACTCCCTTCTAATATGCAAGGGTAGTGATAGCGCGAAGGACTAATAACCTATAGCGACCTAAGACCAAAAACCGATGAGTAGCGCTATAGCGATCAGCAACAAGTGAGTTCCGACAGAGAAACGTGCATATAAGTGAGATGCGCTATGCAAGTTGTTTTATGCGATAGCGTTATGCAACGTCCGACTAGCAACAGCAAGAAGAAATCAAAAGGAGCGAAAGCGAGGAGTAAGGTAAGACAGTGCAAGTGAAATGCCCGATAGCGACTAGATTATAGCTCGACTACCGATAGTGATCCCGACATTGTGAAAGTCAAACTTAAGAGGGAACTTTAGTGATGTGCACTTAAAGCAAGTCAAGTGACACGTGATCAAAGAGATTGGCAAGAGCGGAATCAATTGCACCAAGACTAGGATATAGTGACTAAAGTGACTCCGACACCAGCAAAGGTCCGGGGAAGGGAAGTACTGTACTGTATGTGCGACGGGTCATTTTATCATACTGTGTAAAAGTTCGGGAATCGTAGGTGAGAATAGTAGCGACACTTGCGAGGGCATGATGTAGTGACAGGTAATAAAACATGCTGCACTGCAGAACACGAGGATACATGTAATAAGACCTGCGACTGATGAGTAGCAACATTTAAGGAAAAATAATGCACCAGCGGAGGTAGGTGGACATAGGCAGGACATGGGACATCAGGGAAGTGATGTGAAAATGGTAAAGTTTTGTCAAGCTTTACCTGATTTAAAATTTGTATAATATCTATCAAAATGATATTTCACTAGAAAATGCTTTATATACCCGGAGTAAGTTGGATGAAAACTCCCACAAGCACAATCATGATAGTCTACCTGCAATTACTTGCCATTTCTCACCAAACCAGCAAATGTTGCCAACACTTGACAGCCATGACAAAGTTTGATAATGTTGGGTGGCTTCAAACAAAAGCTAATTTTTCAACCTTTGTACACACATTTTATTCCAAAAAAAATTCATTTTGTAATTAAACAAACAAGATGTAAGTACATATATACATATATAACACTACAAAAGACAGAAAATGAGTATAAGAGGGAGGAGGGTCCAAGAAGGAGGGTCCGCAAAGGAGGGTCCAGGAAGTAGGGTCCATGAAGGAGGATCCAGGAAGGAGGGTCCAAGAAGGAGGATCCATGAAGTAGGGTCCAGGAAGGATGAACCAGGAAGGAGGGACCACGAAGGAGGAGGAACCAAGGAGGAGGGACCATAAGGGAGGGACCAAGAGGGAGGGACCAAGAGGGAAGGCCAAAGAGAGTGAGAGTTTGAGATTAAGAGTGTAATTAAGTGGTGGTGGTAGCATTGAGAGAAGGAACTAGTAAGAAGACTCTAATGTTGAACTTTGAAAAAAATTCGGACTTACATAAGCATCCCATAGGGCCGAGCCTCTTGATCCCAAGTGGTCACTGGTGACCATAGGTGACCATGCAGTCGAGAAATGCTGGTACACTTGCCTATTTTCATCAGAATTATACATTTTTTGCCATATCTTATCCTTCGCTACCAATTTGCTTATCTTATATATTATTTTGTCTACTTTTCTCATTACATATAATCGCGTGAATTTTTGATCTGATCTTACCAACTACAACTACGAAAACCGTTGCCTCAGCGATTTCCTGATGGAGGACGGAATACCTAGGCGCCGGACCGGTGAAGGATCTTCAACTCAGCTGAGGGTGCAGCTGATATAATTGTTGAAGGGAGGAAAATATGAGTGCGATATGTTCGTCCCTTAGGGGAAGCGGAGAAAGCAAATATCCACTGGTCAACTCTAGGGGGAATGCGCAAAGCGCGTGATAAGGCGAAAGCGCGGGAACAAAGGCGCTATAGGCGCGCGAAGCGCGGGAAAGTCGCGCGTCGAAAAGCGGAACTGGGTGAAAGCGGTATGCGAGCGATAGTGAGATGTTAAGACGTGTACTGAGATGCTGATAAGACAACTGATGCGGATATGGCCACTAGAGCTAACTGCTACTAGGGCTTGCGATGATTTATTCAAAACATAATAAAAACTCGGAGATGGTGACTGTCTATGATGATGGTGGTCCGTGGTAATGTGTGTTGTTTTCAGTAAAAAAATGTGTAATGAAAAATGTGTACCAAGTGAAAATAAACATGGTACGATGTTGAAATAAATGATAAATGGAGAAATGCATACCTGGGAACTTGGTTGGACATGGGAAAACACAGTGGGAAGTCAGGCGCCCTATAGCGCTTAGGCGCGGGAAAATTCGCCTAAAGCGCGCGCAAGTTGCGCAAGTGTCGCCTATGTTGTGGAAGTGTCGCCTAAGTCGCGCGCGTCGTGCAAACGTCGCGTTTATCGTGCAAGTGTCGTGTTACATGCATGATACTGTAGACTCGACCTATGTTGCAATATGTGCCATTGTGAGGCTACCCAGGATCGAGTCTCTACACCGGGTAGCGCGCTATGGGAGAAAAGTGGTTCCAAAGCGGATAGCTTGGGAGCTGAGTAGTGCTGGTGACTAGCGCCTTACTCTTTTCCTCTGGGCAAGGCAAAATATGCCTATGACACTCATACGCACCTAGCGCTGGTATGACCGTCACAGCGCGTCTTCTATTTTGAATTAAACTCATCGAACATAGAACCATTCCTTCTTCAGTGTTAAGACCGTAGCTCAAGGGTAGACGGATCCGAAGGGCTTGGCCTCAGCTCATGCGCTGTGCCCCTTACCCGAGTACGTGCCCTTAATTTCAGAATGAAGTCCAGATGGAATCCGACGAAGTCCGAAGGACTTCCGGAGGCTGGCTACTCTGGTTGAGTGCTGGAGGACTTCCGGATGAGCGCGGGAAACTTTCGGATGAGTATAGGAAACTCTGGAAGAGTTTCACCCGCTGCATTAGATCCGAAGGTAAGCTCCCTAGATGGAAACACATAGAAGATAGGCTGCAAGGGACAGAGTCCAAAGCAGGATAGGGTAGGAGGAGTGGTCCGAAGGACAGGACGTCCGGAGGTCCGAAGGTTGCGTCGTCCGAAGGTTGCGACGTCCGAAGGTTGCGACGTCCGAAGGTTGCGACGTCCGAAGGTTGCGACGTCCGAAGGTTACGACGTCCGGAGGACCGGAGGAGCGGACAGGATTCTAGGACAAGAGAAGAAGGGCTACAACGGACAAGGTCTGGAGTAGAAACAGACGGAGGTAGACTACACTATGGTAGAGTCAGATAGACGGGGTTTAGACAGAAGTCTCGGAAAGACAGGAAGTGCCGGAAAGGCAAAGCTTCGGCTTAGGGAGTCAATCCCTAAGCATGGATATAGATGGAAGGATAAATCCGGAGGACCGGAAGGTTGGCCTAGGGAATCCTTCCCTAGGCCTAAGGAAAGGCAATACTAAGATGGACCGAAGTCCGAGATCAAATGAGTGAAGTCTAGGATGCGAGAGAGCAAGTCTATGTTGAGCAGAATCTAAGATGATATTCGAACTGAGGAAACTTTACAGGAGTTGTACAGAGGTTTATATACTGGACGGGATCCGAGAGGATCAGTAAGCTGAAGACAAATGCTATGTACGAGCATGTGGAAACATATTGGTAAGTATGAACGGAACATAAACAAATGAACTCGGAGATGAACAAAGTACAAGGATCAATAAGCAAGACGGAAACACAGATAACCGAAGTCCGGAGTCAAGAGGATTACCATAAGGAGATAGACGCTGATTTAAGGTTTGAGCTTCGGATATGAGTATAGGTCGGATCCGGAGGTCTAGAGATATCGGATGAGGCGTCTGGATATCGGATGAGCGGATCCGGAGATCTAGGTGAAGACGAGACTAGGATATAGATCATGGATATCATCCGGTAGTCTAGGGAAGGTAAAGTCTCAGGTAGGATGAGCTCGGATCCAATGGGATCAAGGGTGGATGAAGCAGGCCTAGCTGCGGAGGTCCGAAGGTATGGATATATGGATGTACGAAGGTGTACGGATCCGAACCGATAGTGGACTGGAGGACTGCAGGCATGGATAAGGGTATGGAGTCATGGATAAGGGTATGGAGGTCCGGATGTGCATCCGGAAGGCGTGGGAACATCATCGGACGTAGGTCCAGAATACGGGATATGACATTCAGGTGAGAAACCTGTGTGCCGCCACATTGAGCGCATATAAATACTCGACAGAGCGTAATCTTTCTCCTAACTACTCTTAAACTCAAATGCCCACCATGGCACCTACTGCTCGTCACACACGCTCCAAGAGCTCGCAGCTCGCTTCTACGAGTAATCCGAGCACAGCCACTCCCATAGCTGTGCCTATTACTGGCAGTACCATACCTGCGTTAATGACGGCAACCACAACAACTCCAGTGGCGCGCGCTACCATCACAGCAATTACCCTTAGTCAGACTGACCTGAAGGAAATCGAGATCTTTGATCGCAGCAAGAACAACTTAAGCATCTGGTCCAACAAGATGAAAAACTACCTCTTCTTAAAGCACGGTGGCGGGTATATTCTTGGCCTCATCCCACGTCCGGCCCCAGCTGTTGACCCTTCCAGCGCTGGTCACTGGGACCTCAACAACCTCTGCATTATCGTGGCACTTCGTACCTGCTCTAGCCCCAAGGAACAGGTGTTCCTGCGCCCCTATGATAATGTGCATCTCGCCTGGAACACTCTTCAGTCCCAGCATGAGAAGATAGGCCCTATTGCCCAAATCTTGCTGATCCAGCATGCCCTAGCCATTCGGTATCATCGGTCCGAATGTCTTTCTACCACCAGCACTGAAATTAGTGACATGGTGAGGCACATATATGCTATCGGAATCCCAAAAGAGGATGACTTCACAACTATCATCATGCTCAATGTGATGAATGACGAGCTCACCCATGTTTGCAACCACATTGCTGACGCCCTCTCCACTAGCACTTCCACCTCGACTTACGGACCCATGAACATTTGCTCCCGCTTGGACATGGAGCAGCAGCTCATCGATGCTGATAAGAAGGGTTCTAGTGATGTGGCTATGGTTGCTGGTAAGGGGAACTGCGCCCATGAAGCTTGTCCAGGTAAAACCTGTTCTGAGTGTGGCGCTACCAGTCATTCGACTTGTTGCTCTACCTGTAAAAACTGGGGGCATGTCGCTAAGGACTGTTTTGGCAAAGGGGGGGCTATGGAAGGGAAACGTGACGAGGTACTGTCTTGCAAGCGTGCAACACGCAACACCAAGAGCTCTTCCACCACAAAACCTTCTACCAAGCCTACTACTACCGGTAAACCTGGTGGTCTACGATATGACACCGCTGGGCGTGCTTATCTGCTCAACAGTGAGACTCACGAGGCTATTTACATCGCTGCTATGTCTTCTACCTCCACACCTGAGCCTCTGCCCTCCACACCTGAGCCTCTGCCCTCCACCCAGGAGTTTGCAGGTCTCGCATACGACCCTCTCCCCTCTGCTCACATCCAGGATCTCCCTGGCTCTGATGATGAGGAGTACAACACCTTATTCATGGCGACTGACGACTTGAAGATGAGCATAGATTGGCAGACTCACACAAAACATGTCAACTTCGCCGGACTCACTTACAAAGCACCCAATCAATGCAAACGCACCATCGTGGACCCATCTCTAGTTCCCTTCTTCCTCGATAGCAGTGCCTCCATCCATATCAGTAATGCCGAGGAAGATTTCTACTCTTTGCGTCCGGTTCCTCCCTGTGCTGTCAACAGAGTTGGTTGATCATTCATCCAGGCCATTGGTATTGGGTCTATTCACCTGATCATTGCAAAAGGCATCCATCTCACACTCAAAAACATACTGTTTATCCCCGCTGCGACTGTCCATCTTATCTCCGTGTCTGCTATTTGCTCTGCTCACCAATGTATTGCGTCTTTTGATGCTTCCTCATGTTGGGTTCAGGCGCGTAGCGGTACCCGCATGCTCACTGGTACCCTCACCTCGCGCCGTCTTTATGCCTTGTCTGGTGGCCAACTCTCAGCAGACCATGCCTACCTCGCCCAACACCAGCCTAACTTGCAGTCCTGGCACCGTTGTTTGGGTCATGCTCACTATCGCGCAGTTCATGACCTCGCATGTTCTGGGAATGCTACTGGTATGCCCATTGACCTATCTACTCAACCTCCCATTTGTGATGATTGCGTTCTTGGCAAGCAGACCAAGTCTAGCATCCCGAAGGTTCAAGTAGGGGTTTGTGCGAGCAGGCATCTTGGTATTGTACATGTTGACTTGATGGAGCATCCAGATGTCATATCCGCGACAGGGCATAAGTACATTATAGACCTTATTGATGACTTTTCCTCCTACTCCTGGTCTATCCCGCTTGCATCTAAGAGTGATGCCTTCCCTGCGCTCGTCGCATGGGAATGTGCTCGTGAACTCGAAACCAGCCTTAAGGTCGGCATCTCCCGCTCAGACAATGGCGAGCTCAAAACTGATGCCATGCGTGAGTGGCTCCTCACGTGTGGTACTCAGCATCAGTTCACCGCACCTTATACCTCGGCCCAAAATGGTCGAGTTGAACGCCTTCATTGAACACTTATGGGTAAAGCGCTTGCCATGCGATCTGCATGCAATGTACCTCTGAATCGTTGGGACGAATTTGTGATTACAGCCTGCTACCTATCCAACTATACTCCGGTCGTCTCTCAATCGGGACACACTCCTTTCAAATGATGGTTTAACCGTAAACCTGATTTATTGCATCTTCGTGAGATTGGTTGTCGCACATTTGTACTGATCCAGAATCATCACAACCCTAAGATCTACAATCAGTCTATTGAGTGTGTCCTCATTGGCTACTCCCTCGATTCAAAGGCATATTGTTGCTATCATCGCACCACGCATAAAGTATTTGTCTCTTACAATGTTTCATTCATTGAGTCTCACCAGGCTAGCGCTATTCCTCTGGTACCTGGTCTGACACTACTCAACCCTACAGTGCCTGACCCTCCCGTGCCTGCACATTCTCAATGCACTACCATCGAGGAAGTACATGATGATGAAGGTTCTACCATACCACCTGTCACTGATCCTGACGCTCCACGTTGTTCCTCACGTACTTCAGTCCCATCTGCGTGTAAAAGTGCTCTCCATGACCTTCCTTACACCTCTGCCACACAGCACACCATTCAGGAATCCCAGGCCTCTGCTGAACGAGTTCATGCACTTCACTCCTCTGTTTCCTCTGACCCTACAGACTTAGCCCAATTTGTCGACCTCCTGACCACTATGCCTGATCACCTCGCCACTGAGGATCCTGACGACCCTACAACTTATGCCGAGGCGATGGCATCGCCGGATGCCACTTCATGGCCTGCCGCCCTTCAGGAGGAGTTTGCTTCTCTCTGTGACCTTGGTGTCTACAAGCTTGTGCCGCGTGCATCCATACCTCGTGGTCGCAAAAATCATGAAAGGGTGTCCGGTTTTCAAACTGAAGTGTGATGAGTATGGCCTACCTGTTCGCTTTAAAGCATGGTATGTCTGTAGAGGTTACTCAGCTGTTTGGGGGCAAGACTATACTAAGACCCTCCGCACCTACTGCTCATCCCGAGTCTTTCAGCATCCTCACTCATCTCGGTGCTGGTCTCAATTGGGAGATCGATCAGCTTGACATCAAAACGGCTTTCCTCTATGGCCTACTTGACCCTGATGAGGTTTGCTACATGGAGCAGCCTAAAGGTTTTGTTGAGGTAGGCATGGAAGATCATGTTGGGAGCTCCAACGAGGACTCTACGGAATGAAGCAGGGAGGGTTAGTACGCTCGTACCTAGGATACTGATTCCTGTGTCTAGGTACAGCTTAATATTGGTCCATTACATCAGACTGGACAACTTCCTGGGGAAGTAATGCATTACCTGTTATAGTCACAAGTTAGACGTATTGCATTAACGGTTGCAACTGCAATACCCAGAAATGCATTACCTCATGATAGCTACAAGAGCCTGATAATGGCGTTCAAGAAGAAGAACAGGCTTGATTGATACATGCCGCCGGCAGCGCATAGGGTACTACAATAGTGGCATTCAAGGCGTTTTTCCTGAAAATTCACTAAGCTCAGTAAGCTCCATGAAATGTCGGCAAAGTTTGGTTAAGAGTTCAAAGAAATAGCCTGAAAATCCTGACATATGAGCGGCTCAGGTCAGCATCACAGTCGGACTTCAGGACGAGACTTAGTGATAAAAAATGCGGTCAACATCATGATCAAATAGCCACAGTCAGATACATGTATATGTAGATAATACAACTACAATGATGTTTACAAATCTCAGCAGCATACACAAAAGCTATTCAATGTGATAAGGGTGCAGGACGAAGGTGCAGGAAAAGTTGCACCTGCGTGACAATGACGAAGACGCCCACAAACATCTCCAGTTCCATCAGATGCAAATGTCCGTGGAGCTGCCAGTGTCATTCAAGTCAAAAGTGCAGACAAGGGCACGATACAATGGCACAAGGGTGCAGGCAAAGGTACAGACGAGGGTGCAGGACGAAGCTGTGGGACAAGAAGGTGTAAGGGTGCAAACGAAGGTGTGCAATGAGGGTGCACTGCGGGGGTGTGAGACAAAGATGCAGGCGGTGAAGTTGGTTATGTGGGTCGTGGATGTCAGGCGTGTAGAGCGTTGTTGCTGTGCTCGTCATCTAGCAGAAGAGCCACCAACCAAAATTAAAACTCTGCTTGAAAATGTTGCCATTTCTGGCAACGGTGTCCCCTATTGATGCAGGTGATAAGCTTATCTCTTCCTTGATCCCCCAAGATGCCTCGTCTCTCCATGCGCAATCAGCTGCTTGAGCAACTGGATGAGGCTGAAACTAGCCTTAGCCAAGGCCAGGCTAGAACATTCTCTCATTACCCTTAATGATCTCTACGATTCTGACTCTGACTCTAACTCTGATTCTGACTCTGATTCTGATTCTGATCTTGGCCTTGATCTGATGGTCACTCCTCCATCTCCTCTTACCCCACAATTCTCCGACCTGTCAGATTCTTCTTCTAGTGATGAATCTGATGGCTTCACTACCCATTATAACCGCCTTCATGATACCATTGCAGCCCTCTGTGATGAGGTCACCAGGGCCCGTGTTCTTCATAAACCAGATGCTCCCCCTATGTGAGCCCCCCAGATTCAGCTCCTTCATGATTTTGGGCGCTCTCGGCACCACCTCTTCCATAAGAAATTACGTGTCAATCCCGACATCTTTGATGATATCCTCGATCAAATCTCTGATCATCCCATTTTCACTAATTGGTCAAACAACCTTCAACTTCCCATTGCCATTCAACTGGCTATATTTCTCAACCGTGCTGGCCATTACAGCAACACTATCTCACCAGATGATGTGGGCCAATGGGCAGGTGTCAGTGTTGGATCGGTAATCAATTGCAGTAACTGTGTGATGATTGCCCTCCTTGATCAGCATGACACATTCATCCATTTCCCTGCTCCTGACTCCGAGGATGCTGAGCGTGCTCGGCAATATGTCGAGGCCAAGTCTTGCCCTGAGTGGAGAAATAGTATCTTTGCAATTGATGGCTCAGCTATTAATTTGTATGAGAAACCTGGTCTTTATGGTGAGGCATTTTATGACAGGAAGTCTAACTATTCCCTCAACTGTCAGGTATTTTTTTTCTCTTATTCTAACGGTTAGAAATTAATAAAAAATTCAGGCAGTTATTATGCCCCATAATCTCCTCATTGCCGATTATTCACTTGGTCACCCTGGAAGTACACACAATGCTTACGCCTTCAAATCCACTCGTGTTTACCAGGAGCATGACACACTCCTTCCTGATGACCATTGAATTTGGGCTGATAGTGCTTATCCACTTGAGAAGTGGTGTATTCCACCTTTCAAGAAGCCTCGGAATGGCAGGTTGACAAGGGACCAGAAGACCTTCAATATCTACCTATCCAGGGTATCTTCTAATTTTTCTGCTGATTTTTAATTTTTTTACTGATTTTCATTGATTTAATTTATCTAGGTCAGTGTCTGCGTTGAGCACACATTTGCTGCTTTGAATGGGTGTTTTCAGTCTCTTAAGGAGCTTCATCACCCTATGCAGACCCAGAAAGACCTCCAGATTACTCTGCATTGGGTTAGGTGTTGCCTTATTCTTCACAACATGATCATCAAATTTGAAGAAAAATGCAACAAACCCACAACCAGATGGGCCATTCAAGAAGGGCAACATACTCTGCGTCCAGAGTATGAAGGACCAGATGGTAATGAAGTGGTGGGTGATAGGTCAGTCCTCACTCAAATGCTCAGCATAGGCAAGGATAAGTTGAAACAAGTGTAAGCTTTGACATGCAAATGTACTACATACATGCTAGTAAGTAGTTGTAGAATTATCAAACAAATGACAACATGCAGTGGCGAGAAAAAAAAACATATGACGAAGTGCAAAAAACAAAGATAAAACAGAGATCATTGCTTGTTGAGCTTGGCATATTCAATACGCAAGAGCATCACCTCCCTTTCTAACTCGAGAGCCTTCGCATCCGCTTCCCACAAACAAATCTCCTGTGCCTTGTTCTCCTGCAACCGTTGATGGACGAGCGCAGCGTCTGCGCACTCATGGGCGCGCTCCTCGCGTAGGAGATGGTGCTCCTTGTCCTGCCGATTTGCGTTGAGCTTGACCATCAGCCGCTCATTCTTGAGTTGGTACAAGGCGAGCTTCTTGGAGTGCATGCTCTCAGGTTGTCGTTTAGCATCTCGACCTGTTCCTGGACCTCCGTTCAAAGACGCTTCTTCACCGACTCCCTGCTGCTCGCTCTCTCAGAGAATGAGGTTTGGGAAGTCGGAGATGCCTGCTGAGGGGAGGACGGATTGGACCATCCTGATGAAGCCTTTGATGAAGAGGTGGCAGAAGAGGCACTCTCACGCATGATGACTTGATTGGCATGTGATTTGAACGAGCTGCGACTGTCATGGTTGGAGGTGCGGGGAAGAGGTGCAACAGGCTGGGGAGGCGATGGAGTGGGAGACGAAGGTAACTGTCGCTTCTTTCCACGTGCCTTTTTTGATTTGGGCGGGCTGTCCAAATTGTACACATTCTCGTCACGACGGATGTCGTCCATGTCGTCCATATGGAGGTCTTACATACCATCAGCAAGCTGGCCATCATCGAAAGGTGGCTCATAGTCGTTGAATTCCGGAGGGGCCGGAGAATAATCTTCATGGCTAAATGTGGGAGGAAGGGGCATATGGGTGAAGTGGAGGGGGGAGCTAGCAGTGCTGCCTGGACGGTTGCGTGCGGGAGCTTGCGAAAGCTCCATTGTGGTGAGGAGCCAGCGGCGCCAGTGCTGCTGGCTCCCTGAGTGTATTGAGGGAGAAGGCGGTTGAGTTGGGGGGGGGGGGAGCCAGCAGGACCAGTAGGTGGAACACTCCGGGGAAGAGATGCATAGGCCATTTGCACAGGGGAGTCAGTTGAGCTGCCTCCAATACTTGGAGGAGGGCGGGGATGGTTTATAAACTGCGGGGAACCAGAACTGCCTGTGGCAGAGTTAGGGATGGATATGTTGAGTTGCTGATGGGCGACTGAAGGATGGTTCTGTGAACCCCCCACAGGACGAGTTAGCGCGAATAGGTCACCGGCATGGTCGGCACCTGGTTTCGATGAGCTTGTTTTGGCACAAAACAAGGGGTTCGATCCCCATATCCCATAGAGGTTGTTGTACCACGGAAATTCTTTCTCGATTTTACCTATGTATTTTATTAGTGGTATCAATGAGATGTGAGCAGGACACTCACGATGTAAGTTATCAGATGTCTCCGAGTCAATCGGCATGATGCCTGCGCCTGTAGACTCAAATTCAGCCTGAATATCAAGGAATTTGTTCTGTAGACTTCACATCATTCAGTCAGCACGACTTCACATAGCAAGATAGATAGAGAGACACTTATGATGCAATGCAATTGGCCACAGAGTCATGGAACTTGACAGGGTTGGTGGCATACCAGCTCCCATATATATCATTGTTGTGAAAGATACAATTTGCGATAACACTGTGGATCTCCCCCTTGTCCTTGCCCGATGTGCAGCCCAAGTCAGCTTGATAGTTGTTAAACTTCTTACTAGTCTCAGTCGCAATAAAATGGCACAATCGGGTGGATGATCAACAAGGTAATCGACAAGTTTGTTGGTCCGCATAGGGACGTTGTGCCATGAAATGGTGGCTGGCGACGAACCTTGGATATTGGTCCCTCCCCCTCCCCCTCCCCCTCCCCCTCCCCTTCTCCCCTTCCACGAGTAACAGGACCGAGCGGTTCCATTTGTTTCTTGCTACCCTTGCAAGACAATGGGTTGATGTTCTGAGAGATGGTCTGCAGGCGTGCAGACTGACAAAGTTGTGGTCATAGGGCAGGCATCACATTTCACACTCCGACGACATGCCATTGTTCGCCGTCCTTGACTAACCCTGAACTTCAGCGAAACTCAAGATAGTTTAGCCGACATTTCATGGAGCTTACTGAGCTTAGCAAATTTTCAGGAAAACCCCTTGAATGCCACTAATGTTGTATACAAGGTGAGATATTAGTAAGGGACCGCTATTTCTGGGAGGTACAGATCTAACTCGGCTTCACTAGCCGTCATAGTCTTGGAGGCACTGCCCACTGAACACACAGCATTACACCTTGCCCACTTTTTCTCAAAACAGTCAACGAGATCCTCCCTAAGCCAAGCCTGACGACAGGCATAGGCGCTCAGACCCTCATTATCGGCAGCAGTGGCAAGCATGCATTCCAAAATCTTCTTGTTCCACCAGGTTGCGTGCCACTTAAGAAAGCAGGACACCCGGTGTCCTGCATGATTTGGGAATCATGCATGGACATGACTACTAGGTATCCCCTAAAAGACAAAGTCTGTTAGCTTAGTCCTCAGACTGGTCAACCCATACCTTGGTATCAAACCTTGGTCCAATAGTTTCAGTTTTCCCTCAGTGATTCATGAATCCACCATGTTTTGAAGAAAAGTCATATGTGAGATGGGAATCACATAATGACCTAGTTGATATGAGAAGCAAAATGAAGGTTAAGGTATTGCCTTTCCTTTGGCTTATTCACTTTGGCTAGAGAAACCCATAGAGAAAAGTTCAAAGCCTAACAAAAACCTATCTAAAAAGCCCGCGTATTGTGTACTATTATTTGTTCCATTATTTCTGAGTTGTTTTCTCTAGTGTTTCTTTACTTTACTTTTCTATTAGGATGCTCTGACTAATCAGATGCTTCATAAAATTGTACCTACAGGGTATGATGTCATAATGATGTCATAGGACTTCACCCACACTCCTGCAGGTATTTTGTTGAAAGATATGATGTCATAGTGATGTCATAATGATGTCATGTTCCATGGAATTTGCTAGAACATTCCAATGACTCAGAATGATGTCATTATCCCACCATGAATATTCTGGAATGTTCTTTTGCACCTGCTAGAACATTCTGCTCCAGTTTCTGGGATATTCTTCTCACATTCTGAAGACATTACATCACCTTTACTTACATAATATTCCCACACAAAATGTATATAAGGAGAGTCCATTCTCCCCCAAAAAAATAGATCTCTCACTTGTTGCATTCAAGAATCTCCCACTTGAACCAATTGAACTCTCACCTAAGAAGCTTCAGTCTGAACAAATTGCTGCTTACAAAGCCCATTTCCTTTGTAAGAACTGTCCAGACAAGTGCAGGGAAAGTGTATCCCTTGAGATTACATAAGTTTCTCACGATAGAAACCCAGTTTTGTGAGACCAGTGTTCTCACCATGTAGTGTTTAAGACCAACACGAAGATTTGGGCATCGTTTGTTATTTGTGAGACCAGCGTTCTCACAGGTATTTGTATTACTGACCAACACGAGCTTTGGTCCATTGTTGTTCTTTATCATGTTTTTCTATTTGTCATTTGTTGTATTTGTGAGACCAGCGTTTCTCACCAGTTATTTGTATATTGACCAACACACGCTTTGGTCCAACATAGTCACATTTGAGACCAGCTTCTCAAACAGTTAATCATATATTCAGGAAACCAGTTCAAGTGTCTAACGGTATATCCTAGGACCAATCCAATAGTTTTCAATCAGAGATAATAAAGCTCCGGCTAAGTTAATCTGACTGATTGGTTTAGCGAGCCTCCCAAGAACTCACCACATATCTACCATGAAGAGAAAGAAAAGTCGTAAGTTAGACCGTGTTAATTGAGGACTGGCAAGAAGTCTTATCCAGTGTAATTGTGATGTCATTACATTCTTACATGTATTTATATAAGACCCTTGGTTATTAAGACACCAGCACATCTCCTCCTGGAGCAGCTCAACTTCTTCTGCCCATCGCATGGATCTCGCACGAGCTTTGCACCATTCAACCCTGAGACCTAGCGGCAAGATTAGTGTCCATCCGGCATGGCTCATGTTCCAGCTTACTATCCTGTACCACCTCATCTACATCATCCCCGACTCCCTCCACCATCCAGATCCATGATAATTTTCTTTGACCTTCACTTTCACCTCGCTTGGGAACTGACATCCCACGTATATCAGTCTTCTTGTCAAGAACCTTGTATTTGTGATCCCAGCCAACCTTTTGGAGCACGTGTGCAAGAGATGAAAGAGCCATATGAGCCGCACAATACTTCTCTGTACCAGCTGCTGCCCTGGCTTCAACACAACTGAGGGCATTCTGGGCACGAGTATTTGCACTTTGACCGTGAATCCAGTCCCTTTTGAAGGTATACATGTAGTCCCACAGGTGAAGGCTTTGCCTTATTTCTTCGAGGGCATCTCTTGCTTGAGCATGTCGTAAGTCCCACTCAGTCATGAGGAGTTGTTCATTACAAGGTATGGACTTGATACACAGAGCGGATGGCAGCCAGAGTGGGGAATCTTCGGGTTTGATCACATCTGAGGGACTACAGGAAGGTGACTCGACCCTGGATTCCAAGAGCTGTACCATGGGCATGTAGAGTGATTGAATGCATTTCCAGGTATCAATTTTACGTTGTAAGGCATTCCTCAGTTGTTGGACTGTACCCAATTGTGTATCTGTAGCATGCTGACCCTGCTTCTCACTATGGACCTTCAGACGACGCCTGGTTATTAAAAATGAACAAATTAGAATGAAAGTTAAGTTAGATAATGCTACGTACTGTTCGTTCTCCAGATCAATTCCTGATGCAATGAATACACTTGGAGATACATCGGGGTGCATGGAGATGTCAATCCCTTGCTGTAGTTCACCCACTTCCAGTTGGGCAAGTTTGAGAGCAACCGCAGCTTGGGTGATAGCTTTTAAACCAAGCATTCAGCTTTTCAATCAGATGCAGTACTGTGCTACTTACAAATGACCTTAGCTTCAAAGGGATTGGTGACCGACGAATCATTTGGATTGTCCTCCCAGTGTTCAATTTCAATCTTCCATGTTCCTGTTGTCTCCAGTTTCAAAACTCCATTAAGTTCTTCAAATGCCGTCTGATGTGCTTTGCTTTCCTTCTCGGCCTCATCCATCTTGCGAAGGAGTGTTGCACCTGTCATAGGTGAGATATGACCATACGTATTCACTGAAATACTCACCAATACCTATGACCTTTTTCCAATTCCAATCACCGAAGTGATCATCAAGCATATCTCTCTGTGAACCTGGCCCCATTTCCTTTGTGCTGGAGGCAACTGGGTTGATATTTGACCAACCTTGTTCAGGAGCCTCACCATCCGTGCATCCAACATTCTTAGAGAAATTGAAAGAGAACATAGTCTGGCACTTGAGAACATGTGCCGGTAGATGGAATTTCGGCACAAAAAACCTTATGAACTTGGCCACATGGTCGAGATGAAGTTTGGAAGGCATAGCTGACATCCTCTCCCAGATATTCTTGTGCCACTGGCAGGCAATATCATACAAAATATTGAGTGTGCTGATGCCGCGTCCACAGAGAGTTGAAAAGAAGAGATAATCCATATTGGTGTATCTATGTTCACTAGTCAATGCCAATCATTTCTCGCAAGCTGTTATGTGATGTACCTTTCACCTTTTTGCAAGTCACCAACACCATTTGGCAGTTTCATATTATGTTGTGCGCAATCAATAGTACCGACTCCCTAGACCCTGAGCTATCTTTGTGTCGCCATGTTTACTGCATTATGCGACGAACATGTACTTTTCTAATAAAACAGCTTGTCAGAGTGATTCATAGCATACCCATATAATTCACCTGTTGTAGTGTGCCGCCATGAGATTGTAAGTATGTCTTGTATGCAGTCTCCTCCACGAAATATGCCCATCCATTACTAAGGCCAGGGTCAGCACTGTCTTTTGACACCATACATCGTTTGAGTCAGAAATTAGCATCGATAGCGAGAAAAAGACCATATAACCAGCTGAAAAATCATCAGTTACATGGATGAGTCTAGATAGAAGCCGCACAAACCATGTTTCATTTGGCACCTCTTTCCAATTGTCAGGAAGGTTTCTGCTGGGCTGTGGACAAGCCAGGCACAGCACAGCACACTCGCCACTCCCAGTGTTCTCCACACCAGTGGGGTCATAGCCTCGACCTGCTCGCTTGAGCATTTTCAAGTGTCTCCATTCACGGACAATCCACATGAATGCCTCATAGCGATCCTAGTTAGGGTAAGATGGATAAACCGCACATTAAGATGGAAGCACACCTTTCAAGGTCGAAGTCCTGTGTTATTGGTAAGATGGACGAGGGAGTGGTAAAACTCGTATCCTGAAACTTTAGATTCAAATGATAGTAGATGATATTGCTCAAGGATTTGGAAAGTAGTTGCGGTGCATGGGTTGGTGGACGTCACTGGAAACCAGGCTGTGCAAAGCAATTGCTTGGTACGTGTCTCGGCAGTCTCGCAGCCACAAAATTCAAGGCCAATCTCATGTATTCCATCGGCGTCAATGAGAGTAAAATCATCATTGAATGCCTTTTGAGGCAGCAAGCAGCATTCACCTGCTGGGTAACCAAGCTGCATGTGCAACCCTAGTTTCTTCAGTGAGACAGGCACAAAGTGCAAACCCGTCCACTCCTGCAATAAATTGTCTAAGTAACTGCTATATCATCTTGTAAGGCTCGCACCTGAATTCAGTGTACTGGAGTTTAGTGTGCAATGTAACAATGCAGCTGTGGCAGTACAACTCGGTACCAAAGCAATCCTTACAGCGAAAGTGTGGCATGCCAGAGTAACAGCTCCTGCAGACGGTGTCATGAACATAATCCCCGCAGCCCTCATGTCATAGCAGCTCCTGCAGAAAAAAGTCTCGGTCCTCCATCCATTTTAACAGCGGGTGATCCTGATTAGTAGAAAGGCGATTAACTTGAGATATTGAAATACATCAAGAAATACTTACACCTGCTGTACGAATCCGTTTATTTGTATTAGCAACTTCAGCTTCTACTTTGAAGTCGCATTCCTGCACTTCTGAAGAGTAATCAACATAGTCTAATGCTGGACCTTCTTCCACCCCGGTATCAACCTGATGTTCTGATGAAGACTGTGAACTGAGAATTTGTGAACTTCATGCAGTCAGTCCTTGACTGCGTGAAATAAATGTGTATGATGCATGGATGCTGGAGGCATTAGGGTCGGGAGGTAGATACAAATTCAGCTTGACTCATTTGCGACTTCCTCGCGGCATGCCAGCGCCTTTGATGTGCTGCAAGTGCAGTCTTACCCAATCTATTCTTTTCTGATGTGCTTCGCATGGTTAGTAATAGTATCATTGGTAAGCTGAATGTCAGGATAAAGTTGCAAACTCATTGTGATCATAGTATGTGCGGGAAGTTATACAATATTGTAACTCAAACTACAAGCATATGATGAGATGAATGACTTCACCTTTTGCACTAGTCAACAGTCACTGCGGAAGTGAGAAACTGATCAGACCATATTCCGAGGGAGAAAATGCAAGTGAGCAGACACAAAACGTACCTAGCTGTTAATCCAATGCAAATCCGATGTATCGTAGATTTTGAAGCAAAGCCTTCATTTGGTCCACAGCTACAAACATAAACAGATCCTTTTCAGACTTCACCACCATGTCTTTTCCGATGTCCATTTATTCTCTTCAAATGCTTGCTATTCCAACGCTATCTGACCCGGGAAATCCACTCTTTCAACGTCTGCATATGATTGGATTTAAGTTAGGTACATTTTTCGAAACATTTCTCTAAGTCCATCGTTAACTTGCACTATGTCAGACAATGCACATAAGATCAAGCTTGAACTACCTTCGAAACTACAGGCATTTAGTTTTACCTTTGAAACCAAGCGACCAGGGCCTATGGTAAGTTTTAGATTTAAATACAACCAACTAACTAAGTACCTTTGTAGACAGTCAAAATCACGCTCAGACAGTCCACCAAGCGGCCCAGATTACTACAAGTTCCTGAACATGTCGACCTCAGCATGACCAAACCCAAAACTCCTGACCAACTTCAAGTCATGTACTGGCAAGAGGCTCAGAAATATAAAGTAAGTACTATGCATCCTTGTAACTAACTAATATGCTTGGAAGAAGTCTGCAGCTGGAACCATGGCAAGGATCAACACATTATATGGGACGGTGTTTGATGTTCCTGCGCCGGCGGCTTTGTGGCTTCACCAGCCTGAGGCGGTCGACTGAAAAAATCATCCACCTGTGGCAGCGCATGACCGCCAGCATTTGATAGCGGGGTTCCAGGAGTCAGTAGAGGCGGAAACTGGTATGGACTCAGGTTTGAGTCATGGCCTGGGGAACCAAACCGGTATGGATTCGAGTTTGAGTCATTCATTGGCTGATTGTCTTGATTTGGGAAGGTACTGGGAGGAGCACCACTAGGGTGGTGTTGTGCCCCATACATTGTTAGATGATCGAGGGGATGAGGGGAATGGGGAAAAGCCAATGCAAAGCAACCAGAAGCTGGCAAATCCCCAGAATCATAGGGATCCACACATTTGTAACCAGATGCTAATCCGAGTCAAATATGATTGTATTCAGATGCAAATCAGACATATGGTTTAGGTTCTACTGTTTCTGTGCACCTCTGCAACGTCGAGTTTTCCAGTGTTGGATAACAGTCTGAATTGAGGATCTCTCCAGGTTCTACCACCTCGGAATCCATGTCATTTGCTACATCTGTTTAGATACTGTTTACATCGTCTTTTGGTACCCTTTCCAGGTCTGATCAGTTTCTCACTTCTGCAGTGAGTGTCTTCCCAGACATGAAGATCAGTAACATACCTTTTGCACCAGCCAACACTATCATCTTCCCAGACATGATAAGCTGAACTGTTCATGGCTATATACTTGCACGACACCAGCCATGAGTCTCCTACACCCTGTTAGTACGACTTTGATGGACACTTTGACGAGATTTTGCCTTACATAAGACTGTATCACCCGATTCCCAAGGGTGTAGGAGACTCATGGCTACCACAACAGACCTAATGCATTTCATGTAGGACATCCGCCGGTTATTGTTGAAAGCTGTGAAAGTACTACGTACTTGTAGATAGTTGGAATTGCATTTCATGTAATGCATTTAATCTAATGCATTCAATCAGATTCTGTTAGTACGACTTTGATGGACACTTTGACGAGATTTTGCCTTACATAAGACTGTATCACCCGATTCCCAAGAATCTGATTGAATGCATTAGATTAAATGCATTACATGAAATGCAATTCCAACTATCTACAAGTACGTAGTACTTTCACAGCTTTCAACAATAACCGGCGGATGTCCTACATGAAATGCATTAGGTCTGTTGTGGTATGCATTACTTTGCCTGAAAACGGATCTGGCTGCTCCCTCATTTAAAGGCTGAGAGACGGTCACAAAACACATGCCTTGCTTTAAAGCCCCTGCTCTGCAATCACCACCAGCATCTCTGCTCATGGTTCAAACTCTGTCATCCTTAGTACCTGGTCATGTACCACCTCCCACTGAGTACGTATCTAATACTTTCACAACTTTCAACAATAACTGGATGTCATACATGAAACGCATTAGGTCTGTTGTGGTGTGCATTATCTTGCCTCAAAATGGATCTGGCCGCTCCCTCATTTAAAGGCTGAGAGACGGTCACAAAATACATGCCTTGCTTTAAATCCCCTGCTCTGCAATCACCACCAGCGTCTCCATTCATGGTTCAAACTCTATCATCCTTGGTACCTGTGCATGTACCACCTCCCACTGGTGTGTGATCTCTCTTCTGCAATTGATGTATTTCTCATGTCATTATTTCAGGTGTATTTGCACCATCCATCAGCGCTAACATTGCTGAGGATTATCTTGATCTTGGTGCGTGTTCTCACTCTCTCCGTAATTGATGTGTCTCTCATCTCTTATTTCAGGTGTATCTGCGCCATCTGTCAGCGCTAACACTGCTGAGGATGATCTTGATCTTGGTGCGTGTTCTCACTCTCTCCGTAATTGATGTGTCTCTCATCTCACTGTTCCAGGCATATCTGTGCCATCTGCCATCACTAACATCATTGTTGAGAACAATTTTGATGCATGCTCTCCTTGCCATTGAAATGTCTCTCAGTCATCATATCACTTTTTAGGTGTATCTGTGTCACCCCCCTACAAGGGTGACATTGTTCAGGAGACTGACTCCAAGACCTTGAATTCAATTTATATATTCTTGACGCCATCTTTCACGCCCCATTCAGACGTACAGTATGTTGAAGTCTACGAGGACGAGCGACTATATGCGACAGTTGCCGATGAAATGGTGGATGAATGTATGGTGTACTACCATTGCGGTGTGTTGTATAATGTGCCAGCCAGGAGTGCTAAGGATGGAGTCCATCCTCCATTCTTCATTGTGACTTGTGGGCGCCACATTGGGGTTTTCTGTGGATGGTAAGTTACATGTTTATTGAAGTTTGGGTATTTTATATGTTGTTTTTAGGCAGAGCTTAGCACCCATGATTGAAGGAATTCGTCATGCTGTATATGCTGAGGCCGACTCAATCGAGGAAGGTGAGAGGGCAGTCAGGAGTGCAATTGAAAGAGGGGACATAGTTCGATTCCAATAGCATTGAAAGCTTTATCTATTATTTGGCAATTTGATTGTGTAACCTTTCCTACAGTACCTACTCCGCCTTGTCATGCATTCATGTCCGATGCTTTCCACACATCAAGTGGCATATGACGCGGATCTGTCCATATGTCATTCGTGCACACCCATACATCTAATCTTCCAGCGCAATCTATGTCAAATTTGATTTTTTGATTGGTTAAGGTTTTGCGAGAATCAGGGGACATCCTGAAAACCTTCACAGGTACAGATGTATCACTGCGAAGGTACCATGCATATATAGCATCATGTCGACGAAATGCAGCATACAAAATATGCGGTTTTGTCGGGTTAAACTTCAGCTGTAAGGAATGAGATAAGCTTTACTGCTAATTCTCCAGGCAACATGTCTGCATGACTCTGGAATGAGAATATGCGCCTCCTATAGGCATGATGGCTGCTTGATTTGACTCCGAATACAGCACAATATTGTCCATTGCTTGTGAGGAAGGTGTTGGGCTGCCGATCGTGTAGTAGTCATAAGAGGAGAAAGCTATGCTGGATACAATGCCTGAAATTGGATCAACATTCATACGATCTAGGAAATTTAATATCTTGCCTTTGAGGCCATCCTTGCTCTTCTTGGAAGGTGTGGTCGGGAGCCGATCGCCCTCCCCAGGTTGCTGTATGTCAAATATCTCAATGGCATCTTCAAAACCGCAGTATAGCCTTGGTGTGGGTGATGCCGTGGTGATTATTATCAAACATAAACAGAGTTTTCATGACGGCTTACTTATTAGCTGTTAAGTTGAATGCGAGACTATGAGGAGCAATGAACCTCTCACAATGATTGATAATTGGGTATGAGGCCCTCAGCTAGTGGGGTTGATCAGCGGTCTGACAAAAACATATATGAACATTACCCTTCCATCTGAAGCATCCAGAAGCTTCACTGGACAGTCACGCACAGAAGCAATGAAACAGTAAGTTGGAGCATTGCTGGATGATGCCCCAGGATACCAAGCAAAATGTAGTATGGCATGCAGCATAAGGAGCATCATGTGAAGGAAGTAGCCTTCCAACCCGTGATATAAGAGTTGGCATAGTAGAAAAGAAGGATGACATGTATGCAAGAATGTGTAACTAGCAATCAAGACGCCAGTACGCTTCCACCCGCATCTCCACATAAAGACCTCCTCCACAACCAAAACACAGGTCCTGCTCTAGCTATGAACCTCCTGAAATTGACGGTGGTAATGGGAATATTGAACGGGTTTCTGGTACTCAGCAGCGCAGTACTGGACTTGTGATGGCTAGCAGACAGTGACTTTGTCAAGCTAAAGGTAGTGCTGGCCACAGCCACAGCCACAGGAGTGGGCTAGCATAATGGCAATGATGTTCTGATTTTGGACAAATCTACATAGTCGAAGGTTAACAGTGCAAACAGCAGAGCTTTGGCATGGATGCTGTGACCTCAATGATGTGGTTTAAGAAAGAATTGCAGATAGTTAGTTGATTTAAGTCGAATTGAAGATATAGTGTGTGCACACACTGCGTCATGCGGCTGGTTTCTATATATGTCCATTGCCAATCTGGTGCATATTCCGACTTGATAATCCATTGCTCTCATTGTACCTCAGCTACCACCCATCAGTATGTCCTGAAAGTTGCCGTGTTAAGTGTTCTGGGTATTCTATATCCTACCCTGACTTTCTGAGATCAATATACATGCTCATGGCCACTGTAGTGGCAAAGTGAGTGGTTATGACCGTTGTCCCCATATTTTCTTAATAGCTTGTCTCACTCATCATCACAGCTATTCTAACTTGATCTAATGACTTTCCAGGACAACTTTTGTTGCTTTGTAACATCACTGACTTTGGTACTTCTACTGGGAACTACTCTTCTGTCATGGCAAGTCTATGTTTCGTTTTTTGGACCTTATGTATTTCTAACTCGTTCTCTTCCTTGCACACATCCTTCCAGCATAACTCTCTTTGTGTGGAATACGGACATGTTATGAAATGGACAGCTGTTCAGATTGCGATCAGCAGCCACACTGGTACTTCTACTGGGAACTACTCTTCTGTCATGGCAAGTCTATGTTTCGTTTTTTTGGACCTTATGTATTTCTAACTTGTTCTCTTCCTTGCACACATCCTCCCAGCATAACTCTCTTCATGTGGAATCCGGACATGATATAAACTGGACAGCTGTTCAGAGTGCAATCAGCGGCCACACTGGTACTTCTACCAGGAACCACTCTTCTGTCATGGCAAGTCTATGTTTCGTTTTTTTGGACCTTATGTATTTCTAACTCACTCTCTTCCTTGCACACATCCTCCCAGCATAATTCTCTTCATGTGGAATCCAGACATGATATAAGCTGGACAGCTGTTCAGATTGCGATCAGTGGCCACACTGGTCTTCTACCGGGAACCACTCTTCTGTCATGGCAAGTCTATGTTTCGTTTTTTGGACCTTATGTATTTCTAACTTGTTCTCTTCCTTGCATGCATCCTCCCAGCATAACTCTCTTCATGTGGAATCCGGACATGATATAAACTGGACAGCTGTTCAGATTGCGATCAGTGGCCACACTGATGTTGACTCAGTTTTGTTCTCGCCGGATGGGACTCGGATCGTGACTGGATCAGATGATGGCATTGCGACTGTGGGATGCAGCAATGGGGCAAGCTATCAGTGAGCCCTTTCTTGGTCACACTTCTTTGGTTACCTCAGTCTCATTCTCGCCTCATGGGACACACATTGTGTCTTGCTCCTGGGATAAGACTGTCTGGCTGTGGGATGTAGCAATGTGGCAGGTCTCCTGGACCCTGACACTTATACGTGTTGTACAGAACTGTTGGATGTCCAACAGTGATCTTTCGTCATGTTAATATTGACCATTTGGAAGTCCGGTAATAGCTTCACCATGGATATGTGCTGATGGGCCGAAAGGGATGCATATTGTGCAAACTCAGCCCACAGGGTGATTGAAGTCAGGAGGAGTGGAGACGAGACACATTGCATGCCCCCTCAAACATGTATGGTATATAGGAGTAAAATCGAGAATGTATTGCAAAATATCTTGGTTTATACAAACTCTAAGATGCTACCAAATTGTGTCAGTGGGACCTGCAGCCGCATTCGCACCCATCTGATGGTCTAGATGGGGCCCAGATTCAATGCATAAATACCAAGCAACAAGTTTTTTCTTCCTTACTTTCCTAACACTTTCCTACCCATTAACTATACCATGGTTCATTGTGGTCCAAAGTCATGGGCAACTGTGGAAGAGGATGCATTTCTTAAAGCATTGCTGCCTGAGTATATCAGAGCTCGGCATTGGAAAATGTATGACAATTTTTGGACCAATACCTTCCAGAGTTTTTTCCATCAATGGCCTGAGCGTATGCATCTACACCACGATGGTATCCCTACAGAAGGAGACCTTACCCCTCATGAAAAAGACATTGTTAGGCTGGCCATCAAACAGCGCAGGGTGGTGAGTGACATTAACACCCGCTTAAATAAACACTTGTCGAAAAAATTACCATAGGTCATCAAGCATTGGTTCAGATGGCAAACCAATACAGCGCATCTCGCGCACTCAGGCAAATCCCGCAGTGTGCTCAATCTTGATGACACACTCAGCAGGGAGATGGATGGGCTCAGAGGGTCTCGAGCCCCACAAGAAGTTGAAATTTACTCACAATACCACTATGATACATGCGTGAAGGCTGCCGCTAATTCTGCAATTACAGCAGGGGGGATTTATTCACGTGGTGATAAGCTATCTAAGCGGAAGGAGATCACTCGCATCACATATGCCAAGGAGGGTGATTCCATACGCACCAAAGTCAAGCAAAAGCACAAAGAAGTGCTTGCAAAGTGGAAACAGGATCATGAGCTGGCCAAGGCTGGGTTAGTCGAAGAAGTCGATAACAACACAAAGATACAATACATACTTCTGGCTCATGGTTTTCTTTTTTTTTGGTTCTGATGGGAGCCACAGGGCTTTCAACGAATTGGGGTCACATCTGGATCATGTCTTCCGTCATCTATCCCATAAGATGGGGGGATTGAAATTCACCTGCATTGCTGGTGGACGCAACCCTAGTACAGGAGAGGTTGTCGTAGTTGAGTAAATATCAGAATTCTCATGATTGCGTGCTGTATACTAATAACAATCAACATAGTTTCCACTTGGGAGAAACAGACACAGGTGCAGATTTCTCAGCCTGTTCTGGGTTCTCGGACGTTCAGGTCGCCTATGCGGATTTCATGAAGGAGGCTGTTGGTATGTGTTTTCATAAGCCCTTGGTGACAAAAGTATTACTCACCATCTGCCACTAGCTCACAATGACAACATGCAGTCACTGGTGAATGAAGAAGCATCAGCGCAGGCCCCAGTTTTTAACAAGGATGTGGACGAGCGGACCTACGAATATTCAAGCAAAGACGGAGATGATGAAGATGGACAAGATGCTAGCATGGTCCAGCAGACCTATGAAGGTTCAAAGGAAGACGGGGATATTTGTGGTGATAAAGACGGACGAGATGCTACCATTGGCCTCTATCATATACCCCGGGAGGTCTGTACTAAGTTCATGAAATGCATTAAGTGTATTTGCTCATTGACGACATCTCTATTTGTAATGCATTACTGGTAATGCATTCTGTGCAATGCATTTCACATAATGCATTTAGTTCACGCCTATTTAGGACTTCTCAGTGGGGCTGCAAGGCTATGACCTGGATCCTGAGTGGTTCAACATCGATCACCTTCACACCAAGTCTGATGCACTCCTTTCTGAGGAGTCAGACCCTTCAGTTCTCGGCATGGATTTCACAAATATGATTGCCGCACTGTCAGTCCCAAACACTACTAATCAAGATGGTGGTACCTGTCCCCCCTCCCAAACTGATGCATCGTTTGAGCACCCTGCTACTGCGTCTGCTCCCGACGAATTAGGAAGTGTAGAAGTCCCTGACTACTATGAGCTCGCACAATTTTTTCAAAGTCTAGACCTCCTGAACGACAATGGAGTGCTCCTACAGTCCACCATCCCACATCTATTGCCGCCTGCTGCAGCACTTCATGATGAGTTGCTTCATCTACCTGCAGTTCCAGATGCGAGAGCAGCCTCCCCCTTACCACAATCAGCAGCTCCCCAGATGTTATCGCCACGACTTCCAAATGGGACAACCAGCAACATTACCACTGGACCTGCATTGAGCACATCTGGTCGCCTCAATCCATTGACTACCAACTCGGAGCAGCCAAATGGTCCTCACCGCACGGCGTGCCGTCATATCCCATCAACACGTGAACAAGCACTCAATGCTATCGGGTCATCGAAGGCACATGTCTGTGCTATGGAAGGTAAAGAAAATGAAGGAACCACTTTCCCATCTATGAAGCGCAAGGCCAAGCCCACCAATGAACAAGTCAACAAGTAAGTTTTTCTTGCAATATTATAGTTGTAAAGTAAAGACTTACGGCCCGTTAGAAAACAGAAGCGCAGTTAGCACCTGAGCACCTGCCTTCAATATATCTGCACATATTCATAGCAGCAAGGCTTTGTTTTCATATAGTGGTCAAGATACCCCTTGAATTCCACTTGATACTCATCACGGTTGCTTTGTATCTCATCTAATACCCATCCTTTTGTCGCTACAGCTATATCCCACCTCAGTCTGTCCTTACTATCCTAGCTTCGTTCTTCGGTGATAGATGTTCGTTCAATACCATTTGATATCTCTCAGACTCGCCGGTGATTGTTTAGATTTGTCATATCCCGTATTCCGGACCTTCGTCCGATGATGTTCCCACGCCTTCCGGATGCACATCCGGACCTCCATACCCTTATCCATGCCTTCAGTCCTCCAGTCCACTATCGGTTTGGATCTGTACACCTTCATACATCCATATATCAATACCTTCGGACCTCCGCAGCTAAGCCTGCTTCATCCACCCTTGGTCCTATCGGATCCGAGCTCATTCCATCTCGGACTCTACCTTCCCTAGACTACCAGTCTATATCCATGATCCATATCCTAGTCTCGTATTCACCTAGATCTCCGGATCCACTCATCCGATATCCAGACACTTCATCCGATATCTCTAGACCTCCGGATCCGACCTATACTCATATCCGAGGCCCAAACCTTAAATCAGCGTCTATCTCCTTATGGTAATCCCTTGACTCCGGACTTCAGTTATCTCTGTTTCCGTCTTGCTTATTGATCCTTGTACTCTGTTCATATCCAAGTTCATTTACTTATGTTCCGTTCATACTTACTAATATGTTTCCACATGCTCGTACATAGCATTTGTGTTCAGCTTACCAATCCTCTCGGATCCCGTCCAGTATATAAACCTCTGTACAACTCCTGTAAAGTTTCCTTAGTTCGAATATCAACATAGACTTGCTCCCTTGCATCTTAGACTTCACTCATTCTTGTCATGGACTTTGGTCCATCTGAGTTCTGCCTTTCCATCAAGGCCTAGGGATGAATTCCCTAGGCCGGAAATCCAGACCTTCGGATTTGTCCCCTATGTCTCTGTTCTGAAGTCTAGGGATTGATTCCCTAGACCGAAGTTTTGCCTTTCCGGCACTTCCTGTCTTTCCGAGACTTCTGTCTAAACCCCGTCTATCCGACTCTACCATAGTGTAGTCTACCTCTGTTTGTTTCTACTCCAGACCTTGTCCATAGTAGCCTTTCCCCTCCTGTCCTAATCCTGTCCACTCCTCCGGTCCTCGTAAACCTTCGGACCTTCAGACGTCGTAACCTTCGGACCTCCGGACATCCGGTCCTTCGGACCACTCCTCCTATCCTATCCTGCTTTGGACTCTGTCCCTTGCAGCCTATCCTCTATGTGTTTCTATCTAGGGAACTTACCTTGGGAAGTCTTACCTTTGGATCTGATACAGCGGATGAAACTCCTCTGGAGTTTCCTATACTCCTCCAGAAGTTTCTCGCACTCATCCGGAAGTCCTCTAGCACTCTACTAGAGTAGCCAGCCTCCGGAAGTCCTTCGGACTTCGTCGGATTCCATCTGGACTTCATTCTGAAATTAAGGGCACGTACTCGGGTAAGGGGCACAGCGCACAAGCTGAGGCCAAGCCCTTTGGATCTGTCTACCCTTGAGCTACGGTTTTAACAAGATTAGATCAAACAAGCGCTCCGCTTGCCTGCAGACAGTCTCTCAGACCCCTTTGCAGCAGTAAGGAAGAGTAAATTACATTCACCATATCTTTTCATTCTTGGGTGAGAATACCGCATCAATTTGGGACTCTCAACAGCACTGTATACAGTTGACCATGCATGCACATCAGAAGTGTCGCAGAAAGTTCTATCACAATATAAGTGAGTGGAAATGAGAAGTGCCAAGTTGTTTTCCATGTCTTCTACAATTTCTACTTTCGCATGAATCATTATAGTTTACAACTCCACTCAGCATGCGAAAGGCCTTCAGCCGCACACATGCCCAAACTCTTTCAGCCATCTAATCTCGACACACTATTTCCATTCTAGCATACTCACGACACCTCGGCTGCCGTGAGACTCTGCCTACCCTGCATATACCATGGGCGCTGCATCTGTATCGTCGGCGGCATCACTGGGTATGCAAGAACTTGTTCGGTCCCCTCACTTGTCGCTTGTGTCAGATGAGTCGTTCTCCGGTATCATAGAAGTGTTTTTGCGAACTCCTATACTCTAGCGTTGGTCTCTTGCTCCTGTGGAGTGCAGGTGTCATTAGGAAAGACGCGCCAAATGAGTTTGAGGGCGCCTTTGGTACATTACCTTCCTTAAAATCCTCACATTCTTATACATATAATGACTTTCGTTATTGTAGGTGCTTCAGCCCTGCTTCTGCTCTCATATCTTCCCCGCATTACTAAAAGCTCAGTACCCCTTGTGCTCGCTGCAACAAGCAGTGCTGCGGGTGTATACTATGGCACGAAGGTGTACAGCGCAACTAGTGAAACCAGGCTGTCTCCCTTGTAGTGACTGTAACGTGGTTTTTACTCAATTATCATCACGTTTCCTCAGTCCTTACCTGTGCTTCATGTAAGCCTCATCCGTTCATCGCTGAACCCGACAACAAATATTGTAGCTTGTCATGGCACAGCCACTAACTTAATCATCATGTGTAGCGACAGCTCGAGATGAAGACACAAGGAAAAGACTCAAGACGATCAGAGCAACTATCTACTGGGTCTTTTATAGGTTTTCTGTAAGAGTATCACGTGAAAGAAGGTCCTATGCGCCCAGCGCGGTAACTCGGAGACCAAGACAGTAATAATCAGATCAAAGGAAAAACAATCGGAATAAGGATTGTTGGCCGTACAGATGATGGTAGTAAGACACAGGAAAGATTTCATAGCACGTTATACCCAGTAGCTATAGGCTGCTCACCTACGGTACAACCTCGAACCGCAAGATTGACGATCTAGTAGGCCGAGCGGATGTCTTCTCTCCCACTGCATCATCAGGTGCCACCGTGACACCTCGACTATCTAGAAGACGCACTCGTGCACGTTCATTTTCCAAATCTCCATTATCTTCAAATCCTGCGAGCGTTTCTAGTCCTCCCGCCGAAGATGCCATCATCAAGATGGACTGGGTTCGACACATCAAAAGTGGGATTGGTGCGTGGGTGAGTACGTTCCTGAATCAGACTGTACACCGCAGCTAAAACAGTGGCCGCCCAGATGACAGTGAAGACACAGAGAATATAGATGTATGTAGGGCGTCCACTGTACCAACCGTAGGTCGTGATATACATTGTTCCATTCAGGGGTTTGAAAGCTTCTGGGTTCGTGTACAAGCTCTGCATCGTTGAATTCGTGCTGGCATTTCCTGCAGAGTAGGCTGAACGAAGGTACTACAGTACATCAGCCCCCGTTCGAGAGTGATGGGCAAGATGAGATCGTTCACTTACTGTGGCAGAAAAACTCTACAACGCCGCGGAAGTAGTTTTCCTGTGAAACTCACAAGTAAGACAATTTGTTTGACATTCTAAATGTAGCAAACGCTGCTCACCAAGACGTCATTCACCGACATGTTGGGGTCTCTAAGCCGCAGCAACTCCCCCAAAGCGTTATCATATATCGTCTGACTGGAGGAAGATAGCCGGTATATTACGTATGATATGAAGGTGGTGACAGTCGCGCTGTTGTCCTGGAGTAGCTGGATGGGACTACGTGGTTGTTGGTCGACAGAGATTATTAGCTGGTTGTATGTCACATTGAACAAAGCCACATATGGTGCCACATGGCAGACTGTTGTACTAAAGAAACTATATTCTCCGTAGGGCTCCACGAAGATGTCTAAGGTAGTAACGACGATCAACATTGGCACTTCTCAACGTTGAACTCACTTACCGAATGATGTGATCTTGGCAGGATTTGTCAAGTTCGCATCAGGACAGGTAATAATACTGAGAAGGCCATCGTATGAATTGTTATATGTCCAGAAGTCCGTGGTCATCCAATAGCCGTCACCCGCTGACAAACATCATCAGACCGCGTCAGGTACAGGTGGACCGTGCAGACGTACCGCCGAGAGGAGAAGAAGCTGTCAAATTCCATGTTCTAACGTACATTCCAGGAACCAGCGTACTGGAAGTATCAAGGCTCGTCGAAAACTCGTTTTTATCAAGGTCACTTAGGTAACTGCAGTTAATATTCGCCGAAAGACCCTGTTGCGTCACTGTATAATTTCTAGCGAGCCCAGAACGGCCCCGGGCTTTGGCGAGCGACGAATTGACCGCGACTTTTCCACCGAAGTATTGAAGACCAATAGCAGTAGGGAACGATGTCGTGCCTGCATAATCTTCGACCGCTGGAAGGATGCCACCTGAGAACAGAATGAGATACTAATCCGGGTACGCCGGTACATCAGAGTGCACCACTGGATGTGTTGTACGAGACACCGTTAAAGGCGAAGACACTTTCATTTCCGCCTACAGCAGCCAATCGTGTGGCTGAAGTACCACTCATTAACGCCATAATATCGAGGGTATCGTAAAAATTCTCAAAATCTATAATGGGGTTATCAATGGGTACCACTCAATGGGTGAGGATACACAGTCCTTACATGTTGGCTGAACAGCGTCAAAACCTAGTTTCGCGTCGAAGGCGCTGCTTGTGAGGTTCAGTTCGCTGCCTGGAATATTTACAGGCCACAAAAGCGATGTGGGCAATATTAATGTCGTCCAGCTGCGACAGGGTATGTGTTAGTGATGGCGCTCGTGAGCATAATCTCAAACCTTGAATTGAGGAGCGCAACCAAACAGACAAAAATCAATGAGAAAATTGAGAGTTTGTAATAATCCCATCGAAGAAGGGGTTGTGGTTTGGTGAGAGCTATTGCAGTATGAAGTTCGACAAGTGATATTGGTTGAGTGATATAATGGTTGATTGCCTTTTTGACAGCGAACGATAAAAGACTGGATGCAGATGCAGATGAGTCAGCGAAGCACTGCGTACAAGCTATCCGGACTTACGCCGTGCTAATTACTGACAGAATCGTGGATATCACAGTGGATACGAGGGTGAGTACAGTAGGATATTTTGCGATGAGATAGACGATGGAGTCGGGGAGAATCACGTATTCTTCACACCAAATCACAATCATGAACCCCCAGCAAAGAGCAAATAAGCAAGTAGAGATGAAGATCGTCAACACCAGAGGGTTCTGTTCAACCATCGAGAACTATCCGCAAGTGGGTTGGGAAGTTAAAGCCAATGAACAGTAGTTATAAGGAACAAATGGAACTCCGCATGAATGATTTACTGCATGTAAATCGTACACGAATCTGGCCCATCAAAACAGAACGTAGCCTACAGGCATTTTCACTGAACACAGGAGAACACATGCTCTTTGCGAGGTGTGAGCAAGCGCTCATTCAGGACCCTGGATATAGAGATGGAAGTCAAACACTGCCATTGCGCCTCAGAGAAAATTGGGAATGATCGAACAAGTGCGACTGTCTATGCCGTGCCGAAGCATGCCACCCGTGTGCTGATGCTGGCACCACTGGCAGGTCTAGAAAGAATCGTTGGCCAGTCAAGGATGACATTGGAGGTCAATCACTGTCCAGATTACGTTTCTAAAACTAATGGACAACAACATAAAGAGACCTGCATGCGTACTAGTGATCATTTGTATGAAATGCAATAAAAGGGTTTGCCAGATTGTGATATCTGGGTCGTGTAGATATAGCGGTGACTCGGACCCTCTACTTAGCTGAAACCTAATCTCGACTCCAGATTAGTAGTCTAGGCATAGCAGATACTCAAAGCGCTCACCGAAGGAAAAAAAGACATGATGAATACACGCGTATAAGGATATTGTAGACCTAGGCTAGGCTAGATGTAAAACTTGAACGAACCCTGTCACTGTAGCGTTCCAGCGAAGAGAAATATCAAATTTGAACGAGCGCTTCTAGTAGACAACACGGCTTACTGACACTTCAAGTTTTCCAGATAGGCTGAACTGAGCACATTGCACAGACATTTAATATCGACATCCACCGGGCTGGAACTTGTTCGAGCCACATGTTGGTCACCGTGATGCAGTCAAGGAGTGATCCAATTGGAGCCTCGTATGAGCGTTAGAAACCTAATTTGAAGTAGCATATCAAGACCTGCATGCATGCAGTCAATCAATCATTAAGGCATTGCTGGATTGAGACTTACATATCGTGTCGAACATTCTAAATTGCTTGAGAGTATGAAAACCATCCGAGTCCTCCATTACGGCACCGTTGATAATCTCAGCTCCAACCTGGGGGCGACAAAAACACGCAGGAAAACATGACAAGAGCACACGCATCAAGGAACCGCGCACCCGATGTTGGATGTCGAGTAATTTGCTGTTTGTGGATATGATAGCCTCTTCACTTGATAGTAGATGTGCATGTGAGCGCTTATGCACACGCCCGGTTCAGAGCATAGTGGATGACTTTCCATAGGCAGAATAGCATACTTATTCTGAGTCTGAAATACGTCTGCAAATAGCGACTTTAACCTGTACGGAAATAGCCGCACGCTCATTAGATTTAGTCCTTCCCATCCGAATCAATATACAATCTTGTATTCCAGTATGAGTTTATCAACGCTGACTGAGGCAGACCTTTTCAATGACAACGAAGAAGGGGCCTCAGGTCCTAGCTACTGTTATCATTGCTGGAATTGAGGCCTGAGTATCACGACAAGACCGCATCTCCACTCGGCACCCTCATCATTTATATCCGATCTTTGCCTGACCCACTGCTTCCAAATACTCGCATCAACACACTGTGATGCGGGAGAAAGTCCAAGACATTAACATACTTGGCGAAAGGTTGAAAACACACCTTGGTATCACTGCGCGACCTGCTACATTGCATGCCGCGCATGTCGAGCAGGGCTGATTATGTCTGGCGTTAGTGGACAAAATGGAAGGCAGTCGGAAATTTTCGTCTGCAGGGTCTATTGACCCCCAATGAATTAAACGATAGTGTAGCATTTACTAGAAATGAATGTGATTCACCTGCCCAATGAGGTCTATGATATATGATATTCTAACTTCAAGCCTATGAAGCCAGGTATCTACATACAGAGCGTTTGATCCCGCGGAAGCAATTCGCATTGACGCGCGCCTGACTCGAGCCCAAGGCTTTGGGACTCGAGTACGGATCATTCCACTCGAGCGCCTCTGCTGACGGGGTTCTCGAACAATATGGAATACTTATCGAGCGGCCCTAAACAATTCTCTTTTGGACCCCTGTACCATGCTGTGAGCTCCTCTCTCACAGTTCAACAGATCACTATAGCGTCCTCTTGCTCTGTCCACGGCATCGTTGCATTTATGGACAATAGTCCAGTTTCGATGTATTAATATGATAATAGATAGGCTGTAGCTGAAGAAAAGAAAAGACAATCAAGTTACCCCTATACCACGGTGACGGTCAACTGGGGGACATACAAACGTTCATTTGCACTGGGAACAAAGAAGTCACGAATCGCATTACTTTTCACAGGTACGATCAATCACATGCACAACTCACGTCCGTGACCAGAGTCCAGACGTTTCCTAACAACGTTAACGACGAATCAGCGAAGTCAAGAGGTGCAAAGCATGCGCAACCATAAGTTCAAGTTGTCGGAGACGTTTAATCAATTGAGTACTAGTCTTGAGAAAACGACCTTGCAGCCTTGAACTATTGGCAATGAGATCTCAGATGCCTCAATGAACCGAACTTGATTCCGAAGTTGGACATAAACCGGAAGAGTAACCAGCTCGCCAGTGCCTCTCTTAGCGTCTAGCGCTATTCGAAGAAAAGAAGAGATTAAGTTAAGAGATCTGGTGACTGCAGGTTATCCTGCTGTTGCGCCTCGGAGATACCGAGGAATGGAAGCAAGCCAAACATGCCCAGGGCTAGCCCTAGCAAGCCCATTGCACGACTTGCGATGAGTTCAGGTATCTATCAAAGAACGAACACATTCAGGCTGCTGACGAACACAAAAGACTATGTCGGGCTGGTTCAGAGCGCGAAGGGCACGGGACAAATCAGCCAAAGGCGAGGTTAGCTACGGCATATCTAAAGAAGTAGAAGCTTCATATATCGTGGCCTCTACATCGAGAAAAGTGGTGAGGACGGTGGGTCGGCGTAGAGCAGAGGCAACCTGTTCACCGTACACGTGACAGAAATGTGCAGCGATGAGTGGCCCGCGATGGGATACAACCAATAGGCAATGAGACATTAGACAACCGTGCGGACAAGAACTCAAGCTTGGTGCGCCGATTGAAGAAATCAGTCAACATGACTGCAATAGCGGTGCGGCAGGAAGTTTGCGAGGAACAAAAGCCTGCGCAGTAGACACGAAAACAGGAGCAGGCAAGCTCTGCAAATTGTTTGTAATAGGAGGCACCCTCGTAATGAAACCACGGAAGATCGTTATTTTGTCTCAACCCCGCTGAGGAAGCAGCTGTGGGCAACAAATCAACACAGGCTGCTGCGAAACGACGCAATGGGTATAAACATCAGGTTCAAAGAATCAAAATGCGAACATGCAAAAGTCTGCCGAAGGCCATCGACACTAATAGACAATGAGATGCCATCGAACATGACTGTAATGGTAGGATTGAGGTGACTACATCGCACACACCCAGAACAGTGTAACAACAAAGAGTGCTGTGACCATGAACAAAAATTAGGAGCAGACAGATACACAGCAGGATGAAATACAAGGCAGGATCTGAGGCACGACTGCAACCGCGAAACGACGAACCGGTCAGCTGCTCCACAGTAACCGTGACCCACCGGGAGGGTAGTTTACGGTTGGGGGGGGGGGGGGGGGGCTAGTGAGGGGACAGGAAGCTTCAGATCCCGGCAGGTTGGTGGCCTTTAGCACACTCGAACCCTATACCCACTTACCGAGGTACCCGAAACGGCCGTTTCCGAACCGAACAGGAATTGGCGTCTCCATGCAGAGACGATGCTGGAAGATTCTGCCAGTCTTCGTGTCGTGTTCGACTCGTTTTCGGGACCTTAAGTAAGGCTTTTACCGGAAAGCATCCGAATTCGGATAAGGTACGATTTAGAGCAGAGCGGCAAGATATGTCAGGGGTCGAGATCCCCTTGACTTTGGTAGGTTCGTGTCCAAGGTATTAATTTTTTGCTACCTTGGTCAGCGGCGACAAGAATCTGCATGAAAGTATGACACCAACCATGACAAAGTACACATGGCGGCCGATATGCCCACTGCAGAAACCTACTTGAGAATTATTACCTATGCCGACTCAACCCTAAACCGCATCCTAAAACCGCTAGACGCCCCCTCTCCCAGATCATCACAGTCGGCTTCGAGTCGCACTCGTACACGTTCACTATTCGTAACACCATCAGGGTGAAAACCTGCGAGGTTTTCCAGTCCTCCTGCCGAAGTCGCCATCATGAGATGGACCGGGTTCGCCGCATCAAATAAGGGATGCGACTGAGTACGTCCCTGGATCAGACTGTATGCCGCAGCTGAAACAGTGACGGCCCAGATGACCGTGAGAACTCCGAGAATATAGATGTATGTGAGGTGATGGCTAGACCAGCCGTAGGTCATCACTGATATGGTTCCATTCAGGGATTTGAAAGCACTTTGGTCAGAATACAAGGCCGGCATCGCGATGGCGGCACCTTCTGCAGAATAGGCAGAGCGAAGGTACTGCTGTACATCAGCCCCGTTGAGACAGGAAAGGTGATATACTCACTGTGGCAGAAAACTCTACAACACCGCGGAAATAGTCTTCCTATTTAACTTGTAAAAACCGTGTTCTACCATGACCAGACTAAGAAGTCACTAACCAGTACCTCATACACTGAGCGCGTTGGGTTTATTCCATTAAGATGTAGCAGCTCCCCCAAAGGGTTATTCCATGTTGTCTGGCTAATAAAAGATAGCTCCGACACCACGCCTAAGATGAAGTAGGTGACATTAAGGCTGGTGTCCTGAAGTGGCTGAATGTCATGAGGCTGATCAATGGAAATGTTTCCATTGTTGTATGACACATCGAACGAGGCCACGTATGGGGCAACCTTGCAGACTGTTTTACCCAAGGAACCATATCCCCATTTGCCCTGCAGGAAGATATCTAAGGTGGAGACTAGGATCAACATTAGCACTTTCTCAATTGAGCTCACATACCAAAAGAGGTGGCGTTCTCCGTTCCCAAACAGATGACAATCCCGAGAAAGCCATCCGTATCGTCCCCTTTCTGGAACTCCGCAGTCGCCCAGGTGTTCCAATTGCCTGACAAGCGATATCAGGCTGTATCAATATGGGTGGGCTGTACTGACGTACTGCCAAAAGGTCCAGGACAATTTACTGTCATATTCCAAGACATGATCCCGTAGCTGTTGAGAGGAGAACTTTCAATGGTTATCGAGTACTGGGGGTCATCTAGGTCGAGGGCACTGCATGTAATGTGTGCTGAAAGACCCTGTTGTGTTACGCTATACGTTCTAGAAAGCCCGGAATGTTCGTTATCGAGGACTGGCGTAGTATTGACTAGCGACTTTTCCACCATAGTAATTGACACCAACGTCATGAGCTGTCAATGACGTGCCTGCATATTCTTCAACTGCTGGAACAATACCACCTAGAACAGAATGAGTTGCTGATCTAGGTATGTTGTTACATCAGAGCGCACTGCTAGATTTGCTGTATGAGACACCATTGAAGGCAAAGACACTGTCATCTCCGCCTGCAATAGCCAAACGTGAGGCTGAGGTCCCGCTCATGGGCAATATGACATCAAGCATGTAAGTGGAATTCTTCCAAGCTGTGATGGAGTTATCAATAGGCCAAGTAACAATGAAATACAGTGCTTACAAACGTTCCCATTGTTCATATCGTTACCTAGTTGCGCATCGAATGTGGGGCTTCCGAGGTCCAGATCTTTGCCTTGAATAAGCACAGGCCACGTAAGGTGTGTCGGCAACAGCAATGTCGTCCAGCTGTAGCAGGTCGCGAGTTAGCTGCGATGCTCAGAAATATTTTCATACCTTGAATTAAGGAGTGTGATCAAACCGACGATGAGCACTGTGATAAGAGATAGCTTGCGGTAGTCCCATCGAATAAGAGGTTGAGGTTTGGTGAGGGCTATCGCGGTGTGAAGTTCAGCTAGTGATAATGGCTGCGTGATGTAATGGCTGAGTGCATGCTTGACAGCGACTGAGAAAAGACTGCAATGCCAATGTACTCAGATGTCAGCTAGGCACTACGTGCACCAGGTATCGAACTTACGCTGTGGTGGTCACAGATAGAATCGTGGATATCACAGTGGATATGAGAGTGAGTTCAGTAGGATATGTTACGATCAAGCGGACGATGCGGTCGTGGAGAACCACATATTCTTTATGCCATAACCAAAGGATCAATGACCAGCAAAGAGTGAATATGACGCTCGAGATGAGGATTGTAAGAACTAACAGACGCCTCTGCCGGTCCATCGATAAGTATTCGCAAGTGGATTGGGAAATTTAAATCAATGACCAGTATTTATAAAAGATGACTGGGACGGACCGTTCACTGCATGTAAAACATGCGGGACACAATTATCTGACCCGTAATGTTTGGTATCTCAATCGGCAGCCTGTGTGAAGAAGAAGATACGCCTTGACTTCTTGAGCGCCTACACAAAAGGCAGTCAAACCTTGTCACTGCATCCTAAATTGGATTGTGCAAGTCCGACTGAACGAGCACTAGAAAATAAATTTACATCGTGCCGACATGGCTGGCACCGATCCAATTGATGTGACAAGGGGCGCTGACTACGTGCCCATGAACGCAGTCCAGCACTCTCTGACAGCCATCCAACATGGGGTTCCGAGTCTCACTGAACAAATCATGATTCAGTCCACATCCTCGGCACGTCAAAAACTGCCAAAATCTGATACCTGCAGTTCAAAAAAAGTCACAGAAAAGCCCAAGAAGTTTCTCGGCGCTACATGTATGCATCTGGCCGCGCCTCATACTCGTGAGGGAATTAGAAGGTTCGTCGAGAAAGGCGGTGGACGTTGAGATATTCGAATGATGATGTGATCTAAGTTAGATATCTCCATCTAGCAACAAAAAACCCATTCGCATCGGAAGATTCAAATGAACAAATATGCACTAGGCTATACTAGTAGTACTTGCACATTTTCGTCGAGCGTCATAACTGTAAATTGTTATTGCGTTACGACACATCAAAGTTTGGAGCGACTCACCTCACGCAAGGCTCGAACTTCTTTCCAGGTAAATCCAGTGTGTCACATGATACGTTCCACCAATCAAAGACTCCTGTAAAATCATTTAATCGTATCGGTAGAGACAAGGCTTCAGAATATGCGGGCTTGACTGCTTTCGTATCGATGGACCAGCATCAAGCAGTCTGTGTCCTGACGCATCAAAGAGTCCCATCGGCTTACTTATATCCAAAGCTCGAAGATGAATGCTTGTATGAAAAGTTTTTTGTATCCGAATTGTTGATCGAAGAGCCCCGAACTTCGATTCATGAGATGGATACAACAGTAAAAATAGTCAAGAACATTTCCGACACCCTTACTTTACATAAGATAGAGTACTTCTGACGGCCCATCAGAACAAGCTAAGTAGAAATGGTACTTATCAACCTTGCTCGCATCAGATATCGGATTCCTGATAGAGAATATTTGATTGGCCCATCACCCTAGGTCGGATGCATTGTTAGTGGGTTGCAAGTGCCCGGGGTCAAAGTTCCTGGTGTCAGTGATGGTACCTGACAGGGGTTCTTTGCATACCTTCTAGCCGCGGTCTATCCACTACAGGTACTATCTTCTGTTAAATAACTGCCAGTGTCCACTCCCTTCGCCATTCCAGAGCTCCGTGCTCAACCATGCCTTGCGGTCTAACACAACAGGGCCTCTCCAGCACATTCCCATGATCCACTACAGTATTCAGGCTACTAAATCAACCTCCGGACTCGTCACCCAACAACAAGAATCCAACTTCCGAACGCCCCATATAACGCTATCGTCTCGCTTTGTCTCACATTCGACTACTGATCGTATTCCTGTTGTATGTCCATCCGAGTACTCTCTCTGAGGAAGGTAAGTATCATACAGCGCGACATACCACTGTACCACTCCACTCTAGCAATACCCAACACCTGCAACCGCTCCAATTCATGACTCGAACCCTGCAAGGCTCAGTGCTTCCAGGCGAATACTGTATGACACGTCAGTAGTGCTGACGTGGCATGAACTCGCATCTATCCGGGAGTCTCAAGATTGAGATACTGTTTGAAGCTGAGGATTGAAGTGGGGGGAGTCGTCTACTGAGGTGCATGCCAGTCACAGCGCACAGTACACCCTCGTTATATTAACCACACCCTCGCTACACCACCCGCACTCTCTGCTAGTATACTATGTTCCCCCAAGCCCCATCTCATTCAATAATTGCAAGGTCGGGGCGCATCTTCAGGTCATTGCTATATTGCTATTTTTTCGCATTTTTGTGCTATTTACCGTGCTACATTCATTTTTGCCTTGAAATTCTACAGCTATGTAGTAGCTGCATGAGCAAGTGCGCCGAATGCATACCCAGTCGGACCTGCTTGGAGCGTTCAGCTAATTTTGGATATGTCAGCGGCTTCCAATAACCACGCGCCCTGGACATCGAAGACATCGAAGCACGAGCGAAGGCACAAATGATAGGCACGAACGGGAATTTGATGGGCCATCGTTGGCATATGGAGAAGATTGAGTTGCCGAGGACCAAAGAACAAGAAATTTGACCGAACTGCTCGGTATACTATTCGGTGACTAGCGCTGATAGGTTGAGTCCCTAGTAGGGTGCTTGAGTCTGATAATTAACTTGTTCCAATGCATCACTGATGCATCAGTCTGAAAGGGGCGTTGTTCCTTCTGTATTGGGACACGGCGATTAGTATGAGCACTGCAGAACGTTCAAACAACCATGATGAGATGGAACATCCACACAAAGAGGGCTATAGTTGATCTGTCGCAGGGCAGTCTGCGAGCTTGTCCGTCACGACTAGGTAGCAACGATGGTCCAGTTAGTACAATCATATAGACCAATATGTCCGTGTGACTCACTTTTACTTGGACTTCATGTGGCGGAACTGTAGCATCAGGGCTGCTCAAATCGTGTTCACCGAGCACTGCTAAGCCTCGACAAACCTGTCCTAAATGGGGCTCGTACCTAAACCCCATGGCACGAGTGCTATCAGTATTGCTACACACTCGTTTATAATTAGAGTACTCACTGAGTATTCATGCCGTCTTTCTCATAGTCTAACAGCTTTGTGCAAATATTGCACCCACCTACTCCACCCCTCGTCATGCGCAGACCAGAAACCACCGATCATTCCTCAACGTGGAGCCTCCGAGCAATATACACATCACCGCAGTTCGACGACTAGACGGCGGAATAAAAACTTAGATGCTACACTAAGGTTGGGCTAGATCCCAGCGTTAGCTCTGAACGGAGGCTGCAGGTTCGAGTTGCTGAGTAGGTGAGGACGAAGCTGGACCAAGAGATAGCGAGCTCTGCCACGAATATGGCATTACACGAGTCCGACTGAGTCTGTCATTAATATAGCCACTATGACTCGATGAGTGGGATCTACCGCATCATAATCGCTTGTGTTTTGCCTACCTCATTTATGGCCTGTTGGAATGTAATGAATGTCCTCTATGCTGCCGCATCTATCCCGAACCTCATAATTGTAATTTGAGGTCACTCACCCTGACTGCAAGGCTCGAGTTTCTTTCCCAGGTCTGGTGATGGTGGGCATCAGTACAGTGCGTTGCATAATAAAGACTCGAACCATTTCATCATGGACACAAGGCTTCGGAGCATAACGACATCAAAGTCGGGCTTAGAAATGTCCCCGTTGAGAATATGCTCAAAGAACGTTGGGCGGCAGAAGTGCTTAAAAATAGCGTGATCCAGAAGGATGATAGAAGAATGAAATTATTAATGAGGGCGAAGTATGTCAATGGTAAGGTCTCTGCCAAGTGTTGGGCTACGGAACAATGTCAACCTCCAGGCCTGCGCTGACCTGGGGTTTTCAACATTGTTAGTCCTATAAAATTTCAACTGAAATTTCAATCAAACCTGGCCCTGTCTCTCCAAACTTCAGACTACGTCCAGAGCGAGGTGCCTTGCATTCCTTTTATATGCACATTCAGAGGCTGGAATGATTGTCGTCTAGGAGACTGATTCAGAAGACCAAAATCCGCGAGCCTTTCGTCAGCGTCTGCAACAGCCTGAGGCAGTTTGTGCCATAACATTGACGCACCAGGGAGTCCCACATTTCGCAGCCTTTTGCTTTTACTCAAATATGAACTCGGACTCCTCGGAGCTGATGGAATGCTGCTATGAAAAATCTTATCCGAATCGTTGACCGAGTAACAAATTGCGGACCTGTTTAGTAGTTACACGACACATGCATGCTCAAGCTTCAAGCTTCAAGACTCGAGAGGCATACGATAATGGGACTCGCCCGTAACGGGAAGCGTGCCAGACCTCAAACTTGAGCGGTCGAGCGTGAGCAACGGTGAAAGCTAAAAACGTTGACGGTACGAGTTCTGCAGTTCTGCACTGAACGAGAGATTACTATGAGCGCGGTTGCGGAGCAATCAGACAACTACGGCAAGATCGAACATGGGCCAGCTTGAGAGATAAGGAAGGGATAGTTGCTTCGTCGCGCGACTCGCGGGCTTATGATGGCCACGTCGGAAGTTTAAGCTACATCGCTGTGTCATAAAGATCAAAATCAAGTTCAAGTTGAAATTTCTGAAATTCACGTGAAATACTATTGGTCTGTCTTCAACGTTTCAAACGTCGGACCAGTCAGTTCTACAAGCAAAATATAAGATGCGTTGGTATAATATTGTAATACGAATGAGTGAATGTGAATAGATGTGTAGCGATCCTCCAGAAGTCCATCCTACATCATACCATCTACCGTGCCATAATCGCCTGTGTCTTAACCCCTGCCTCATCTATGGCCTGTTGGAATGCAATCATGTGCTCCTCCGCGACTCTGCTGCAATTGTGATCTGCACCTTCCTGCTCCCACCGCTCAACACGTCCACGACTGCGTTCCGCGCCTTCCCACTCCCCGCGCAACCCACCAAAACGGTTCTTCAACGCACGAATCCGCCGACCTGAATCTGCTGTAGCAGCTCCATTCACCTGCGCCTGCTCTGATATCGTTGTGAGTGATGAAAGCAGTGCCGCTGTATGTGTTCGCAGCTGCACCAGGTGCGGTAGCGGTGCAGCAGCACTGGAGGTCTGGGATGCAGCGAACGAGGGCTTTTCAGGTGACGAAGGTAAGGACGGTGCATAAGATGATTCAAGCTCGTCTTCCTCGGTGACAGTATCTAGCTTCGTCGGCGCAGGTTCGCTCTCGATCTCGCCCTCGTCAATGTCATCCAACTCACAAAGGACATCATTCCCACCGACCTCAGTTGAAAGCCGGCGGAATTCTCGCTCATACGCAATGAGCTCGCGCACCTGACTTTCCCGCTCTTTTGTGGCCTCGTTAATGGCACGAATCATATCCGATGCCAGACTTTCCAGGACGTGTGCGCTTGGAGCAGCGTCCGAGGTGTGCGCGAAGGATAAAGTAGGTAAAGCGTCGATGGCGCGTAAATGTGCAAGGAATTGATCTGTTGAAGCGAGATTTTGTGCAAGGATCTCCATGGCATCTTGCTCTCGTCTTCTTGGGATAAACGAGTCATCATCATCGTCCCCATCTAAACTGTCTTCAGCATCTTCATCGGCATCCTCATCAGCACTCCCACTCCCGCCTAGTTCGTCCGCCAAACTGGAGCCCCCCATCTCATCAGCCAGGCTACCTCCAATCTCATTCGCCAGACTGTCCCCTTGTGCGTGCACTTCACGCTCTTCATTTCTATGTGCGCAGTCATCGTCATCAATGCCTTCCGCGCCTTCGTCGTACTCAATCCCAAACTCCTCCGCGAGCATCCGTGACCCGCCTCCGGGTTCAGGCATTAGTGCAACAGCGAGTTCATGTGCCAGAGAATGTGCCCCATTTAGCATGGTCTGATCCAGGGACGAGAGCGGTTCGGACGCCCGCATTGACTTACGCGGCGATGAGGACTGGTGTTTGGCGTGCGACATGGTGCCGCTCAAATCTTGAATGGATGGTATAGTGGGTCTATAAGGACGCGGACGCGTATCAATAATGCGATGGTATCTTGAATGAGCGAAGTGATTTCTATGCAAGTGCTTGTCTATAAGTACTTTGTGGTCGCCTAGCCGTTATGACCCAGAAGTCTAGATCCAGTGGTAGTGGTTGAGAGTGAAAGGAGACAAAACTACGGCTTACTAATCCTATTATCCCTTTGCTTTTCTCGATCACCTACGATACCATCTTGTTCATACTTTGTCTGTCCATACTCACTGATACTCACCGACCGTCCTCTCTTTCTGTATCTAGTGGCCGATCCGGGTGCTCCATACTCCATTAACATCTTTTTCTCGCCATTTTATTCATTTATTTATCCTACTCACGATGGCTGGCTACTTCTCGAACCACTCGCAATTCCAGACCCGTTTTGCAAATGTAGCATCTAGCACTAGCACTACCACAACTACAACTACTACACCACCCGCCATCCCAGCAGAGACACGTCCACGACCTCCTACAAGCAGGCATTTCTCCACTTCCGTCGTACACCCGCCACACGAGGAGCGCGAGCGGGGCGTCGACATTCCCGCCCCGCTGGCCGTTCACCCTCTCCGGAATACGTATGTTCGTGGCTTCCTTCTCATTCTCATCCGTCACTAACGTCCATTTTATTTTACCAGGTGGGTCTTTTGGTTCCGACAACAGCGCGCTCCGGGAAATAAAATCACTAATTATGAAGAAGGCATCAAAAAAATTGCTTCTTTCTCCAGTGTCGAATCTTTTTGGGGACTTCAAACTCACCTTTCACCTCCCTCTGCACTCTTGCCTACTACGGATTACCTCCTGTTCCATGCGGGTGTTCGTAGGCCTGTGTGGGAAGACCCCCTGAATCGTGCTGGTGGAAAGTGGATTGTGCGATTGCGTAAGGGAGTAGCGGATAGGGTGTGGGAGGACCTCGTTATGGGTGTCGTGGGTGACATGTTTGATGAATGTGGCACACAGGGGGAAGGGGAGGAAGGAGGCTGCCCAGAAATTTGTGGTTGCACCATCAGCGTGCGCCAGAGTGAGGATATCGTGAGCTTGTGGAATCGCGTCGATGGTGATGCCAAGGTTCGAGAAAAGATTCGGTGCGTCTTTCGCAATTTTTTTTTCGTAATTTCAAAATTCCATGGTCTAATTGGTATGGTAGGGATACCTTGCGCACTGTACTCAACCTTCCTCCATCGACCATCATGGAGTATAAATCTAATAACGGTATGATCTCTTCATCTCCTTCGCGCTCCACCTTAATAACGCAACCACAGACTCCATGCAAGACAAATCGTCATTCCGCAATTCCGCGATTGAGAGGATGCCCGTTATCGCTGACGCATCGTGACAGCCTTTTTCGTGACATAGCACGAATCCTGATCATTTTATCCTGTGTTTTTGGTGTACATGCAACATCACACGAACGTAATACCTTCTTGGTATCCTGATTTTTTTACCAGCATACAAGGAAATAATCGAATATGAAACGAATCTTGAATTGTAGTAGCAGACAGTTACGGGCTTGTCTGTGGTACCCCAACACAGATAATTCATTGCTCTCAAGCCAATCTGATATTACTGCCCATACATATAAGACTGAAGCAAGTATAATGGTCCTGAGCTACGACGTTTCGAACTGCTAGTAGAATTTTCCCTATTATGAAACTCCGCGGCGTTGACCTAGGTGTAAACGCGGAATCACGGGCCTCAGCTTCACCAGTCAATATCAACATGTCCCTTCCCCACAAGAATGAGGAGTACGGTACCGAAGTGTACTGGTGAGTAGTTAGGTATCTGCTTCTGAGATTATCTGTTCACTAAACAATCCATAAAGGGACAAGAGATACGAGCAGTATGTCTTCGTCTGCTTTGTTGATGAATCATGAGATACCGTAGATGATTAGAGAAGCTGAGGATGCCTCTTTTGACTGGTTCAAGACCTATGCGGATATTGCGAATGACATCCGCAAACTCATCCCCAGTAGAGCTGCACGCATCCTAATGCTCGGTTGTGGAAATTCAAAGTTTTCGGAGGACGTAGGTCTTTCCTCTTGTATATGTCATGTAATGTTGCGACTAACACCATCGTGCTAACAGATGTGGGAAGATGGGTACAAAAACATTGTCAACGTTGATGTATGTTTCTTGTTGCGATGGTCTTGGTTTATCTCATATTTCTCCCAAAGTATTCGCCCGTTGTGATCGAGAAGATGCGCAACCGGCATAAAGATATGCGCCCAGAGATGACATGTAGTGACTTCCTCAGAGATACTGGAAACACATTAATCCTTTGATATATAGGGGAAGTGAAGGACATCCGAACTCTGGATGGTCTAGATACCTCATCCTTTGATGTCGCCATCGATAAAGGTACGTACATGATGAACTTTAGTTACCGCTTTTCGGAATCTCACGGTTTCCGGTCCCAGGTACAATGGATGCCATGATGACGTCTTCCACCGACGTCTGGGTATGTTTAATCATCATGATAACATACGACCTACTGATGACCACCCTAGGATCCACCAGAGCAAGTAATCAAAGACTGCACAGCAGAAGTATCTCAAGTCATACGGTTAGTCACTTCACATCTTCATACTTTCTCGTCTCATGGGGACTGGCACTAGTGTACTCAAGCGCAATGGCATCTTCATCTATATCACTTTCGGACAACCACACTTCCGAAAACGATATCTCACTGGTGCACATGTAACACGAAACACTTCACTTGAGATCAACCAACTGGGCGAATCTTTCCATTACTACATGTACACCCTGCGGATGCTATGATATTTCTTCATGAAGGATTACAGCATCTGTCCGCTTCCAAGATCATGGCGCCTAGATACGGGAGATGTGCTTATATGTATTGTACTGAGCACCTAGCCTACTTGTACGCCACCGTGTCACAATATTAATAGATGCGGACAGTGTGTCGAATTAGGACATCTAAACCCCTGACTATCGCCAATAATAATTTAATAAGTGCCATGACTTGCTCGCACACAACGTCATCAAACGCTAACGTTCACTCTTATCACCACGACTCACGAGGAGACTGATATCAACCTGCGATGTCTGTTCCAAAACACCATGAGCACTTTTACTTCACTTTCGTCACATTTCTGGTGAGTCGTTATCGGGCAGCCATACAGCAGCTCACTCTCACTGTCTGTGCCAGGTCGAGGACTGTCTATTCAGGGTGCCTCGTGACACACTAGAGTCGCAATCAGACATCTTTCGCGATTTGTTTCTACTGCCTGTTCAAGCCGACAAAGTTGAGGGATATTCAGACACAGATCCTATCGTTCTCGAGGGCATCCTGAAGGAAGAATTCCAGTCTCTCATGAAGGTTCTGTATCCCATGTGAGTATTAATGATAATGACTTCTCAGATTTGTGACTTGGAACCTGATCATGATGACTTTGTAAGGCCACTTACCCGCTTGCCACCTTCTCCGGATAGACTTCCATCGACCCTCGAGGAGTGGACGGGCATATTGAAGTTATCCAAAATGTGGAGCTTCACTCGCATCCAGGAATTCGCCATTCAACAGATGGAGCCTATGCTTGCTACGAGACCTCTAGACAAAGTTGCACTCGCTCAGGATTATGGAGTCACAGAATGGCTGGTCCCGGGTCTGCTGCAACTGGCAAGGAGAGAAGAGCCAGTTGGACTAGAAGATGTACGGAAACTTGGACTGGATACTGCGTTGAAGCTTGCCGATATTCGGGAGAGTGCACAGTCCACCATGCCAACTTGGGCTGGACGGTATTATATGAATCCTATCGATCGATCAGTTGACATGCCCAACATCACTGCGACTGGTCCTCGAGGATCTACTTTATGTGATTATACCAATCGAATCCGTCAAGTATTTAATTTACAGGAGTGATTTCAAACTCCAAATTTTACATCTTACTTGTATTACTTCAGTGTATATATACTGTATACTACAAACAGTTAGGAGCGTGTACATGGGAGTCAGACAGATTACTTCCGCGGGATCAAACGTTCCGTCCTTACTTAGATGACAGCCTGATGTTACCATGTACATTCAAAGTTTAGTAACAGCTAGATTCACAACGTTTGACTTATCTCATGTGGTAATTTTGCTTGAGAAAATATTTTGCGATATCGATGCCATCGCGAACTGGATTGCTCTTGCGCTAGCATAGTCACATCAATAGTTCGATCAGCGCGCTATCGCAATCAAGCATCGACCTATCGTCTGTCCAGAGCAGATCAGAGTGCTTGCCGTGCACTCGCAACACTATCAACTCAGCAAGTTCCATAAAGGGAGAGATCAGTGATCGATAGATGGCCGTCGATGATGTTGTGATTGCCACTGATATTGCATCATTTGTACGTAGACCCTAAGACGGGTCTCCCATCAGATAGGCGCATATTAGTCGTGGCCCAACGAAAATCGCCCAATTGGATGATCTTCTTAATCATGTACAACGGAAGACACTCTGAAGCAAAATTCATCAAAAACGCACATCAAAATAACACCTTCACATTTTCATAAAATCCAACCATCGGATTCTCCCCATTCACCAGTCTTGTCTTCCCAAGGTCCGCATATGTCTCCAAATATTCCGCATGACTGAACACGCTGCTCTTTCGCTCACCAACGGGAAGCCCACTCGCAGATGTCACGCCATCCAGGGGTGAGCGGCGAGCACGGGATGAGAAGAAACCGGCTCCAAGCGAAAGCGGGGACGTGCTCGATGCCAATGGCGACACTCTTGCATACGAGAGTTCGTCCTGTTCATCCGCGTCAGGCCCCGCCTGCGACAACAAGAACTCGTACATCTCGCGAAGAGCAGTAAAGTCCGTCGGGAACATAATGTCGAACCAGCCTTGTTGTACGAAGATACTCCCACAAGGGATCATCGTTGAGCCAACACGGGTTTGCACCACAGGGGCGTTTAAACCTGGCACCGCATCCGGTAGCGACGAAAAGTCCGTTAATAAAAGCCGGTGACGAGGAAAGTGTGTACGTAGTATCTTCAGTAGGCTCAACAGCCTCGTCGGGATGTAATCTGGGGGTGAAAGGTTCGGTGCGAATGGCATAGATGCGTACAATCTCCGCAAAGATGGCGAACGGAGGAAGCGTGGTAGCGGGACAGGAAGTGACAGCCGCCGACGCAGCGCGAGATAGGAAGCGATGAGCGGATCACTGATTTTCGTGTAAAATGGTACGAACTCGCCAACTTCGTCCACGGCTACGACCCCCTGATATGCCTCCAGGGTCTTCAGATCATACCGCACCACGTCGTGTGCAAAATTGTCAACCACCTCCGCTGCTACCACATAACATGGCGCGTGTTCCGTGCGTTCCCACCGAAAAACGCTCCGGTTCACCACGTCCACGACCCGACCATGACCCTGTTGATGTAGACGGTGTCGCTGCGCCCGTGCTAACTTCTCGCTGATCTCAATGATTGTATACTGTGTGCGGTCATATACCTCTGGGTAGTGTGTTTTCACAAAATCCAGAACATTCAGTGCCAGCGTGCCATTTCCGGCTCCCAGCTCGTAGACCTTGAAGTCTTCGTAAGGGAAGTATTTGAGCAAGTACTCAGACACCAGGCACTGAGCTATCGCCTGCCCATACCATGGCTGTAGCACATTTTAGTTATCTGTGCTAAAAACACGAAAACAGAGTTGCCCACCTTAAACAATTCTGTCGGAGTGTGCCATAGTTGCCTGCCAGGACCGTCCTCTTCTCCATTGCCAAACTCCCTGTACCTCTTTGCAACGTCGACTTCGAACTCGGCACTGTCTCTATACTTGTTGAAATCAAAGCCTCCCTCAACGCCGCCGCAGTGCGGAGGTGCAGTGAAGATCGTGGCGCGCTTGCTGAAATAGCCATAGTGCGGATTGTACAATGAATCCTCTATGAAATCTCGGACTAGCATCCGCACTCTGGTTGGTGGTTTACGATGAGACTCGAGGTCACGCGACGAAAGCATCGGATACTTGAGGTGTTTCGAGTCGACAGTGTTGGAGAAAGAGATATCCGCATTATAGTTGATTTTGTCATTGTGTTTCGGAGGCGGCTTGTCGTTCGCTGTCCGCGCCGTCGAAGAGAAATAGACCTTGAGGTGAATTTGTCTTGGACAACATCGGTGATTACATGAAAGTGCGCTGCGAAGCATTGGCCAGTCGAAACTGGTGAAAGTTACAAGTACAGCTGGTGCTATATGTAGTCACCTTCAAGCTTCAACAGAAACACGATCCAAATTTCCGTGTGACAATATATGCGCGGATGTCGAGTTGTTCAGCTTCCGCTTTCGAATCTAATGAATCTAATCTCCTTCAACTGCCACTACCTTCCGGTATCGGCTGGTACCACAGATCAGCGAAAATGGCTACAGCGGAGCGCTTAGTTCGCTCCTGGATGGCATCAGAGAAAGACTCCGAAATCGACGAGAGTGTTGCTGGTACACCTTTCATTGCAAGGCGATATCAAAACTTAAACGCATTCTTCAGGAATATCAAGTGGACAATTAACTTTGTTAGATATAATAAAGGCTCTTGGTGAATTCTTAACATCTGAAGAGGACCGCTTGCGGACGAAAGGTGAACTTGTCCGTCACGTCCTGGTGTTCTTGTGCTCAGTCCTTGCAGGTGTCGAGTTTCTTTCATCTGTTCTTGGACGATGCCCACACGAAAGGCTTAATCTTCAGGCTAGTAAGTACAAATGACCTCAAGGATGAATTAATTATACTCACTGCCTTTACTAGTCCGTGTGCTCACCACGTTTTATTGCAGCAAGCTTGAAGATCTTGATACCATCATCCCTGCACTCAATGGTCTGACTCACCTTGTCAAGTTTCCTAACATACAGTCGGCTGAGGTGAAGGATGTCCTCAACGCGTACGTACTTGAATCGTTGCGCATTTTCCTTACTTTCAACATCGCCTAGTATATTCGCCAATGTCAAAATGAGAGCCCTTGTGCAGTCCACTCGCTTCTTCGTCTTCTCAATCGTCGATTCCCTGGTAACTAGCCATCGAGATACCCTCAAGGAAATGGGTAGTACTTTCCTTACAGGATACGTGAACCTTGCGGTTGGAGAGAAAGACCCTCGAAATCTCATGTTGGCCTTTGCCATCGCTCGAGTCGTGCTGGTAGAATTCGATACTCATGCTCATATTGAGGTAGGCTTCGCTTTCATGTCTTCTGCTCCATGTTCAACCGTTGCACATAGGAATTCTTTGACATAACATTCTGCTATTTTCCCATCACATTCCGACCACCACCCGACGATCCTTATGGCATCAGTGCAGATGATCTGAAGCAATCTCTTCGGTGCAACGAGGTCTTACATATTGTGTCTTCCATCCGCTAATGCTACTGCAGACTCTGTTTGAGCGCAACTCCAGCCTTCGGGCTCCTTGGAATTCCAGTCTTTCTGGAAAAACTCACTGCTGGATCACCCTCAACCAAGGTTACTGCTGCACTTATGACATTTAAATTTCAATCTAATAATCAATCTGCAGCGAGATACTCTACATGCAATGGACATCTGTCTTCCGGTCTACGGATCTGCTGTGTCGCGCGAGTTAGGGAAGAAAATATGGAGCTCTCTGAAACTCGAAGTAAGATTCTATTCCCTGAAATTTTGAGTATAACGTTACCTTGAGTCAGATTTTCCAACCGACTGATCCAGATACAGAACATTCAGCCCTTAATACGTTGCAGGTCCTTGTTAGAACCATGTATGCTGATGAATCCCAAGACGCAGTAAGCGAGGACTCCATCACGGGTCTCGCACGAGACATGTGTAGCGAGTGCATGCAAGCGTTGAAGGAGCCTGAGAAAGCTCAAGCAAGGGCTGCAATGAAGGTTATATGTGCCTTTGCCCGAGCTAATGGTAAGCATCGTACGGTCATACAAGCTGGATCTCAACAGTTTTCATTCACCAGGGCCACTTTCCAGTTTTGCAGTCTCGCAAGCTGCTGAGCTTCTTATTAGAAATTTCCATGACCCAGATGAGGTATCGAACCGGGCGTCAGTGGTTATGTTACTCACGGACTTGATCGAAGCCTGTCGGGGTGATGCTACGCATTCCTCCATCTCCCAGTCTTCGCACTCAACATCATCCCCACTCACTACCTCGAAGGATGCCCTCCTTGGGCTCCTCATTGTCAGTTTAAAAGCACCTGCGACATGCCTGCCAGCACTGCATGGTCTGACCGCACTTGTGCGCACTCCTAAATTAGTAGCTGATGATGAGCTTGGGTACATAGTGCTCGAGGTCAGCGAGCTGCTACGCAAGGAGCCTGATGAAGTAGAAGACGTGACGTATGAACATTTTTTCTCTCCATCTACGATGAGCTACTGAGGTTCTTGGTTTCAGCACGGACACCCTTACACTCCTCTCTGCCATCGCTGGTATTGCGCCGCACCATCTATCATCACAGACGCTCCCAATCCTTATTTCCTTCCTCCCGGATGTTACTCCATCTAGGGATGCCACCACGCAGCGCGCATTTTACTGGCGCGCCCTTTCGTCTCTCAGTGCCCTTTGTGTACAACCACAACTTTTTGAGACGTTGGTTGTCAGGCTCATCGCTAAACTTGATCTCCTTTGTGCGATCTCGCCAACTCGGACGATTGACCAGGAAAGTACAACTGCGTATGCCCATGCTATCCTCACGGCACTCGCAAATACACTCGACGTCAAAGTCTCTTCGAAAGACGTAGATGTCCCCAAGTACGCCGAGCAGCTACTGCCGCACATATTCAGATTGTACTTGGATGCTGCGCTAGCGAGCTCGGAGGTGGTGGCTGTTGCTGCAGATCCGAGGCTGCTGCAAGTTGGTGCGAGGATTATCAGACTTGTGAGTCAGACCTTGAATGTTGCGTGAGTCTTTGTCTTATCCCTGGGTGGACGCCATTGACCAAGGTGACAGGCAACAAGAAAAACTTGTTGCCGCCGTGTTTGCCGCCTACACGCAAGGTAACGTGAAGCTGATTACTGGCGGTATCTCAAACTCAACCACACCATTCGCACCTCTCCACGTGAGTGCAACGTTGACATTCCCCTCATACGTGACGTTTACTCTGATCCTAGCTCGATGCCAGTCCCCGACAACGGAATAGTTTCACTCTTTTCTCTTCTACCATTGTCTCATTACGCAAGGAGGTATGTCGCTTTTCAAGCTGAATTTCCGTACTTTTGTTTATGCTGCTTCAAGGTTCGCATGCCTGTCGACAATCTATCCACTTTCCTCTCTGAACTGGTCGCGTGGAGTGATAACCCATCTAGTACAGCGTTCCAACGAGAAGCTGCATCCCACGTTCTTGCATCCAATGTCAATAAACATGTCGACGGTGATTCACCAAATCTTTTTCATTGTAATCAGACTGATCACTTCTCTTCAGATGTATCTGACTTTCTGACATTCCTGCTGGAGGGCTATTCGTCATCAGCCCTCAAGAACACAAGTATCCCAGCAGAAGCACGCAAGAACGCGATCAATACCTGGATATCCGTACTCGCCTTCTAGCTCGCATCCTATTTACGCTGATTTTGCTCTCCAGGTCACAAGGGCGCTCCTTGTGCGCTCTCACCCCTCCGCAAATGCATTCATTGATCACTTGTTCGAGCTTTTGGATGACAGCACAGTCGACTGGGATGCAGCGCGAGCGATTGGTTTGCTTGCAAACGAGGATGCCGTATTGACGAAGCGCAATAGTGCTGTTCTTAAGGTATGCAAAGGAAACCTAGCAGAATCCAAAAAAACTGCATATCTCTAGATTCTACACGTGCAGAAGTACTTCAATGCAGTGATGCCGCGGTTATTAGAAGGAGTCAAGGGTATGTCAGGTGTTCATGCTCTATATAATCTAACACATTTCCCATTTGCAAGGATCGCGAAGAGAGACTGCATATTTGGTTGCTTTGGCGTACCTCATCAATGTTGTACCGAAAGCGGTCTACGTTACTCAGATGCCCTCAGTGAGTCGTCATTTATTCGACCACAACATATTGGTTGGCTTGCTGACGGTGTTCCCCTAGTTGATGCCTATTCTACTACGCGGACTCGACCTCGCTGACCCATCCATTCGTTCACACATTATTAACACATTGTCCAACAATATCGAGATTACATCCGCTGATAAGGACGCTGTCTCGATGTATGCGTCGACTCTCGTGCTTGCCATGCTGAAAAATTGCATGTATTCGGAAATGCCTGACCCTGTGCGTCGTTCAGGCGTTCATTCGTTTTGTTTGAAATACTCAATGGCCAAAGGGAGTACGCGCGGCGGCGCTCAAATACCTGGCATTGCTGCCAGGTACTGTGCGATATGATTTGCTGCATCCTTACAAGACGCGTGCATTGAAGGAGTTGGCAAAGGTTTTGGATGACCCTAAGCGTGCAGTGAGGAAGGAAGCAGTTATCGCAAGGTATGGCATGATAACATTTTCAGTCGTTCACCTATTCACCATAAATTAAACAGGACGAATTGGTCAGTTTCTATGTGAGCTAGTTCATCTAGCGCCAGAACTAATTGTTTGGGCCAGGTACAAATACAGTGGGTAGGTATGATAATATCGTGGGAGGGGCACATCATGAGGTCGTCTAGCTAGAGCGAGGTTGCCACCTTGAGCGTCAAAAATGTGGCCTGCTAACCCTGGTTATGTCGCGATGCGGAACCTAAATAGATGCCAGCATGAGCGTTCCCCCCGTCATGCTTACATACCACTTGATTGACAATGATAATTTATCTATGGCAGACGGTCCTCGGTGCCCCATGTTTGCGTAAAACTTGTCCTCCGTACCACGCAAGTTATCCAAATCCGACTTTCGTGTGCCAAGTATTGTCCGCGCCGAAAACACTGCACTCTCAGGCTGCTTCTTGTCCAGTGAGTATGTCAGCTAGCCGAGGGATGGGGCCGAGGCAATATAGGGCAATGTGCTCCCTCACCGATGCCAGTGACACTATGTCTTTAGTCTTTGGCTGGGGTCCCCGGATCTGGTGAGCATCTATTCGTGGTCCTTCACTCTCCGTTGAAAGCTACTAGTCCGTGCACTAGGTGGGACGGTATTTGGCGGACGCATCGATCTGGATAGCGATCGTGGATTTCCTGGCATTTTCTCGGCCCACAAAGCTCTCGATGAACGCGACGCGGAAATTCCAGTCATTCGAAGTCCAGCACTGGTTTCACAATGTTTGCAGAGTTGCATGTTCCCGAGAGTAGTCTGCTGATGTCTTGTTTTCTTTCAGCCACCCGGAGACATTTCCTTGTCGCGTTTCCCTGGCATCTGTGAAGATAAATACACAGCAGCAGAGCAATTGTGATCGTGGTGCAACATGTAGGTTAAGTGTAAACGTTTAAACGACCCACGGAAATAGCTTTCTGCTTTGAGATCAAGTTGTTGAAGCTTTGAACCTGAAGTGCCTCTTCTTTCGTGCAATTATATTTCTGACTGAATATTCGGACGAGGACGCTGAGGTTCTGAGCCTACTTGCGCAGTGCCGGATCGATCGAAGTATCCCAGACCTAAATAGCAGGGTTCTTGGGCTTCTCTTCGTCTTCTTCAGCCTCTTCTCTAGGAGCTTTCCTTGCTGTTTCTGGGATATCCTCGTCAGCAACCTTGCCTTCCTCCCATGCCTTGCGGAGGCGGTCTTTGTCTTCGTCTTTGAGGTCGTCAAAGCCATCGAGCTCATCGGCGGATGCAATTTGAGATTTCATGTTGGATATAACCTTGGCGGTCGTACAACCCCAATGGCGCCATGAGCTGCCGAACGAGTGTTAGAAAGCAATCTCTGAGTATGGTATGTAACCCACTAGCTGGTGTTGCCCCTGAAATCGACGACAAAGCCAACACGGAGCTCCCCTTTAGCGATTGAACTGCCTGTAGTAAATATTAGATGGTGAAATATATTATTACAATTAACTGTGCGCACCAGAGCAGGGTTTGGGACCTGTCAATGAAACTGTATGAACAACACACAAAGTCAACAAGGAATACGACATGCCGCACCTTTGCATTTGGCTCTGGCAGAAGTCGCGTATTCCAGGCGATAACCGCTCTTTTTATTGGTTCCCTCGTTGTTGGACATCGCTGAGAGTGTTGAATCTGAGATATTTCAAGTGTGGAAGCGAAAGGAAAGATAAGATAGGCTTCAAGCAGTTTCGGTACACATCACGTGCTATGCGTGACAAAAGCAATGAATGTATATAGGATGTTCGTAGCGACAAGATATAAAAAAAGAGAAACGGAAGAGTTGTAGTGTATGTACTTCTCGACGAGTCGTCCATTTCAGAATTACCATTTGTGCAAAATTGAAGGAGGAGATGGCAACACAAGCAAGATGTGACTTGCTGTGACTTTACTTGTGATCACACCGGAAATGTACCTTGCATCTTGCTTGTGTTGCTATCTCCTCCTTTAATTTGCACAAATGGTAATTCTGAAATGGACGACTCGTCGAGAAGTACATACACTACAACTCTTCCGTTTCTCTTTTTTATATCTTGTCGCTACGAACATCCTATATACATTCATTGCTTTTGTCACGCATAGCACGTGATGTGTACCGAAACTGCTTGAATCCTATCTTATGTTGGACTTGGAGGTTGGGAGACTCCAACTGTGTGATGACTAATCAAGGAAGTCGGAGTTTGAAGAACTTAGTGTGATCAAACACTTTGGTCGATTCGACTTGCCATTTCGCGAAGTATGTGGGTAAGTCTCGTCGCCATCGCTTCTCGTAGAAAGGATACTGACTAGGTGGGATAGACTGAACATCGGAATCCGGAGGGAAGGACGTACTGGTTTAATACTGGCACTCGCGAAAGTGTCTGGGAGAAGCCAGATGGTGCGTATCGAGGTTTTGCCTGTCCAGTCCTGCGCTAAATGTAAATTGTTTAGACTTGAAAACTCCATTTGAGGTGATTTAATATTCTGCCTTCTAGCAGTGTGCTCGTGCTTATCTGTCCCTTCAGAAAGCTCTCGGGGAGACAAAGTGGAAAGAATACTTCTCCGGAGGCAGGAAGTATTATTACAATGTATGTCCAGCGATGAAGATCCTTCTCATTAGTGTTTAATCTACTTGAACAGACAGAATCAAAAGAATCAAAATGGGATATGCCAGACGAGCTGCTCTTGCTCCTTGAAAAAGTCGAGAAGGAGAAGCAAAACAGCCAACTTGTAGTTGCCGGCTCCATTTCGTACGTCCTTAATCTATTTCCCTATACTTTCTTCCGACCGTTTAATTACAGCACACCGTCTGCTCCAAATCCTGCTATGACAGCCCCAGCGCAGCCTGATGGCACCGTAGCCCTCACAGGCTCTGGCGCGCTCCCCTTCAGCAACACAGGCGTTCTTCCCGCACGGCCGAACCTTCCGGATGACCCTACCATTCCTCACAACGGTTTTGCCACCTTTGAGGAGGGTGAGAAAGCTTTTTATGCATCTCTTGCGCAAGGCGGGCGTTGACGCGGAATGGACATGGGACCAGACTATGCGCACCATCATCACGGATCCGTTGTACAAGGCTTTGAACTCCCTAGCTGAGAAGAAAGCAACTTGGCAGAAGGTGTGTTTCCCTCGTTCACGGTATAGCATATTACTTAATTGTCGTGACATGCCCAGTACACAGATGGTCTGCGTCAGAAGGAAGAAGAAGAGCGTGAAGCACGGCTTTCGAAGCTCCGCCCAGCTATACGTAACATGCTCAAGGGCAATCCGAGCGTGTTTCATTACACTACGTTCGCTACCGCGGATAAATTATTCTCGCAGCATCCCATATGGCAGCAAGCTCGTATCGAGGCTGAGCGGAAGCTCATATTTGAGGAGTATGTTGCAGAGCTCAAGCAGCGTGAAGTGGTGTGTTCTTGTTTACTCTCCTGATCGTGAATGCAACCTCCTCACCCACACTCACATCCACAGCAAGAAACCCGTGCTGCGCGCACACGTGCAACCTCCAAAGTCGTGTCTCTTTTCAAAGAACTCGATGTGGATGTCCTCACACGTTGGCGCAAGGCTCACGAAATGGTCACGGAGTCCCCCGATTGGCAAGCTGATCCCGAGCTGCGCAAGCTCCCTACGCTAGACATCCTCCTTGCGTTCGAAGATTACTCGCGTGTCAAAGAGCGTGAGTTTGAAGAGCAGATGCGCCGCGCACAAGTTGAGAAGACACGTGAGGAGCGCAAAGCCAGAGAGGCGTTCAAGGCATTACTGCAGGACCTCGTGACGGCTGGAAAAATCAAGGCGCGCAGCAAATGGCGTCATGTTTACCCGACTTTTGCTTCTGATCAACGATACCTCAATATGCTCGGCAAGCCTGGATCGAACCCCTTGGAACTCTTCTGGGATGCTGTCGATGCACTTGACCAGAGGCTCGATGGTAAGATCGCTGTTGCTGAGGAGTGTGCCAGGCGCGGCGATGACCCCAATGCCATGGACGTAGTGAAAAGTGATAAGGAGAAAGAAACTGTGAGCGTGGTGGGCGCGCAGACGACATTCGAAGAGTTCAGGGCACGCGTAAGGAGGGACCCCGACAGCGTAGGAAAGCTCGGGGAGGATGATTTACGCGAAGTATACGACACGGTGTGTTACTTTTCTGCGTGTAGATGACGAGAGTGCTCATGAGTCTGGTAGGTTCACGATCAAGTCGTGAAGAAGCAGAATGAAGAGAAGCGCCGCGCGGAGAGGAGGCACAGGCACCTGCAAGATGATCTTCGCTACGCGATGAAGAAGCTTTCCGAGCCGCTTGACATCACGTTGTCGTATGAAGCTGTACGTCTTTTCTAGCCCTCCCTTCCCATCAAATATTAATTTAGATATCTATGCAGGCTGTCCCCTTCATCGAGAACCTCCCTGAGTACAAAGCCCTAGACGATGACGAGGGTCGACGTTTAGCCTTTTCCAAGTTTGTGAAGAGGCAAAAGGAACGATTGCGTGAGGCTCTGTCGGAGGATGGTGCTTCAACCACGAGTAGACGTCGCAAGGACCCTGAGCGCGAACGTGAGCGGGATCGTGACCGTGACCGCCGCGATGACCGTGACAGAGAGAGAGACCGCGAGCGAGATCGTGAGCGGGACAGGAGACACCACCATCGCGAGGACCATGATGGGTACCATGGGCGTGAAAAAGACGGGCATGGCGAGCGTGAGCGCGAGCGGGAAAGAGACCGTGAGCGTGACAGAGAGAGGGACCGCGAACGTGAGAGGGAGAAGGACCGTGAACGTGAGAGGGAGAGGGAGAAGGACAGGGAAAGAGACAGGGATCGCGAGCACAAACGGCATTCACGAGACGAGCGGGATGGCAGGGATGAGCGCAAGCGTAGGAAAGGTTCGAGGGAACGTGGTTATGGGCGGACTGATGCGCCTCCATACGGGGATGAGGAAGAGGCTGATCATGTAGGGGATAAACCTGAGCAGAGCAAAGAACGGAAACGGGGGTCTGATAGGGCACATAGTGAACGCGCTGAAAAACGTGCTCGTTATGATCCTGATATAGATTCTAGGGAAGAGCGCGGAGAACGATCCCGGAGGGCGGAAACGCCTGAAGAAGGGGAGATATGATACCTATACGCTAGTTTTTAATATTCACTGGCTTCAGTTTTCTTGTGTGATCATTCAGATTAGAAGACAAAATATTATGATACTGCTCGGACTAATGCTATAGATTCGAAGGCTCGGGGAACTCAATGGAGCCTATACGCAGACGAGTGTATGGATGCTTGTTCTTGATCGTCTTCTGGTAACCCTTTCTACGCTTCTTCTTGAAGACCACCTCCATTTTGCCCTTGGTATGCTCAACAACGGTAGCCTCAACCTTAACTCGACTTGGGGATATTACGGGATCACCGCGAAGGGTGTAATCCCGTGAGCCAACCTCATGTATGTCCTGCAATGCCAACACATCACCAACGCGTACGTCTTTAAGATGTGGGACTGTGAGTAAGTCCCTGGGTGCGAGGAGATATTTACGTCCTGCGAGAGATGCGACGATGTATTGCGAAGGTTGGGAGCGGATAAGAGAAAACGCGGCACAAGTGTTTTTCGGGAGCGCTGCTTGCGTCGACACCGAACATGATGCCACTAAAAATCATGTCAGAAAGCACTGTTAATATGTAAAAAATGACTGACCGCGTCTTAGATTATTTGATAGCCAATTGCGAATTTGCCAACTAGCCATGGCGAAATGAACACCAGCAGCTGTTTTCAAGTAAAGGCTGTGTGACCGCGTGACACCGTGACACGGAGAGCCGTTTTAGTCGGAGATTCAAATTAAGTCTGTTCCGAGAAATTCCTTTAACACCGACTCTGCTCGTTCCTTCTCATCCAACTCTTTCCTGTCGTGACAATGCACAGAATCGCTCTCCAGAACTCGGCGCGCAGAGCTGCCTTTGCTGCTGCTCCCAAGGTCCTGCTTTTGCCGCTTTTTCCTACTCAATTCATGCTCATACGACTTTTTATGTTCAGAATGTTGCTGCACTGGCCTCCCGGTCATATGCTACCGCAAAGCCTGGTGCGTATTCCTTTACAGCGTGTTCTGCTGTGTTTGACGTGTATTGGAACTTTCCAATGTCATTCATTACATTGCGTGTCATAAACAGCCGCGTCGGAGGTTTCTTCAATACTGGAGTCCCGTATTGCCGGTACCGCTATTAGTGGAAATGTCGAGGAGACTGGCCGTGTCTTGAGTGCGTAGTCGCGGTGGTCATTTTCAGTCTGTTGGTCTCATAGTATCCGCAGGCGTCGGTGACGGTATTGGACGTGTCTGGGGTCTCAAAAATGTCCAGGGTAAGTCGTGATTCTCGACCATTCATTCCATGCAAATGACCTTGTTCGCAGCCGAGGAGATGGTGGAATTCTCGTCCGGCGTCCGCGGCATGTGTCTCAACTTGGAAGCTGACAACGTCGGTGTCTCCATCTTCGGTAACGATCGTCTCATCAAGGAGGGCGACACCGTCAAGCGCACTGGTCAGATTGTCGATGTTCCCGTTGGCCCAGGTCTTCTTGGTCGTGTCGTTGACGCTCTCGGTAACCCAATTGATGGAAAGGGTCCCATTGAGGCTGCTGAGCGGAGGCGTGCCTCCCTTAAGGCTCCCGGTATCCTGCCCCGTCGTTCCGTCAACCAGCCTATGATGACCGGTCTTAAGCCCATTGACGCCATGGTGCCCATTGGTCGTGGTCAACGTGAGCTTATCATTGGTGACCGTCAAACCGGAAAGACTGCCGTCGCAATCGATACCATTCTCAACCAGAAGCGATGGAATGATGGCAAAGATGAGGACAAAAAGCTCTACTGTGTCTACGTCGCTGTCGGCCAGAAGCGTTCGACTGTCGCTCAGCTCGTCAAGACCCTCGAGGAAAATGACGCAATGAAATACTCTATCATTGTTGCTGCTACTGCCTCAGAGGCTGCCCCCCTGCAGTACCTTGCACCCTTCTCTGGCTGTGCCATGGGCGAGTGGTTCCGTGACAATGGCAAGCACGGTATGCTGTTATTCGCTTCTTCGGGTGAATTCGGTACTGAGAACTATGTTAGCCCTCATCATCTACGACGACTTGTCAAAGCAGGCCGTTGCTTACCGTCAGATGTCTCTCCTCCTCCGTCGCCCTCCCGGTCGTGAGGCTTACCCTGGTGACGTCTTCTACCTCCACTCCCGTCTCCTTGAGCGTGCTGCCAAGATGAGCGACAAGTTCGGTGGTGGATCTCTCACTGCGCTCCCCATCATTGAGACGCAAGGTGGTGATGTCTCCGCCTACATTCCTACTAACGTACGTCATATCTGCCCAATGTCACACATTTCTTGATCCACATCTCGCGTGTAGGTCATTTCGATCACTGACGGCCAAATCTTCTTGGAGGCTGAGCTCTTCTTCCGTGGTGTGCGTCCCGCCATTAACGTCGGTCTCTCTGTGTCTCGTGTCGGTTCTGCTGCCCAGACGTTCGTATCCTTGTGTTTTTTCGTATATCATCCTCAACCCAATTTTCTCTGCCTATAGGAAGATCATGAAGAAGTTCGCCGGTTCTCTTAAGCTGTACCTTGCTCAGTACCGTGAAGTCGCTGCCTTTGCCCAATTCGGTTCAGATCTTGATGCTTCAACACGTTTCCTCCTCTCCCGTGGTGCACGTTTGACTGAGCTCCTTAGTAAGCAAATGCGTTCGATGATCTAAAAATATGGCTGATGTCTTTTAATAGAGCAAGGGCAATATCAGCCCCTGCCCACCGAGATCCAGGTGCCCATCATCTACGCTGGTGTCAACGGTCTCGTACGTAACCTATCTTCTAAGCCTTACCTACTACTCACTAATCTCATCACGCAGCTTGACTCTATCCCCGTCGACAAAATCACTTCATGGGAAGCTGAATTCCGTTCACATCTAACTGCTACCCAAAGTGCACTCTTGGAAGAGATTGCGACTGGCAATGTTACCCCCGAGATGGAGGCTAAAATCAAGAAGGTCGTCGAGGACCACGTCTCGTCGTTTACCTCCTCATAGACTAGATATCCTTGTGTATCTAACTCGATCATTGTTATAACGGACACGCACTAAAGTCCCATCGCGAATACCATGATTATTTTCGCAGCGCGATTGTGATATTGTATATAAGTCAGCAGCATGGTGAGATACGAGGCCTGTAAAGTGGGGTACATCAAATTCGGCAGAGCTGGCAACATAGTAAAATTAAGTTCATTCTGCAACTCCTGTCTCGCTCTCATCTTCGTCGTCATAATCCTCGTTTTCGCCCATGGACTCCTTGAGCTAGATTACGTGCTCCGTCGGTATTACTGTTCTAGGAAGTACAACAAATACGCACCATTTCTAGTAGTTCATGACACTCGTTCAGGTGTGCCATGACGATACCCTGTCCTTCGGGAATATTTCCACCTACGCCCACGAATCTGCCGTCTTTCCGCATGGAGTCGATCTGGTGCAGGGCCAGTTGATACTATGAAAAATAAGCTCCCTGATACCAAAAGAATCAAGGAACCAGAAACCCACGGGGTAGAGGTCCCGAGGCGTAAACGGACCGCCAAATTTGTATACTTCGTTGAGACACTTCTTCACTGTGGAGAGTTTATTGGCCTGCATGTGATGCATGAGAATCATGATCGAGGACAGATGGGAGAAAGACACACGATGGGGATGAGTTCCTCGGATACTGGCTCGCTCGACGATAACAGACGGTAGATAAGACCATAACACCGTCTCAACAAGTACAGCAGGACCTACACATCTGTGAATAGTTGCACGTGCGCCAAGTACAGGCACCACTCACGTACTGTCCTGGTGGCCTATTACCCTCTGTATCGACAAACTTGCCATCAATACGCATCTTGTCGATCTCCTGCAGGCTCATCGAATAATTATAGAGATCTGTCTCGCGGAGACTCCATCTATGCGTGAGGACGAGATTCTCCAATTCCGCGCGCAGCTCGTTCAGGCGGTCATGAATGGGCTTGAGAGAAGACGCGACGTTCTTTGACTCATCCTGCGCTTTTATTTGCTGGAGGATGTCAAAACATTCTTCGATGAGGGAAGTGCAAAGTGCTTGGGAAGCTGGCATGGTTCCTCCTGGGCCAAGGAATTTCCCGTCGACACGTTTGCTGTGAAGGTGATAAAGAAGGAAGATGTAGTTTAGTTGATGGCGCACTCACGAGTCGATCTTACGCAGTTCCTCAGCCAGAGACTTTATTTCGGTTTTGTGTGAACCCTCTTTGGCAGCCAGTGCGACGAGTTGTCTGCGAATCGTGACGAGGCGTTCATGAATGGGAACCAGCTCTACTGAGAGCACCGACAGAGAATCTTGGAGTGATCGCATGATAACATCTTTAGAACCGCAGCACGCATTGAGCGACTTCAAAAGGATATTCGGAGATGAAGGCGCACCACATTCATTGAACTGGCGCTCCAGGAGCTTCGTCATAGCTTCGGGGTGCTTACTGCTCTCAGCATCTTGTTGTACTATGTGGCGTAGCTCGCTCAGTCTCCGTTGGAAAGGGGCTAGGTCCGATTCATTGTAGACTCCCGATTCTTCCATGTGACTGAGCAATTGCTGTGCATGACAAATAACGATCAGTACTAATCTTCATACAGCAGACGAATATCTGAGGATATGGAAGTAATGCGGTGGACAATAGCCGGCTGGATCTCCACAACACAAGGCGCATATCATCCGCAATATTAATGAAATGATAGAGGTGAAATACTGACCCTCATGGAGGCCAGCTGTGAGTACACAGCGGGGCACTCCTTCGTTCGCCCCAATGTAAGATAACACAAGGAAAGGAGGCTAAACACATCGGCCAGTGTTGTATCCACTCGATTGTTGTAAGTGGTGTTATCATCACGAACGTCGTTGAGTTTTGTGACTATCGAAGAGAAATATCCAAAATGAGATAAAATAATACTTGGAAAGAAAGAAAGAATTATAGCTACCTTGTTTAACGACGGCCTGGTAAAGGGCATTCACATCTGACGGCTTGATAAACTCGGCACGGTCCCTCTTCAGGGCAGTAAGCCGGTTTCGTATGCTGCGGTGGGTAAGGGTTCGTTGCACGCGTAGCAATAAGAGCGCGCACGAGACTTACTTGATCACGGCCTCGAGGATCGGCAGTTCTGATATAAGAGTGAGTCAGTGAAGCCCGGGATCAAAAGTAGCATCTGCCACTTGCCCTCTTGCGCGACCGGTGCGCTCATCTGTAAGATTCACTGTTCTTGCTCGTCGTCGAGTACGTTGGACACTGATTGTATTTCTTCAAGGAACAGATACGCCAGCAAACCAGCTTCGTCTCAGCTTAACCAGATTTGACCTATCATGATCGGAAAAGGCAAGTGCTTGCTTTATCGTCGATTTCATGTTTCCCACGGTGTTGTCCCATTTAAGCTGACTGTGGCTATTGGCAGTGCCCAGCAAGGTGCCCGTCAAAGTTGGTTTGCTTCCTCGTTCACCATTACCATCGTCTACACCATCTGCACATCCATCAAACACAATGGAGAAGATCAAAGAGGTTGGCAGCGATCGTTTGCGTACATTCGATCTTACTGAACATGCGCTTGTAGAAAATGAACCAGCTGCGCTTGGAGGCAGACAATGCGGTCACTCGCGCTGAAGAATCAGAAGCTAAGAACAAGAAATATGATCAACTTATCCTTGAAAAGGATCAGGAGATTACTTCGATGACCCATAAGATCTCTGTTCTTGAGGCGGAGCTTGACAAGGTAGACGCGAAACTTGCGGAAGCCAAGGCTTCACAGGACGAGGGAGAGTCGTTGAGAAGCACGAACGAGAACCTCACAAGAAAGATTGCGTTGCTGGAGGAGGAACTTGATGCTGCTGAGAAGAACGTGAAAGAAACGATGGAGAAGTACGTTGTAACCACCACCATCATCTGTTGTCAACGACTGATCACCTATTCAGGCTACGGCAAGTGGACGTCAAGGCAGAACACTTCGAACGCCAAGTTCAACGGATCGAGCAAGAGCGTGATCAATGGGAGAAGAAATTCGAGGTATCTTGATGTGCTCTATGCTGTTAGAAATGCCAACTGACACTCTTGCACAGGAAATGCAACAGAAGTACAAAGCATCCCAAGCAGAACTGGACAACATGGTCGCCAACATGGAGTCACTGTAATCTGTTTCTTCATGTCTCCTGCGCTCTCTATATAGAGCTTCGATCTCGACTATCTCATACCACAGCCTGCACAATGTGGTCACGACTTTCTACGCGACATTCTCATAATTCTTCTACCAGGAATAGTGTCTGATTATTGAACTGAATAAATTCTTGCCCCAGATCCTTTGGCTGATCTTACGATCCGGCAACTCTTTGTTCCCAGTAAGTTCCTTGTTGAAGTGTTAGGGGGTTTGCAAGTCATGATTACATAAGTTGTAAGCGTCGGCACGTGACTAGACGCGCCCGAACCCATTTCCTCATGCCCTGCGAGTCATCGACAATCCATCAGAATGACCAGGCGGCAGCTGACATTTACAAACGCGTGGACACCGCATGTTCTTCTTCAGCTCGACCTTCGGGACCACAACGCAGACACATAATTGTTTGCTACTTACCGGGTACGAGGTGGCCGTTTTTATCAACCGCGTGAAGCAATACTAGTCGGTGTCCACTGAATATTGGCCGATATGTCGCCCGCTTTGATGACAAACACTTTTGCCTTTCTCTATTCCCGCAGAATTTCATCAATACAAATGGGGCGGCTCCTAGCACACACTCTTCAAGTTGCCAGCTATCATCCGAGTTTATGGATCTTGCGTTCCTCGATTCTCAATCCCATCATGTATCGCCTGAATGCCGTATTCCCTGTGGCTTATTTGGGCTCTATACTTAGGTCTTCCTCTTGGGTCTCATTCGTCCATTTGCGGCAGTGCCTCACAGTGCTGAGATTGGCCTATCATCTCCTAGGTCGTATCTAGGACTGCGTGGACGTTCTTATTGAGGTGAAGAGCTCATGTGCTTATCTATGCATTCTTATTATCAAAGTGCATCACCCAGTTCATCGTTGTTGTCGAGATTCGGCTTTCCATTCAACTATCGTCAATGTCCTCTCCCTCAGGTGAGATACTGAACAAGCTGAATTTCATAATCTACAGTGCGTCGCCGGCCAATGGTACATATTGTATCTGCATTATAATGATATCCATATAACCAAGACTTTATTACTCCTTAAAGTTCAGCGAGACGGAATTCACGCAGTGTCGTTCGTCGGCTGTAGAGGTTGTGAGACCCAGAATCAAAATTATGCAAGATAGAAAGGAGCGCACTTGGCGTGTCGAATCCTTCTCCCTTGAACACATGCCCGAGGTGGCCACCGCATGCGGTACAGGTAATCTCTATCCTAGTCATAAACATTGACCGATCTTGATGCCTATTAACGGCACCAGGGATCGCTACGATGAACCATAAGAGAGAATATGGATTTCCCAGAATAACAAGTTACCATCAAAGAAAGCAGGCCACCCGCAGCCGCTGTTAAACTTGGTGCTGCTCTTGTATAGTGGTGTCCCACAGCCAGCACAGGAGTATACGCCTGGCGCGTCATGGTGATTGTAGTCCCCTGTGTTGGGCGCCTCTGTTCCCTTCTGACGGAGAATTCTAAACTACCTCCGACACAAAGAGTGAACATACATCTAAGGTGTAGATCGGAGAACACACCTGTTCTGGAGACAAGATGGCACGCCATTCGTCTTCAGACTTTGAGTTAGCGCCCATGATGAAGGAAGATCGATGGAAACGAGATTTGAAAGTCAGGAGAGAGGCTCTTCTGATGCTGGTGAAAGACGCAACAGACCTGTTATACCGCAGGAGACTGGCGGGGTTTGCGATCATATGGACGTGCTGGCAATATTAATGGCTGGGCAAGACGCTGACAATGACGTCAGGTGACCAGCCGAAAAGGGTCAGGAAAGTCGTTATGTAAATTATGTGTTACATCTTTGCAGCAACATCCCAGGCCTATAGGCCTAAGTTCTTGAATGAATCTACGGGGGACCAACAGAAGACTCTATCAATCACAATGGGTTGCCATAATTATCATTCGAGTACCGACAGCAAATATTGGAACGCAAGGAAGCCTGCGCGTGGACTCGGATGAGCGGACTCAGCGGAGGATACTCTGTCATCCATCTATTTCGTTCTTATCCTTTTGCCCTCCAAGTGCTGCCACTGGTGGTGCTAGGCGAAAAAGTACATGCTGCATCTTCTTCAGTTCTATCAAAGCTTTTCTATACCCAAATTGATGGACCCCATAATTATTGGCTTTGAACGGACGTCTGTCGACCGCAATCAACCAAACTGCTTTCCCAATTTAGTCCACCTCAAGTTGGATATGCGGCAGCATAAAGATGCTCCGGGTGCCATTCTCTTACATCCTCGCCGTTTTTCTCTTTTGACGAACCCTGAGTTAAGCCGGCCCCTTCCGTTGACCAACTCCCTGGTTCGATTTCCAACCCGAACGGCGTTCCTCGACTCGCTTATAACAGATCTACTTCTCTTTTTTTTTATCTCATCGTGTATAACCTACGAACACTTCTCCGTGTGCTTTCGAGCAGTAAGCTTGAGTCGTCTGTGCTATCATCTCTTTGGTGCGTACGTGTGTCCACGATGCATGTCACGTGTTCCATGTCTCCTTTGTCCCTTCGGCCTTCGCAAATGTTACAGACTGCCTCATATTTTAGTTCGAGTATTCATGGAACCCGTCCATCATGCATCATGATTGTGCAGGACCCCACAAGATAGAACTCTGCGCCATCCAGCGAGTGACAGCTAAGGATACGTTATCGTACCAGGGCAATTTGTGCTTCACCTAGTATTCCTGCATTGGGGGCCCAGTGGCTTTTCACTGTTCTCATCCGCTGCACCCAATGTGGGAAATGTGGAGGATATCAGTATCTCGTGTTAGACTCGTAACCAGTCTGACTAACAACTATGCGCCAATTTGAGCTACGGTGAGATTTTTGCACTACTCGAGCATCCGTGAATATAGCATACGGTAGGCTGGTCACAAGCTTGATCTCATGTGCCACACAGAGCTCAACGTTGCAACGTCAAAGGTCGTAAAGGGTGCCGCTCGACTATTAATTAGTCGACACACGAAAGACAAACTCCGTTGTTTGAGCTTTCTGCATTGGAGAACAATGATACCCAGAAGTAGCCATGGAACAAGGAACAGATCGTGATGCCATCATGCGGCAGGTCAGTGGCACTTTGTCCTCCTGGCAGTACAACACCCATACGTCAAAATCTCGACACACGTTACGTGGATCGGCAAGGACAATGTGCCATCTCAAATCCGATCAATCGCGATGATCGGTCGCCGCTCCTCAAGGCCTCGAGAATGTTTTCCAGCCTCGCGGAATAGAAACTGGGATTACGGCTTGTGACATTTGTGTGATACATCATTGCCGGAGTTTGAACTGATGCTGGAAGTATAGACGTAATTGCGGTACCCGCGTTTATCATCATCATGATGACCTTCTAGCCAGAGACCCACGAATGCCCGATCAATATTTGATGTATTACTTCAACGTTACTGCCGACTAGACATGTTATTGAACACGAATTACAACCATCAAATCAATCTAACTGAGACGTTGGGTTATTGGGTATCCAGTATTCAACCATACGCAGAGCCGACCCCTATCATTGTCATTAAACATCGCGGAATGACATCGGCAGTGAACATGACAAACCTCCATTCACCCCGAAGTTCAATGTTGTTCCTGTCAATTCCGAATCAAAAGACACCGCGCTTTGGTTGATATTGTAATAAACATTGATTTTGCAACTCGGGCTAGGAGATGATGCTCTACTTTGTGAGTGCGGGGATCTGACTGAGATATCAAGGAATCTGTTGAGTTCTATCATGGGCGATGATTTTAAAAACATACTGGTGGATTGATCATCATCATCATATTCTGCTTCTTCTTTGTATGCCTCTCTAGCTTTCGCTATTCGACTCAGCGATTCAAAGACCTCTTGTTCTTCTTGTTCATTGTGTACATCTACATTAAGGCCTCGGATGGTTTCGTTCGGAGGAAGATCGGTGACTAATCCAATAGATGTGAGATATGGACGAAGGGAAAGAACTTATCGCGCCAACCTGAAAGACAGTCTTTGTGTAAAATATGCTCAGTATTCTGCTATAGAATGCGTAGATGATACATACTCTCTACCACATCACACAGACTCCCCTCACAAACAGAGGCTTGTGCGGACTCCCCTGGACTTCCAAATACTGGCCAACAGTCAGTAAGGGAACTCGCACTGTCCTTCTGACATACCAAGGGTATCATCTTTTTCCGGCAGCAAACGTCTGACCAAGTCTTCTGAAGTTCTCTGTATGGCGATTCAACTGCAATTCTGATATGCCTGTTACGCGGCTGGTCAACTTACTTTGATACCCTTATAAGCCCGATATGTAACTTTACGAAAATGCTTGGCATCCGACTCGCGGACGAAAAGGTTAACAATGAACTTGCGGAAAGACTTCTTCCGCATCTGAAGCTGGTCTCTGAGTTTTACCGCTCTGTAGAAATGGGTGAGTAAAACTTTCTGGCTAGGTAAAAAAGCCTACTGGTCATATTGAAGCTTTCCAGCGGTGTAGGCTCGATTGTAGGTAGCTTTATCAGTTGCTGAGAGACGATCATTTTCCAACAAGTCGGCCAGCTCTCGCAGGGCTGTCAGCGATAATTGTAGATAAAGTTCGCCCTGTTCGTGATCTGTCCGGCCCTTCAGCTGGATGAAGGTAGCGGGCGAGTTCTCAAATTGGCTCGCAGGTCCAAAGTTCGCGGATATTCGAACTGTTGTGCTGGCCATTGGAGGGGGCATGGGATATAACTAAAAATCGATGGAAGTTGGCGCGCTGATTTCCTTGGTTATATACAAAGACTTGTGCGAGCGATTGATGATGAGTTCAAAGGGTAAAGATAACAAGCTTGGTTCCTTAGAAGGAAGATTATGCGGATATGGCAACGAGCAGCTACTATAAATCTGATGCTTGAGCTTGAGCGCTTGAGCCTTGTCGACGAGGAATCGTGTAATCCTCGAGATAGAACAATACAACAGAATATTTTTGTCATTCGGATAAAAGTTCCCTATCAGGATACTTTGCGGGTACGTATATATACTCAAGCTGGATATTATGAATTGTTGAGAGGTAACTTGGCACGGCGACTCACGATCGACAGCCCTGCCATTATATAATTAAGTAGTAAGTTGGTTCTGAAGTCCGCGATGTCCCGGGGTCCGAATTACCCATGTGGGCCCATGTTTGTTCTCTATCGCTTTGACAAGTTTTACTTTTAGTCCACTCCACAAGCAGATTTCTGAGGATGGCCTCGACCTCCGCTGCTCATTCTCATCTTGCTGAATACGAGATTTGGTGGAGGAGCCACTACCAATTCCTCACAGAAAAGGGTTATAAGTTGCGAAGTCGCTACAGTCCAGATTGGGTCCCCTCTTGGACGAACACCAACAAAGCTGACATAAATTGCGAGGATGGAATCGCGTCACCAGTAGGTGCTTCAATAATAGCAGTGTTCATAAATTACCATGCGTCCTTTAGCACTATCTTGTGTTGGATGCACGGCGCATTCAAGACGGTGCTCGCGTATCACTCAAGCGTATCGACGTATCGCGACACCCTTATGAGATAGAAATTGGTCGTTATTTCTCTACCTCCTCTCTTCGCAATGATCCAGCCAACCATTGCGTTCCAATCTACGATGTTCTGGAGGTGCCCGCCGACGATCATACTGTGATAATTGTCATGCCGTTGCTTCGAGATGCTACAGATCCTTATTTTGACACGATCGGGGAAGTTGTAGACTGCATCCAACAGCTTTTTGAGGTAAGGTCTTGCTGATTGACTGATTATGGCTCATTTCTGTCCATTTTCCTTTAAATTGAAGGGGCTGCGCTTCATGCACAGACATCATGTCGCTCACCGGTACGTATCTAAGTTGCTCTGGTGACTTGTCTCATGGCCCGGGCTTAGGGATTGCATGCAGCTAAACATCCTGATGGATGACAGAATGTTCATAGACCCATGGCATGCAAGCGACCAGTATATGTCGGAGGACTACAAACGAGTGGCAAGGCATCATGCGCGCACGAAGTCTCCTCCACGATACTACTACATAGACTTTGGTATCTCCCGCCAATATGAGGCATCCAACACCAACCCATTAGAAGAACCGATATTTGGTGGAGATAAAGATGTACCTGAGTTCAACGAAGACAACTTCAAACCTCGGAACCCTTTCCCAACCGATGTTTGGTATCTTGGGCATGCCATCCAAGAAACATTTCTCGATGTAAAGTGCAACAGTGGCTTCTCGTTTTTCATACTCTGATTTATGCAAAACAGCACTACTTAGGTGTGGAATTCTTGAACGGTCTGGTATCGGACATGATGCACTCGGATCCAGCACAACGTCCAAACATGGACGAAGTATTTTCTCGATTCCAGGTTATACGTCAAGGTTTCAGCAGCTGGAAATTACGTTCCCGGGTGACTCATGATGAAGAGAGATCTGTTTTTGATCTCCTAGCACATTGGACCCGTCGCATTCAGTACATAGTACGCAGGATTCCCCCAACGCATACCTCGCTGTCATAGAATGGACTTCTATGTAACTAGTCTGCTACAATGCACGAGTTTTCTGCCCTTGAATCCTCTAGAGTTTGAGATATCACGCTGACTTCACCCCACACCCTTGACTGCACAGCGTCAGATACTGTCCGTAAGGTGCATACCGACGTTCACTCTTATGTATCAACGCACTTACACTGGCGTCAGGTGACCAGCCGAGAATTGCAACAGATTTTACAGCTCCTGCAACGACTGTCTTCAAGGTCTGACTAGTCTAACTACGGGAGACCACATCAGCTCCGACAATCACGATAAACCTTCGTTATAATTCGAGTACTGACAGCATTGAAATGCAAGTCATTCGACTCAAGCCCGCGCGTCATGGAGTGCAATAAATGATGCGCACATACCGTGCCGAGTATGGGCGGAGGATGCTCTTTCATTCGTCTATTTCATTCCTACTGACCTTTTTGCCCTCCAAATGCTGGGACCTGACGAACATGTCCAAGCTGCATCTTTCGCAGTTGCATCAAAGCTTCCCTACACCCAAATTGTAGTCTCCCCTAGACAGCCCTTATGGTCGAAGGAAGATAGTCGTTTCTCCCAAATTGGGGGACCCCATGAGAATTGGCTCGACAGCACGATTGTTGAGCTCGAGCCACAGAACCAGTCTTTTATTAAGCCTGAAACCCGAACGGCGAAAACCGCCATTGTTTTGAGGACCGCACGACCCACATAAGGCGCAATCCACGGGACGGTCCTCAGGTGCACGGGAATGTAGATCGTTTCTGGAACTAGCTGGGTAATTATGATTTTTGTCCCATCGTTCATCCGTTGACGCATTCCTTGCACCAGACGCTTATCCCCAAATAGTAGGCCACTACGGCGATACACTCCCGACCGTGAAATGATGTACGCACCCTTGACCTTTCATTGATTTCTCATCTCTCGTCGTATCTCATGGGGCAGGAGGGCCCGCATTGCGGCACAAGCGATAGCTCGGTATTCTGAATCAGCCCTAAGAACTCAAACATGAGTTTCCTCATGTTTCCGTACGTGATTTCACGTGACCAGGTGGTCATCATCGCTCTACCTTTTGAAGCGCAATTTGCAAACATTCAAGTCCGTGCAGACGATGTTGTTGCGACTTCAGACGTGTGCACGGAGGTTGTTGTGAATTGAACAACTTTGGGTATCGATATTGTCCAGACGCTAAGACAGTCACATTTGTCTGATCTCTGACAAAGGTAAAGTAAAATCACATTTCTTCCAATTATACAAAGGCAGGGAAGATGTGTAGAATACATGTTGGTAAAGCTGACACCTCCCCACACATCATCTTCGTCCGTTTCCCTTGCCGTACCCGAAAATACGCTCTGCTGAATCAATAGCAGGTTAGCAACCCTCATTTGTCACTTGCTGTCTGTATCATTATTCAATATTCAACGTTAAAGATATTATTCAATCATCAATCGACGATAGCAGTGCCCAAGCCTGCATATAGGATCCCGCATGAAATGATAAAATGCCTTTGCACGAATGATGGATTGCAGATACAATATCAGAAATATCTTCACCACTGACTCGACCCACCTGGACCCCTACGCAAGCAGCAGCTCTTCATGGCATCCGCACCGCAATCGATGTTTTCAAGCGCACGTTCGGCTAGGCCCAATGATCAATGATCATCAATTGCTTGCTGAGCGCGCACAGGTGCCCACCAAAGGAATCCCGGAAGGAATTCGCATCTCTTGTGAGTTAGGCTCAGTTAGCTCAGCCTTCCTCTCAGATACCTCCATCTATTCACTCAACTTCGATCCAACCGGGTCAGTTTCCCGTCTTCTTTTACACTGATGCGCCTTCCGAATCTTTTGCTGATGCGAAGAATCACGTCTAAGTCATACTTCATGTGCACGGAGGCGGCAACGTCTCCGGGCATGCAACGTGAAAGAGGTTGATGTTATTCTTCTCTCGCATACTCTACGCGCTTGGGGAAGAAATCTGGCGCACAACGATCCAGTGCACCCATCATCGCAGCTCCTTCCCGTAGACTTGCGACGGTCCCCAAATTACAAGATCACCTCATCTTAAAAGGCTTTTCCGCCGAGAATATCACTATCACAGGTGATAGTGCAGGTGGAAACTTGGGTGCATAATGATTTATCAAGTTCTTCTCGTATTCATATCTCACTTTCATCTAGTTCTTGTCCTCACGTATATCATCTCGCAATCCACTCTGCCCATGCCAGGACATGTCGCACTCTTTTCCCCAGACGCTGACCTTACTGACGCCTCCTACACCTCCACACCTCTATCAGCCTACCAAGTCTGTTCTTCCCAGTATCTAGGCAATTTTCCTGCCAACCACCCTTTAGCATCAGGCATGCTAATTCCATTCACTGCAAGCTGGCCGAAGACATTGGTGATGACTGGTACAGCCGATAATGTTGCTGAGAGCTCACGGAGAATCGTGAGTGGTGTCCAAAAGGCGGGCGGGGATAGTGGATTATGCGGATTTGACGCATGCGTGGTGGATGTTTCCTCATATCTTTCCACAATCAGACGATGGGTTGGAGAGGCTTGCATTTTTTGTATACAATTGAATGAATTGTGAGCATGTGCATGTAACTTGATGCCGATTGCGCCTTCTGCTGCAAAGTAATCCATTGTGGTAGTGCATAGTGGAGGGCACTTTGAATTTCAGATTGTTGGCACCACTTCAAAGACGTTCCTACGATCTTTCAGCCCCGGTTTCCATGTCATCTATAAAGCAAGTTGGAACGCTGTGGGAAGTAGCATTCAGCGGGCAGCAAAGAGGCGGGATGCTCATGAAATTTGAATTATGTCCTTGCTTAGGTGAGTCGCATGCAAGTGGCTTATTCCACTCCGCTTGAATTTGCCGAGCTCGCCGAGGGGTACCCAGACTTTGTACCCAGACTCGTCTGGTTAGACTTGTACCAAGACCGGCCAGAACTCCGACATTCACGATGGCTCACATCAAGAACCAACATACATACAGCCTGAAAAACAGTCAGGCAGGCACTAATATTGACCTCTTCTCAGGTGACGAGGACTACTCCGGTAAGCATATCATCCTTGCTTCAGGAGTATCCCAAGCCAGCCTTAACTTAGTCATCGGTTTTCGCCCCCACGATGGCTCTAGCCAGGCGGTAATGCGCTTACTTGCCATCCGACTGCGGACAGGTCATGCTGATTAGCTTCTCGGTTCTTAGTGGATCTTCCAGCAGGATGGCGACCAGAGCGGGTGGTTCATAAAGTCTTCCCATTCCGGAAAATATCTTGGAATCGAAGGCAAGTCCAAAAATGGCACCGCGGTCGTTGTTGTATCAAACCCCTTCAAGTGGGATGTCAAAGACTCCAACGTCGGAAATACTAAAGGCATTAAGTGTGCATGTCTTTCATACTGCGCATGTCTGGTGATGAATTGGTTCTTACCACTTTTTGTTCGGCAGGATATTGGTCCCTGGTACGAAATTTGGCATAGACCTATTCTGGGGACTTTCGGCAAACCACACGAAAGTTCAGCTTTGGGAAAGTGACACTCAGATTTGGATGCCTACCGAGCGGGTCTCCATTAAGGATCAACAAACTTACATCCTCAGAAATCGTCAGGGAGGCACGGCTGTCGACCTCTCGAGTGCTGATAACTATTCCAGTAAGCATCATCCCTGCTCCAGGCAAGGGTATCGCTAACATTGCACAAATCCAGTTACCGGCTATCACCCCCACGATGGTTCCAACCAGGCGGTAATTTATCATCCCGTCGCGGACAGGCCGTATATTGACTAGCCTCTTGGTTCGCAGTGGATCTTCCAGCGTGTTGGTGACCAGAACGGCTGGTTCATCAAGTCTTCCCGCTCTGGACAATACCTCGGAATCGAAGGCAACGCCGATAACGGCACCAGGGTCGTTGCTGTTCCGTCTCCTTTCAGGTGGGATATTGAAGATTCTGATATCAAAGGCACTAAAGGCATTAGGTGTGCATGTCTTTCATACCGCGCATGTCTGGTGATGAATTGATTCTTATCGTTTTTTTTTTGTTTGGCAGGATATTGGCCCATGGTACGAATTTTAGCTTAGAGCTATCCAACAATGGAAGTCCAGCAAACCGCACGAAAATTCAGCTTTGGGGAAGTTGGCATAACCCCCATCAGATTTGGGCACCTGTCGAGCGGGCTTCCATTTAGGACCAGCACACTCAGCCTCAAAAATCGTCAGGGATGCACTAAACTGATTCAAAGGTATGTTTCTACCCCAGGCTCGTATAATGTAATACGAGCATACTTCATACAGATCCTCCCCGTCAGTACGACTATCTGCGGAGCATTCATCAGGGAATTGACGAGTCCTTGATTTTGTAGTTCCTGACTCCCTCATTAGTGGGATGAGGTCTTTGTGGAACACGAAAAAGCCCTCGTCGCTACAAGATGTGCGAGAATGCTGTACTTCCTTCCGTATATACCCGTCCTGACATTCTGCATCCACGAATGCCCGTTATCGAATACTGACTTGACGGACATGCCTGTTCTGAGCACGATTCGCATAACCTTATATATATGGCCTCTTGATACCAATCGAACCAGATCCAACTCATTGCCTGCAGACAGTCATTTCAACTACAGAATGTATCTCTTGCTATGCACTGGACAATATCCCCGTTGGGCGAGAAGTACATTCTTATTCCCCAATTCTTGGCCAACACTTCTTTTGTCATCACTTTCATGCGATTGATCTCGGTCGTTCTATACTTACCCACAATATCTTGGAAGGTGCCATCCTCCACTCGTCTTATATGGACGATATGTTGCACGTGCTCGTTGACCAGGCCAGCGGTCCTAGCTTGATCACTCTTTCGGTATGGACCACAGACCGACCATGTTGAAGATGAATATTCGCGCCTCACGAGAGACGGCCCACGGGAAGCAGGATTTATCAGACTACCCTGAAATCCCTCAGGTTACTGCCACTCACCGAGAGCTCTTCACAAAGCCAACAGAGAGGCCTGCGGATCTGAAAGGTAAGCGAAGGGCAGATTCGCCTTCTCAAGCAGGTATGTCAAAAAGGCGCTCAGGGAAGGACCGGACAATGATGCAGGTCCTTTCAGCACTTGACGCAATGCGCAAAGACAACAGTGCAAAAATGTGGGATGATGAGTCTGGCCAGTTAGGACGGAACTCCTTCGCCTGGTACTCCCTTCGGCCATGTTTATTGCCAATGCGAATGCACCCGCGACAAATGCAGAGGAAGGGACTGCTGGTGCCTATACATCTCGGGTCCTTTCCTGAAAGTGCGGGCCACAGGCGTAGCCTACCTGACACCAATTTGTGGATCACTGCAGTCGCAGTCCCACTCACAAAGAATTCTAGAGGACCAACATAGGGAAGTGATGAGACTTGGAGCATAAATTGAACCCGAGCACCCATGCAGGTAGGTGTGATGAGCATGAAGGGGCATTAGTCAAGTGGTATCGGACGGAGAAGTGGTGCAGATAGGTCTCCATAGTCTGCTTTGAAGGGAAACTATAGTTTAATACGCATGCGTATGTGTCGTGTGATATACAAGTATGATATATCAAGTATCAATGAAAATCGCCCAAATACCTGATCTTTGGGGGGAAACATACAACTACAGTATTTCTATCACCCTGATCTCCATCGCGTCTCGAATCGCGTCTTTGACGACCTGTGCAACGATATCACAATCTGACGCGACCCTCTTATATTCTCCTCCGCGCTGCCGCGCTAGCAAAAATGCGCCAAAAGGCTGCCCAAGGCGAACAAGCAACCGCAATGCTCGCGATTCTAAATCAACCACCTGATTTACAAGGGAACGGCTAGGTGAGTAGTCTGATAGAGAAAAAGGCGGTGTCCAATAATCCCTTTCGCTCTCCGTATCAACGTCGGGCAGATCTGCAAAGTCTGGTAGCTCGAGGAGAGACCGATCCCAGGGACGGACAAGCACGAAGGTTTGCAAAATGGGACTTGTCCGCGGAGCAATCTGCTCTTTGGTGGTGATCACCAGATCACGGAGGCCGTCTGCCTTGACTTCATATCGAATCTCCTGGGACGAAGTGTCGCTCAAACTGACGTCTGTGATACGGAAGGTGATGCAGGGCAGATGCAGTCTGCAGTTCGCGAAACGAGCAGCGCTCGTGTTATCGAGCCGGTCGTAAAGCTTCAAAGCCAAATCCACAGTGACGGGATTTTTTCGCAGAGAAGAGATAGTTGTCTGAATCTGATCTTCCGACAAAGATGGAAGGGTGCGTGGAGGACTGGTGTAAGAGGTAATATGAGCTGGAAGACAGCTGTTGAACTCGGACGGTTGTCCGATCCAGTCGAGGACAGTGATGTCGCCCGACCGAGCCACAATCTCCTGCAGGAGCCGCCCGAGTGCGCTTTGCTTCTTCTCGCCATAGATTACAGGTAAGTGGACATCGAAGATACCAAACAATGAGTACGCGACGTCTTCTTGCAATGTAGTGACGCGTGATGACGCCCATTGAAGTCTCTGTCGGGCGTTGCTCATCCCTGGACGGAAGGAGATCAGGGCCCGTGCATCTATGCCCGTCACATCCTCCAACTCCTTCATGATTGCAGGGGACTTTTTGTGGTTGGGAGAGCGATCACCGAGATATAACGACCAATCCTTCTGATAAAAGATTACAACTTTCGGAGCGACGAATTCTTGAAAGGTCCATCCTCGTTGGTTCCAAGCACTCCTGGCCAGTGCACCGGGCTGGGATGAAGGAGGGACATCTGATAGGTAGACGATGGTAAGCGCTGAGTGGCGGGTACCAGACGAACATGGAGTTGACCGATTCTTGAAGCTCGGTATTGCTCTTCTTGTCGATACAGCATGTGTCCATCCACGCCCAGCGACACCCAGCATTACGAACGATTTTGCAGAACGATTGCAGTTTCGCGATGCCACCAAGTCCATTCAACTCATACACGACTTTGTCCTGGATGTCGTGTATCAACGCCTCCGTCTCTTCCCACCTGTGTGATAGCAGAACGCAGCGGAAGTACGTCGCCACTACGTCTTTGATGCGCTCCGTTCGGAGGTTCGAATCCTTCGTTGGAAATGAAAAAAGCTCATTGTACTCTGGACTCATTTTGAAGGAGTGTCGCTGTGCCACTCTATCGCACAAAAGACCCGTGGAGGTATTAAGTAGTCGTAGCGGGGCATATTCGAGTTCAATCCCAACAGCACTTTGAATAGCGGCTTCTGTTTCAGATGGACAGACATACTGCTGACGCAGATCTGCAGAACGAGATAGATATTTCGAGAGTATGCAGGAATGTTCTATGACTTACCTCGTATCTGCGCTTCGGGAGCATCATCCAACTTGGACAACATGATTGTGAAGGCCTCGATGGCTTCTTCGTAACGTTGCGCGCCATGCAGCGCTGTATGCATCAACTGGTATCCAACGTGAGACGAAGGATTGAGTTGGGTGACCTATGCATTGCCGAAATCAACATGGGCTATGAAAACGTAGATGCCATCGCACCTTTTGCGCGTCGAGGAGCGCATCCTCCCATAGCATTTTCCCTAACTTTGCCTTGCTTCGATTTGCAAAGACGACATCGGATGCAGTATCCAGGTCGATCGCCGCCGAGTATAGGTCAATAGCCCTGTCATACTTGCTTGCAGCGAGAGCATCATCTCCGTTGGTAAGACAGAGCGCGCTACATTCTTGCTTGAAATCTGATAAATGCGGGTGAGGATTGTAGCCTGCGCGACATTACAAACTCCAGACTTGCCATTGGACCAGTCAAGGCAGTCAGCTTCTGTATATTCATCACTCGAAACCATCATGTATTGGTATGATTTCACGGCATCTTGGAGTTTACCTGCTCGAAGGAGTGCATAACAGCATTTCTGGTGTGCAGTGAGCCACAACGATTTGAAATGCCAGCCGAAGAGCTGGATAAGGAACTCGATTATGAAAACCATTTCGGATGTGTGTATTAACATACCACCACCAAATCCTCGTAATTTTCATAAATGTCTGATTTCAATGATAAATTGCCGGAGTGGAGAGCGACAGTGAAATGGTGAGCGGCTTCGTCGTGACGTGCGCTATCCAAGGCTTTGAGTCCGAGTTGAACACGTAGATATGCCTAATGTGCCAGTTGCAAGAATAAGTGTTGATGACCCAGCATAGCTGCACGATACTTACTTCCACGATATGACATGCGCGAGTATCGGCATTTGGACAACCGGTAGCGAGTTCTTTGAGGAGCAGGTTTGCCTCATCATGTTGATCCGCATTGAAGAGAGCGATGGCCTGAAATACGTGCTGAAGCGGAGAGTGTGGGAGACAACTGTAACATACCTTGATCAAGAGCAGGAAATGGATGGTTTGTGAATCTTGATCCGTGTACATGGATGCAACATCAAATGCTGCCCTCCCGTCCCGTATATAGCCTTTTCCGCAGAGGGCGATGCCCTTGGAGATATATCCTATCAATGAGGGCTTAATTCTGATGGACTGTGTCACCGTCGAGTTAGCCTTTGATAAGCCATGATGGGTCGGTGAATCTTACCTTGATTGCGTCCTGAAGGGCGTGATCCCAGTCGTGTTTTCGGGCCATGGTGAATGAACGATGGGCGTAGGTAGTATGGTTGTTCGAATCGGTGCTGATATCTTGTGTGAGCAGTTCTTCGGCAGTAGACAAGTCTCCATCTATGCATGCAACGCGGGCTGTTGTGATGTCAAGAATCTGCACAAAATATGCTCGAATTGTGGTATATAAGTCAGGGACGGAAACATACCCTTGGATATATACCCTGAGGTGCCCACTCCGAAATCATCTTATCTTGACCTCCGCTGAGGATGCGCTTACCGTCCACTGAGAAAGTGACACATGTTGGAAAGGACGAGTGCTTCAAGGTGGCAATGGTTCGTTGGTCTGAGAGCCGCCAGAGACGGACATGTTGTTCATCACATGCAGAGGCGACGAGTGTGCCAGCAGGATTAATGGCGATGGCACTGATAAAGCTAGTGTGGCCCGTCCAGGGATGACCGACCTCCTCCCAGGTTGTTGTATTCCATTCGCGTATGGAAGGATTGGAATTATCGCCGCCAACGAAAAGGCGTGTGCCATCAAACGTCCACACCAGTGACTTGTTACATGATATGTGACCCCTGAAGGATACGACGCGTTCCCTCGTGCCTGAATTGTAAATTTGGATGCTGTCGAATGTTGCAATGGCAAGAAGTTCTCCCAATGGCGAATACTGAACGCAATAGACATTATTACCACATTCAATTGTGTTTCCTTGTTGCTGCCAGGTTATGGTGTTCCACAGCTTCACCCTGTTGTCCCCTGAACCAGTAACCAGCACTTTTCCATCTGGAGAAAAGTTCAGCGAGTAGATCCAATCAGAGTGGGCATTGATGGGTCGAGTGAGCGATTCGCCAGTTTCTCCGCGCCAGACGATGAGCGCTCCATCCCCATCGCCGCTTACTATCAATTGCCCATCTCGTGATACCGCCAATCCCAACACCATACTTATATGCCCTTCCATCTTCTTCAACACTTCACCTGTCTTCAAGTCCCACAGACGAAGCGTCTTGTCGTCTGAGGCTGTAACCATCCGCCGTTTATCGGGGAAAACTGCGACTGCCTTTACCCACCCTTCATGACCTTTGAACTCTCGCAAGGGTATAGTACTAGTGATTGGAATGAGCCCCGACATTTTACTGGAGGTTGATGGTGTTGGGCGCGGTTGAGGTGGGGCTAGGTGAAATTGACGCGGTCCTGCCGCGCCTTCCACGGTCCTGTGACCACCCGACCACCTAGGTCAATTGGTAAGCCTTATTAAAAGATGTTATACTTGGTGATTACGTGCCTGGTCAACTATACAGTGTGTTGCATATGAGATTGCAGTGCGCGTTTTTCAAAAGTCGGCCCTCACTATCTTCCCGGCACTTTTACACCCTAATTAGGTCAAGGGATGTGAAACGGCAACAAAAACATGCTTGCCTACGAGTCTTCGACTTCTTGACTTCATTGATACTGTACACAATTCTATCACTGCACTCCGAGTCGTGACTAGCGAGTTCGATGACTCGCTACTGAGTTCCATTCCACCTCACCCATGTTCCGATCTCGCAGTGCAGTACTCTCAGTGGTGCATTTCGTGGACGATGATATTACATCAGGAAAAAGGTCAAGTACCATTTGCACAACATAGCAACCATGTACGGTATATATCACTACATAGTGCTATGTATCATTTGAGCTCGCGATCACTGTTATGTGATTTTCATTAGCATATTGCAGGTTGCATGCCAAAGCAGAGCCACTCGAAGTCGGAGATGGTGAGTGCCTGTCTGATGGCGAGATTAGGAATGCAATCCGGGAATTTCAGGAGGGCAGTAGTACTGGTGGTGGGAATGTGACTGAGGATGAGTACGAGAGTGATGTCCAGGCCGGAGAGGAGTTGATGCGCGATAACGAATAATTACTAGTAGTGTTTTGGTTAATATGATTGTTTTTTTCGATCATGATCACTGCTATTGAGCCTATGACCTCGAACATGGTGAACTACGAGACAATCTATAACCCTACAATAGTGTTTTCCTATGAGCTACAGCGTGCAATATAGCGCAGATTAGTGAATCAGTCATGCTATATCGAGGGGGGGGGGGGGTTTGAAACCTGACAACACGTGGTATGTAGGCTCCGTAGTGCTATATAGCAATTCGTATTTTTGCTGATGTAGCTCGGACGAGTACTTGGATTAAAAATAGTATAACACACCGTGGCCTCGTTTTGTTAACCTTACTTACTAGTAGGCGCCACTCAAACTTTGATCAACCCAATCTATGACAAGACACTCGGACTCATTTTACGGCCATGAGCAGGGCTGCGACGCGGTTGTGAGCTCGGTTCATACAGACACATCTCTGCTTGTCCGGAGTACCTCTACAAGACACTCTGCGCCACGAGCAGGCTTCGCATTTCTCGAGGTGTCAACTTAAAAATGGATTCATCAACGTCACTACTACATGCTAGGATATAAATGTCACGACGTCCGAAGATTAACTGCCACGTCAGCAATGAGAGTGGTAATGCAAACAGTACGAGGTTGAAGGAGAGAGACATTAACGAAGGAAAGACAATGACAACGAAAGTCACGGAAGAGCAAGCATGCGGGAAGTGAGGATAAGTATGTTGAGGCCCTTATATACCACCGATGATGGCTGCAACATTAAACTGAAGCGAACATGTCGAGTAGAGTCTGGGGTCTTTTCGTTGTGAATGCCATGCCTCGACGGTGTTCGAACTTTGTTGGCTCAGGGTTTGCAGTTACTCGGAGGAACTGAGTAAGATCCGACTGGATGACTTCCTGCAGCGTTGTTCTAGTTCTAAACGCCTCATGTTGCTGTCAAACGTTTCAAGTCCGCACGTCAACTGACAGCTCAACTGACCCAGCTCTATAGATTCTGATATCTAGAAGGCCCCAGAGACTAGAGTCTCTAGATTCAAATCACATTGTAAATCGCTTTCAAACTCCGCGACGATGTTGCAAATCTCTGGTTACCATCATCTTGAAAGGCTTTGTGTAAGCTGAGTTCCCATAATCAACATAAATACTGTCCGAGATGATCAAGCTTGAGCTTTGATTATCACTGCCTTGTGGCCTAACGGTCTGGGCGTAACTGTTAAGGGACGACAGTCTTAACTAGTAACTACTTATACTTTGCCGCCGAGAATATCACTATCACAGGTGATAATGCAGGCGGAAACTTGGGTGCGTAAAAATTCTTCTCGGATTCGTATCTTACTTTCATCCAGCTCTTATCCTCACGTATATCATCTCGCAATCCGCTCTCCCCATGCCAGGACGCGTCGCACTCTTCTCCCCAAGCGCAGACCTCACTCTCGCCTCCAACACCTCTATACCTCATGACACTCTAGGCAATTTCCCTGCCAACCACCCTCTCGCATCAGGTATCCTAATTCCATTCACGGAAAGCTGGCCGGAGACATTGGTGATGACCGGCACAGCTGATAGTTTGTGCTGAGAGCTCGCGGATAGTCGTGAGTCGTATCCAACAGGCGGGTGGGAGAGCTGAGCTTGTGGAGTATGCGGATTTGACGCATATGTGTTGGATGGTTCCTCAATTCTTTCCGCAGTCGGACAGACTTCCTTCATCGGATGATACCTCAAAATTAGTTGTATGACAGAGAGATGCAAACAGCGAAACATCCAAGGGTCCAACCGTTTCACTAAGCCATATTTCCTCGACACGTCGCTCAAGGGCGGGACTCGGGGTGTAGCTAACGAGTTTTCGACGTCAAGGCCCCTTGGGAAACCAATGGATAGATCCTTTTCCCCCTCTTCGTTATTTCACCTCAGGAGCGCGTCGGTATCTTCACTCTCGTCTAGCTCCGGGAGCGAGCATGCACTGTCGTCGCTAACTCCCGTCGGTAGTTCTTCCTTGCCTTCCTTGCTAGATGGTTCATTGGATCGCAAGAGGCCCAAAACAACGCGTTGCGTATATCCCCCAGCGGCCATGCGCCCCTTGTTCCGCTTCTCTACCATCCCCATACCTGAAGCGAGCACACGGCCAAGGTCCTTAAGTGGCCCAATAATGGTGACAGCGCTTGCATTGCGGCTACATGAACGCTTTGCACCTATAACCTTAGTGTCCTCGAGGATATTATCACCTTGGACATTCTCTTGATCTTGTGATAGGCATGGAGAAAGTTTCTTATCGTGGTGCACCTGTCCTACGTGATTGCGCGTGAGTGTGACGCCGAGGACCTTGCCAGCTTTGTGATCTGGTTTACTGAAGGCCTTTCGTTCGGCGGGGCTTAGTTTGTTGGCAGAGGAGAGCGCCAGAGCATCGGTGATGCCCATCGAAGTGGCGCTATCGCTGCGCGTCATAGCTGTTGTGGTGGACATCGTTTCCATGATAATGCAGAGTATGACTCGAGTCAAGGAAGAGCGAACGATTTGGGGTGGCCTCCACGGACACTGAGGCGCATATTTATATCCCGAATACTGTGGACGGCTTTAACCACCGTCCACAGTGTGGAAGGCCAGTGGTTGCGTCTTTGTTCATCGCGCTCCAGTGCGCGTGTTGTCTCACGTGACTGTGGCCCTAAATGTACACAACAGAGCGGCATCACTGAAGTACTGACGGGCGCACCCACGTTGGACTCGTCCTGACAGATGCCTATCGCATTATGATTCGCAATCATTAACTCCGCTATAGTATGATTGACGCTCGATACAGCCTTTAAGGTGCTATTTTTGCGACTCTTTATCCGAAGGGGTATCTATCTCTGGTGCCCCCGGTGGGTATAGGTGGGGGTACCTGAGGGTGATACACCGGGGTTTATGCTATTCGCTATGTGCTACGTGCCAACGACTTATCAAGCAAACTCACACCTCTTGGCGCCTATAATCCTTCCCCATGCTCTTCAGTCATATTCTCGCTTTAGGGATATCGTGCATCATTGTCCTGCTTGTCGTTTCGGGTCTGACTCGCAGACGTGTCTACCCTTTACCTCTACCGCCTGGCCCTCGTCCGTTACCAATTTTGGGTAACGCGCTGCAATTGGATACTAAACGACCTTGGCTCACATATACTGCGTGGGGAAAGACATATGGTTGGTAGCAGATCAATGACCACTTTACCAAACTCTTGGATTCAATTTTATATCTAATCATAGGAAAAATCATTCACTCCCGCTTACTTGGGATCGAGTTTATCATCATAAACTCCGAAACCATTGCGCGGGAGTTGCTGGACAAGCGTTCTGCGAATTACTCTACTCGCCCCGTTATTCGCACCAATGAATTGTATGCATTGCCGGTTTTTATTCGAATTGTCCTTCATCCACTGACAATGCAGAGCTGGACTGGCTTTCAATACTGTGCTCCTTCCATATGGCGAGACTTTACGGCGACATCGCAAGATCTTCCATCAAGTCCTCAGGGCCGAAGTCTCGGATTCGTACCATGAGATGTACTCTCGCCACGCAAACGATCTAGTCATCAATCTCTTGAATGCCACTAGTGACCTGCGACAACAGACTGAAGGGTTCGTACCCAATTCAGTGGTGTCGTTGTGATGTATGGTCCAGTTGACAAAATCCTTGTGACAGATACACGGCATCCCTAATCATGGCCGTGACATACGGATATCTTGCTCATGGACATGAAGATCCATTTCTTACCCGCGCACACGAACTCTTTCATATTGGCCAACGTATTGTGTCTCCCGAGAAGGCTGCCATGTTCACAGCATTTCCTTTCCGTGAGTGCCTCTGTTTACTACATAATTTTGAGCATTCAGCATGAGGTTGCAGTTGAAAAGCTGCCATTTTGGTGCTTCGGTGGAGCACTTGCCCAGATGGGACGCAGCAGAGAATTAGTTCAACAGCTTTTGAACGAGCCCTTTGACGAAGTGAAGGCCCAGATAGTATGTTTTCGCAGATTTGTGGATGTAAATTTCACCTCATCCGTTCGCGTGAAGGCAAATGGTACTGCTTCACATTCATTAGTCGCTGACTTTCTCAATCAAGTTCACGACTACGCTGACGAAGACACGATGAAGGCTGTTGCGACGACGGGATATATGAGTAAGATTTCTTTCTACCAAGACTGAATTCATCCATTGACGCGAATACGGCATCTTAGCTGGCATGGAGAGCGTAAGTCGCTACCCAAGATCCTGATTTCTACTTTGATGTCCCGCAGACTGCATCTGCATTGCAGTCATTTTTGCTGGCTATGGTGCTCTATCCTGACGTCCAAGCCCGTGCTCGTGCAGAAATTGATCAAGCTGTGAGGCATGATAGAATGCCGTGCCTTGATGATAGGGCGTCACTGCCCTACCTTGATGCCATTATCCGCGAGGTCCTGAGATGGTATCCTCTTGGCCCCCTAGGTCAGTCTGCACAATTATAACTCTGAATAATTGACCCCCGGCACAGGAATTCCACATGCGACATCAAATGATGATGTTTATGACGGGTACTTTATACCCAAAGGTTCGAAGTCGTATGAATCGAGGTTGCCGTTGACTCATCTGTAGTTCGATCAGGTGCGATAGTAATAGTTAATCAGTGGTATGTCACGGCGGAGTCCATATAACGGCGGCTTGAGCTAAGCATGGCTCAGGGCAATATCTCGGGATGAAGACATATATCCCGATGCATCACGCTTCGATCCCAGCCGCCATCTAACGGTTGACGGGAAGCTGAAGGACCCTTTCGTCAACCATTTTGCCTTCGGTCATGGTAGGTGAATATTCCACACTTGTCATCCATCTTCAATTATTCACCGACCCTCGCAGGCGTATCTGTCCCGGTAGGCTGATCCATGGCTCATCTGGCAGTGATGAGGCTGATAAATTGCCTTGGCAGGTCGTTGGTTTGCAGAGAACAGTCTGTGGACTGCAGTTTCTGCCATACTCGCCGTCTTGCGCATCGATCATGCCAAAGACTCGAACGGGGACAGGATTGAGGTGAAGCCGGAGTTCAGTACCGGCATAGTGATGTAAGTGGCCTAGTATGCATTAAAGGACCTGCGGTTGACCCTGCCGAAGTCGTCCTGAACCATTTCTCTGCTCGTTTGAAAGCGTGAACACAGCGAGAGAAGGACATCTTCGAGCGATGATGAATTCGAAGTAGGCTCCGTTTGTACTTGCGGTGGTCTGTCATATAATAGCACGTGAATGTACCACAGCAGAGTGCACTGAGTGGCAACGTTTTACGGCCTCTGTCTGTCTCTTGGCATGAACAAGATAATCGCTTTCAAGTCCGTTGACTCTTCAAAACAAATCTGATCCGCAGTGAAAACTCTGATGGGAGACGTGAGCAAAGTAGGGAGCAGACACTATATGTATAACAACAACATGTATGGAAAGCCGGACAGCGCTTTGTTACCACCCGTGACATGGGCCAAAAATGGTAGTCACAAGTTGAGGACTCCGTACTAAAGTTGCCGCAGTCCGGTTCTGAACCCTCAGGACCGGTTCTGAACCTCGAACCGGACCACGGTTCGGTTCAATAACGGTCCGGTTCGAGAGTGTCCAGCAGGGGAGCGGTTCGCGGTTCGCAAACTGTCAAAGGCACATATAAGAAGGAGCGGAGGCGCCAAAAAGCAGAGTTGGCTGCTCAACGGACAGCACAGAAGAAGCGCTTGATGGATGATGCAGCGCGGGAGGTGCAGAAGCGCAATTCAGAGTAGCTAGCAACGAAAATTTTATTATAGCATGGATTTTTGGTTCAGAACCGGTCCGAACCTGAACAGAACTGCATAGAACCGGTCCGTCGTCGAACCAGTGGTCCAGGTTCGGGTCCGGCAGAAATGCATACCTAGCTAGCGGTTCGAGTTCAGGTTCAGATGAGATGTGCCCGAACCGGACCTGAACCGGACCACGGCAACTTTACTCCGTACACCTCTAAAGAGATTAATGCGATCGACAACCTGTAGGTTCCATAGTATAGCGCGGCTGTCCGGCTTTTTGTCCTGCAGTTACAGTGTCATATTGTGACGGCGCCGGTGCTAGCCCCCGACTTGCTTATTCTTGGCATGTTTTGTCCATGTGTTCATCGAATTAATCGCAAACTAGTCTTTATTTCATTTTTGGTAAATGATTGCTAATCCCATGTGATTCTACTGTCAATGCATGATGCTTTTCGACTCGTAACCGAATGAGTCTGATAATCTTGACCAGTCTTAGCAGCTAAGCCAAACGTGACAGGACAAACAATCTTTTCCTTTTACCACGCCTTGAACATTCACTCATGGATGGATTTTTCAAGGCCTATATTGAGTAGAAATAGCTAACCGTTTGGCACCAGAACGGATTAGAAATCTGCTCTCTTGTGGTGCGGATTCGAAACCTGTCGACATGGACAGTTCTTCGGAGGTTCGTCTAAACTTGGCCAGCAAGCGTCCTGGCCCAAGTGGTTAACACAACAGAATCAAATTCTCTTGTAGTTCGCAGGTTCGAAACCTGCCTAACAACAGGGTTTTTTTCTATCGGAACACGCCTTGAAGATTCACTCATGGACAGTTCCTCGGAGGTTCATCTCAACTTCGTCCTCGCCAAAGTGGTTACCACAACGGAATCAAAATCCGTTTCTCTTGGACTACGCAGGTTCGAAACCTGCCGAACAACAGGGTTTTTTTCCTATCGGAACACGCCCAATTCCACGGAGCAACTTCGCCCTGACTGAAGTGGTTACTGCAACATAATCAAAATCTGTCTCTTGGACTGTACCAGTGCAGGTCCAAAATCTGCCAACGATTTTTTTTTTCCCTCCGAACACGCCTTGAAGATTCGCTGATGGACAGTTCCTGAGAGGCTCATCTCAACTCCGCCCTGGCCCAAGTGGCTACTGCAACGGAACCGAAATCTATCTCTTCGGCTGACACTACTAGTGCAGGTTCAAAACCTGCCAACGAGGTTTTTTTCTCTCAGAACACGCCTTGAAGATTCACTGATGGACAATTCCTCGGCGGTTCATTTCAACTTCGCCTGACCAAAGTGGTTACTACAACATAATCGAAATATGTTTGTGTCGGACTTGCGCAAGCTCGAAACCTGCCCAAGACATGTTTTTTTTTATCAGAACACACTTTGTCATTCACTCATGGACGGATTCCTCGGAGGCTGATCTTAACTGTTCTTAACCAAGTGGTTACCACAACAGAATCAAAATCTGTTTCTCTTGCAGTCGGTTCGAAACCTGCTGACAACATTTTTGCATGTATAGATCCTCAAACCGTCTCAACTAGGCCCAGTCATTGCACTGAAACCTCCTTTTCATGTGATAGTCTGTCCATGAAATTTTGAAATATAATCCACCTTCACGCCTCGTGCGGATCGTCTCAGAAACATTAGGTATATCCCTGAGATGTGTACGTACAAACCTAGATTCTCGACGGAGTAACCAAAACTGTCGGGATGGAGCTCGAGGCCAGAAGAACGCACGCAAGCTAAGGACAGAGTGAGTCTGACGGTCAGGCAGATGATGTAACCTCCCCATCATCGCTAAAGTCTCATCGATGAACACTTCTTCGGTCGTTGGCTCTTCCAAAGCGACTGAGGATGATTCGAAAGCTAAAGGTAGGAGAATTGAAAGTGGCAGACCGAGCCATATCATTCTGATACGTGTAGTTTGTGTGCGCTCCTGTTTTGTGTTGATGCGGGGCGGAACATACTTTCGATTGCCGCAGCAAGACCCGGGCAACTGAACGGAGATATCAATAGAGAGGTCAACGAGAAAACTCGTTCATGCGAAGCAGGCTTAGATACGACGGACACAGCATCGCCTGCAAGTCGCTGATCCATTGTGACCAACAAGGCAGGAGGGACCAAAGCCAATGGCGAAGACAGAGCAGAAGACGAGGACGCGGCCATGTAATGATGTGAACAACGACGGAAGGCAAGAAAGCCCTTCAAGAAAACAAGCATTTGTAAGGAAATTGGAACAGGGGCGAGACAACAGGACAACTGCAATTCAGTCTGGTCTGTCTTGGAGAGTTTGGCACACGAGGAATTCGAGATAGCGCGCGCGCGTTTGCTCGACTGAGCAAAAGGCTCATGGAGAAGTTCAGCAGCAGAGTTACGTCTAGGAGCCACCAAACACTTATGTAAAGATAAAAAGTAAGTCACCATGCAGGAGGTCACGCACGTACTACTAGTAGTGGTGGTGGTGGCGATTATCAGCGCTCTGACCGACAGTGAGTGAGCGCGAATCATCATAAGAAAATCATCAATCAAAGATGGAGACTCGAAGCAGATCTACAGTATGGGTTGAACAATGTTCCGAATCCTGGAAAAAAATTGCTCAAAACCGAACCAAGGTCTGGTGCAAATTTGCTGACTCGGTGCACGAAGTCTTCTTACGGATGCGTGACACTGACTAAGGCAGCGCGGCTGTCTGGCTTTCCATAAACATGTTCATAGATGCATGGCATCCAGGCGACCACTACATGTCTGAGGACTACAAACGCGTGGCCAGGCATCGTACGCGCACGCAGTCTCCTCCACGATACTACTGCATAGACTTTAGTATCTCCCGCAAATACGAGGCGTCAAACACCAACCCATCAGAAGTACCCATATTTGGTGGGGATAAAGAAGCGCCGGAGTTCAAGGAAGACAACTATAAACCCCGGAACCCCTTTCCAACTGATGTTTGGTATTTTGGACATGCTATTCAAGAAATATTTCTCGATGTAAGGCGCAATAACGACTTCTCATCTTGCATATCCTGATTTTGACGCAACAGCGCTACTCAGGTGTAGAATTCCTGAACGGTCTATTATCGGACATGATGCACTCGATCCAGCACAACGTCCGAATATGGACGAAGTTTTTTCTCGATTCCAGGTTCTGCGTCAGGGCCTCAGTAAATGGAAATTGTGACGTTCCCGGGTGGCTCAAGCGCTCATCATGACGATAGCTCTCTTTTTGATCTTCTGGCCCACTGGGTACGTCGCATTCAGTACGCAGTACGCAGGATTCCCCCAACCCATACCGATTGGCGAGTTCGACGTCTCGCTAGTTCAACTCCACCTCGCCCATGTTCCCATCTCGCAGTTCAGTACTCTCGATGGTGCACTTCGTGACATTAGATTGGACGTGTATAAAGAGAATATAATACACCGTGGCCTCGTTATGTTAACCATACTTGGATGCCACCCAAGCCTCGATCAACCCAACCTACAACAAGACGCTCTGGCCCATTTTATGGCTATGGACAGGCCTCGCGGTTGTGTGTTCGATTCATACTAACACATCTCTTTGCTTGTCCCTCGCCCCTCACCTCACTCCAAACCTCAATCAACCCAACTACAACAAGACACTCTAACTTGATTCTGACCCATTTTACGGCCACGAACATGCTTCGCGTTTCTTAAGGGGTACACTTGAAAAATTATTCATTAACGTCACTGCTACATGCTAGGAAACAAATGACACGACGTCCGAAGATTAACTGGCACGTCAACAACGAGATGGTAATGGAAACAGTGCAAAGTTGAAAGAGAGAAGAACAACGAAAGTCACGGAGGAGCAAGCATGCGGGAAGTGAGGATAAGTATGTCGAGGCCCTCATGTAGCTGTAACATTAAACTGAAGCGAACATGTCGAGTAGAGTCTGGGGTCTTTTCGTTGTGAATGCCATGAGGCACCTCAACGGTGTTCGAACTTTGTTGGCTCAGGGTTTGCAGTTACTCGGAGGAACTGAGTAAGATCCGACTGGACGACTTCCCGCAGCGTTGTTCTAGTTCTAAACGCCTCATGTCGCTGTCATACGTTTCAAGTCCGCACGTCAACTAAAAGCTCAACTGACCCAGCTCTAGATTGTGATATCTAGAAGGCCCCTCTCTAGATTCAAATCACATTGTAAATCGCTTTCAAACTCCACCATCAGGAAAAAACAAATTTTGTGGGAGCCCTGGTGAGAGCTATGTAGCACTACATAGCTACCATAGTTCTATGTACCTAATGTAGCCGTGACTCAGACTATATAGATCTACAGCGGGCTACAGCAGAGTACAGCAGACTACAGCGGACACTTGGAGGCACAATAGTCAAATTGAAGTCTGTAGTCAATAGTAGCTGAGTAGCAACAAAATTAATCAATAGCGGACATGCAGAATGTATCAAGGTCAATAAAGCTATTTAAGTAAAAATCACTTGCGGACTCATAGACATTTGCGCTAGTCCATCCACGGTCAACAGCTTGTCCCATCCTCGGAATAAGATGGCAAGGACGAGCGATTTCATCAACGTGTATCACCGCTGCATTCCGGTGCAGCCGACGAGTCGAAACACGACAATTGGTGCAGGCCAGATGAGCGGTCCGGCTCCCTGAGTGGTGTGAACCACTCAATGTAAGCTAAGGCTCGCGAGTAGGTCCCAAATTGACGCGGCAGAGTGAAAATAACGCGAACCTGTCCCACTCGCATACCTAGTAAAATATTAACATGAATTTTTTGACGGCTCAACAAATAGTTAGTACTCACCTTCTAAAGTGCGCGGCTGAATGCCATTGCTTGTCAGGGCCATATCAAACTTAGCGGGAGATCCAGGCTTGCGTCCACGTCCAGGAAGCACTTCAGGCGTGGCTCTAACACGCCACTGCCTCGGTGATTCACTGATGAGTGGATTAGGTGGAGCAGTGATTACTACCTGTCGAAATACGTCGAAACGGTCTTGCAGACCAGGGGTAATGATAGCGTGCGGCATGTGGTTGCGCAGAAACAACTTAAGGGCTGGGAGGAACATGGACGCACCATGTGCAGTGACGAGGTGCTGAACTGAACGCTGAGGGTATGCAGGCGTCTTAGCGAGAGAGTGGACCGTTCGTTGCTCAGGGAGGATGGGAAGTGTATTGACAGGGACAGTGTCCGGCCCTTCCATCTCTGAGTCCGAGTCCGAGTCATATCCACGGTCACGAGTGAAATTGGTTGGTGCCGACTGAGACTGTTCCAACAGCCAGTTGAGGTAGGAACCATGCAGGAAGACTGCCTCCTGGCGCTGGAGCCATAAGGCCATCTGTTCTTCATAGTCCCGCTTGTTACTGGCGCGATACACTTCTTTGGCAAAGTCGATGTGCAAACGTTCTGGAAGTTCGCTGTTAAAGCTGTCTGTAGCACCAAACAATAGGATAGACTGAACGTAGTGAGAGAGCTGATGTAATTTGGGAATATTAAAATGGTCGCGAATATCGAGTTGCTGCAAGACGTCCTTGTTGGCGTGAAATATCGCCAGAGCGCGTTCCAGGCCATTGAGGGATTCAGTTGAGTGAACTTGAAGCTGAGCATAGTACGAAAAATCTAGAAGTGCTCGCGCAACTACTAACACTTGGCTGGTAAGCAAACGAAAACAATCACGTCAGCACCAACCTCGTGCTTAGCAACAATTGAAGCTTACCTAGGCACAGCGCCAGCAAGTAGCCCAACAAACACACGCTGCATCTCTTTGTGTTCTGTCCCCGTCCACTGCTTTACCATAGATATTCCCTTCTTGAAATGCCTAAGACCGGGATAATCAGGCATCGCTTTGAACCGTGCGTCCATTTCTTCTTCGCCAACAATATCAAGGCACCACTTAACTAAATGGTCCTTGAAGATGCCTTTGTGGAGTTGGTGTAGGAGGTCGGGGTGTAAAGGCCAGGAAGATGTTAGAGTGGGGGAGATTAGCCCAAAATGGAGCATAGACGGTGCGTAGTCCAAATTCCTCAAATTCAGCAGGATGGTGACCAGTCTTTCGCTTCTCTAATATCCCCTTTATGACTGCAGGATCCCGCATCGGCGAATCCAGTGGATCGCCTCTTTCATCCGCCGCAACTACACATTTTGGACAGCGGTTTTCCTTGCAACACGCCACCAGACACTGCTCTGGAAAGTCCGCTACATACGTGGCAAGGATCGGATACACTCGACGGATCAACGCATCAGCACACACCATTTCAGCGCCGTCTTCACCTGCAGCAACAAGGGGCTGAAGGAGGAGGGACATGCAATGATGGAATAGTCAGTAGTTGGCGAGGGAGCGTTCATCAGGTGTAAAGCAGTCAAGCTTTCCTGAAGGTAGGTAACCAATCAGGACTGTCGCTCTTGCTGACGTTTGCCGCCGTTTTTCTTTAGCAATGTTTCCTATAGAGAGGTACACAGGATATGCCGTTTGTCGCCTTGGAATTGCGACAGACTCGTTTTGTCTGTTGCAAGAATAATTGGCGCAATGGTTGCTCCTTCCAGCACCTTTTTCTGGACAACACAGGTCAGTGCTTGTCATTTTCGATGTTTTTTTTGATATGGTGCTTACTTGCATGTCACACCACCAATCTGCAGTCCACATGTCGTCTATTCACCCGGTGGAGTCCTGCAGAGTCCGTGTATGCGCGAGCAGGTGTGTACACCATTTGATCCTTGAACAAAGGATTTCCGATCAAGTCCTTGATGCACTCTACAGGATTGCGCATCCACAGTTCAACATCTTCATGCAACGGTTCGCCTTTTTCGTCCGTTCTATTTCCCTGAACGCTAATCTTCTTACAGCTCCAGGCGGCTCCATGCGGGAGTTCATCAACCTTCTTGAGGAATGATTGGTTGTTGTGGAATGAAGCTTGCATTCGGTTTCGGGTCTATCACGCTGGTCAGTACATTTTTTCGGTGCTTGATGCCAAACTTACAATCGGTAACTTTAGAAATTCATCGGTTCGAGTCTGCCCAAGGCTTTTTACAAGCCACTCAGCGAGACCCCACTCTTCCCTGGCAGCTAAAGTCAGGCAGAGGCCATCAACATGAAAGGGTACGTACTCGTCACAAAATGGAGCCCACTCGTCCTCACCCATGCCTTCCTTGTACTTCCGGTATCGTTCAAATTCAGTTTCCCCTTCCGCAGTGCCCATCCACCATCAGAACATTGCTTGAAATAGCGCCCCACCCACCCCTCCCACTACCTCACCTTTGTCAGCGACATCCTCGACCGTCACACGCCGACTTTTTGGTGCTGGCGGATTAAGTTCATCAGCCTCGAAAGAGTTGGACCGTGAGCGGCGAAGTGGGGAAAATGAGTTGCCAGCATCGTCGTTCTCCATAGAAGGTGCGTTGTCTTCCAAGTCTTTTTCTTCAATCGTTAACTCCCATGCCGTTCTGCATTTAGGCCGGTTAGCTATGTGTCTCTTGATGCCCCCCCTCGTAGGGAACTCCTTGCCACAAAATGTACAGCAGTGCGACATAGTATGTGAGTTGGTGAGTGTTTCGCCCTGGTCTTAGGTGACTTGTCTCATTGTAGTATGCCCTTTTTTTTTCAATGGCCTGGTCTAGACTTAAACTGGGCGCAGTTACCGGGCGCCCGCCACAACTAGATCCAAGCACCACACCACACCACACCACACAACCCTTAATGAGTTGGACTCGATCAGTATGCCAAAGTTACGGCCTCGTTTAGACTCAATCCATGCGCCAAGTCGCAACCAGGTACGGGTTTTTTTTTTTTGAGGATGATCCATGAGGTGTGCTTACCCTGGTCATTCCGTCTACAGTAAGATAGGCAAAGATCCTGCCTGCCATTCTGCTTACCCTGCCATTCCGTCTACAGTAAGATAGGTATGTGCTCTTATTCTGACCGGTTTGAATGATACTTACATCTTGCCTAGTTCCCAACACAATTCCGTCTACAGTAAGATAGGCAAAGATCCTGCCCGCCATTCCATCTACAGTAAGATAGGCAAAGATCCTGCCATTCCGTCTACAGTAAGATAGGCAGAGATCCTGGTCATTTCATCTACAGTAAGATAGGTACGTGCTCTTATTCTGATCGGTTTGAATGATACTTACATCTTGCCTAGTTCCCAACACACAACCTCCATTACAATCTTCCTCGTCTAGCGAGAGAACAAGATCGAGAGAGCCAATGACCAATTCTAGTATGTTAATTCTCGTCTCTGATACTAGCTAATTTGATGTGCTACGTTAGTTTGGAAATACCATGGGCAGGCCAGAAGTACCTCTAAAAGCTGCGCCCGTTTGGCTTCCTCACACTGTTTCACCTCCGCATCCCAGCGCTCAACGACGAGCCTTCATATGCTCGCTTGTAAGATACTAATAGCTGGGCCTGGTGCTATTTCTAACAGTTGCAGTTTTTTTGCTTGCTTGCAGGCCTTCACTTCTGCCTCCCAACGCTCCAGAATTAGGTTTCGTATGTAATTCTGGGAAGCTGTGACAGGGCCAGGTGTTTGACGAAACGGAGGGCGCAGGAACATGGGCTCTGCATCAGGCCTTTTGAGCTTGGGTCTGCAAGCCGGTGAGTCTTTGAGTGTAACGTGGAACGGCAACTAACCTTTTGACGTCAATCTTCGTGTCTTCACAGCCAGCCTCTTTGCGACCAGCAATTTGTGACATCGGGCTGCAAGATTCGTCAGAGCACAGTGAGTTTTGAAGCAAGCTCCATACCGTTTTTTTGACGAGTCGGGGGTATTCATAACAGTGAAAATAAATTGTGACGGTATGATCATACCTTTTTATCGTCCCTCTCGTTTGACACAGCTTTCAGCCCTTCATTCTTCAAATCAACAATCAACGAACTATTAAGGTTCAATTGTGAGTTATTTGTCTGTTTCGCAGTGGTATAAATTGTGCTGACCTGCTGTGTACTTTGACTAGACAACCATGGCACCTCGTAAGCCTACCTCCAAGCCAAAGCGCGCCCCCTCACCACCTGCCGCAAAACAGCAGGTGCACACTGCAAGTGGTCGAGAGCGGCAACCAACTGAAAAAGAGAACTACCGTTGTAAGTACCAGCACATTATGTTCCGCTCACTCACCATCTCGTTCTACAGTCAGTGAATCCCAACATGTTGTCCATCGCCAAGAAATCAAGGAAACCCGGACGGCAAAACAGAAGAAGAAGGCCTTAAAGGCTGCCTACCAAGGGCATCCTGATGTCTTCGAGAAAGAGCCGTCAGAGCTCCTTAGCGACATGGACAGGCAAGAAGACACAATGGTACGAGCTTTTGTTTTCTTTCCTCATCTTAAATCAGCCGCTGACATTTATTTTTTTCAGTTCTCTGACCACAGTGTCGATACAAGGTTGTCCAACACTAATAGCCTGACATTCAGTACAGGGAAAATCCCTCCAAGGTTGCGCAACTCATCCATACCTACAACCAAAGGACCAAAAGGTATGTTTTTACTTTATATAATTACACTACTAACCCTCCATCAAACAGCACCACATAATGTTGACGAGTCAACAGACAACAACGACGATGACGCTGCCGACGATGCTGACGATGACGACGACGAACAGTTGCCTGCAGCTCGAGGGACCAAGCGATCATTCGATGACATGTCGTATGAAGATACCATGGTGCCAAAGGTCAAGAAAAACGCTGATGGTTCGCGTCGACGCATGAAAGCCAGCGACTTTGACGAAATCTTGAAAGAGATTCTCATAACTGCTTGCTCCGTTTATCGGTGTCTCATCGTCACACAGGCACCTTTTCCGGATTCCATTGCAGCTGAGACAAAACTGGCGAAAGAGGCCTGGCATGAGGCATGTCAACTCAAAGGTGTTGACGTCAAACTGACCCCTTCGGTGGTGAACATGGTGAGCACAGTATTTTTAGTGCATTCCTGGTCTTATTCGTTCAAACTTCAAAGCTGTTGAAACGCGCTTCACACGTGCGAGGCGAACTCAAGACGAAGATGCGTCCGCTCACAGCTTCATTTCATGGCTTCCGCTCAAGTAATTCTATGGAGGTGATAAGGTCAAACCAAGATCTCGCAGAGAGATTGAAAATTGGCTCGATCTTTGTTTTCAAGGTGAGTATTCGACGGTCTACATAACTTAGTGCTGACATTGAGCAAAAGGACCCGTCATCAAAGTCAGGCATCTACAAGACCGAGTTGCTTCAACAGGGTATCAACAGCATGTGGTTCTTGAACCGAAGTGACGAGGGTGTCGTCTACCACAAATACTTCGACCCCATCCCTATCAAAACTATTGTGCTCGTGCTTACGGCTGTGAGCTGTTTTTCAAACCCCTACTTTCAACTTGATGACGCTGACAATATCTTATAGATAGAATGTTGTGTTGATGAGTGGTCGCAAGGCATCAAAGAGGACATCAAGTTCACATCTGCTGGTTATGGGACCGTCTACAACCACCATTTCAGCTCACTGCAACGCTTTGATGAGCGCACTGCGCCTTACAAACTCCTCTCAAAAATTCGTATCAATCTGCATGATACAGCGCGGTATGTTGGACTTTTATCTCACTGACTCTTCTAATGCTTGCGCTTCTCAGCTTCCACGCAGGTGTCGCATCACTCATTCCATTGTCGGCTACATCCCAGGCCCACATCGACGACGCAGCGTTTGAAGACGCTATTCGAGAGTACCAGCGTGAGGGGAAGGATGCGGCAGTCGAGGATGAGGTCGAGGAGTATGAGTATCCTAGTAGCGAGGGTGGGGATGATGAATAGGGACGCAGTGAGTAAGACATTCGTATTATGCTAGTTTTTGTTTCAGGTGCTTGAATTTAATTGTTACTACGAGGTGCTTTGGTGTGCTATATAGCTGCTGGTAGTAATTTATAGCTGCGTTTAATAGCACTCCGACAAACTACAGTAGTACCTCGTAGCTACTGGTAGTTACTACGGGACTCTATGGTGACTACATAGAGGGCACTTGACAACGGGGCTACTCGCGCTACCCTCACTATATAGTACTATGTAGTCACTTTGTTTTTTCCTGATGACGACAGATGTTGCAAATCTTTGGTATTTATGATCGACAGATTGATGTGCGCGCTTTGATGACTCGTCTGTAAGGCTGGAAGTGAGTTCGAAGGGGAGTAATGACGGAGACGACGTAGATAGAGGACGTGCGTAATTAAAAGTCGCTACTGAATGTAATTCTGTCATAAAAAATGAGTGTGCATGGGCCGTACATATACGTTTTTCGAGTGGCTCACTGGCAAGACGCAAAGGAATGTGCGCGCAAAGGTGAAAGGGACAGTCGAGGGCAAAGGAAATTGGATGACGATGTGGTTCGGTGATGCCCTGTGGGCACGAGGTGAGTATGTGGAGTGTGAAAGTGCGAAACGTCGAAGCTTGGAAGAAGATTATAATCGATTAAGCGTTGAATTCTAAGTAAAAGCTAAGATAAGCTGTGTTTGATGACACATATAGGATACTGCTCCCGCACCGCGAATATGTTAAACGCCGTGTCATTCAGTCGAGATAGGTGGGGCGTAAAGAAACCAAGTGCCTTGATGATGGGTGTGGCATCCCATATGGCTGCAAAGCCTGCTGAGGTGAAGTGATCGAATGCGACCTCATGAAAGCTCGGTCATTAATATTGTGAGTCAAGTAGTACAGTACTTGCCTAGGGGTATTTAGGAAGTAGTAGGTCACCTTGAATAAGTTATTACTGCGAGGCATGCCAGGTGTTCACGTTGCAATTCCGAGTATTTGGCTCCTGCACCACTTAAGTATAACTATCTTGCACCTTTGTTATCTATCTCGTCCTCCACCACCTTGGTCAGGGGTTTAATTCCGGACATGTATCTAGATGAGCCTCATGTTGATGTGACTGTCTCCGGATTTGAAACGATATCCACTTGAATGTTGCCGTGAGTCACAGGGTACCAGAAACCGATCCACATAAAATGCCTACGCACGAATGATGGATCATTGGCACGAACACAATCTCACAAATGTCTTCACTCAATCAACCCACCAGCTGGACCCCTGCGCAAGCAGCGGCTCTTAATGACATCCGCACTACTATCAGTGCTTCCAAGCCTCCGTTCGGTCAGGCCAAATCCCCTGCTGAGCGTGCACGGGTGCCCACTGAAGGAGTCCCAGAAGGAGTTCGCATCTCTTGCGAATTAGCTCCTCCTTCCTCTCAGATCCCTGCGTCCATTCACTCCACCTCGATCCAACCGGGTCAGGTTCCCGTCTTCTTTTACACTGATGCGCATTCCGCGTCCTTGGCTGGTGCGAAGAACGACGTCAAAGTCGTACTTCATGCGCACGGAGGTGGTTACCTCCTCGGACATCCAACGGAACAGAGGTTTATGACATTTCTCTCTCGCATGCTTCGTGCACTTGGGGAGAAATCTGGTGGATCTAGTACACCCGTTATCGCAGCTCCTTCACACCGACTCGCGACGGTCCCCAAGAACCTCTTTCCAGCGGCGTTACAAGATTTATTCTCTGCATATCATCACCTCATCTTAAAAGGCTTTTCCGCCGAGAATATCACTATCACAGGTGATAGTGCAGGCGGAAACTTGGGGTGCGTAATAATTTATTAAATTCTTCTCGTATTCGTATCTCACTTTGATTTATGTAGCTCTTATCCTCACGTATGTCATCTCGCAATCCGCTCTCCCAATGCCAGGACGCGTCGCACTCTTCTCCCCAAGCGCAGACCTCACTCTCGCCTCCCACACCTCCATACCTCATGACACCATACCTCTATCAAACTACCAAGCTTTTACTTCCCAATATCTAGGCAATTTCCCTGCCAACCACCCTCTAGCTTCAGGCATCCTAATTCCATTCACGGCAAGCTGGCCGGAGACATTGGTGATGACGGGCACAGCTGATAGTTGTGCTGAGAGCTCGCGGATAGTCGTGAGTCGTATCCAACAGGCGGGCGGGAGAGCTGAGCTTGTGGAGTATGCGGATTTGACGCATATGTGTTGGATGGTTCCTCAATTCTTCCCGCAGTCGGACAATGGGTTGGAGAGGCTTGCAGGTTTTGTATACAATTGAAGGAATTGTTAATGAGTGTATGCATGTAACATTACGCCTTCTGCTGCAAAGTGATCCATCGTGGTCATGCATAGTGGAGGGCACTTACGGATTTCTGTCATTGTACTTACTAGTAGCATCAAAGTGATTCTGGTCGTCTCTGCAAAACACCCTGCAAGTTCATCACACATCCAAAGACGCATCCATATCTATGCATCTACAGACGTACCGAAAACAAAAGCGTACTCATACCAGAGTACGAATATCACCACATAACACTACCACCCAAATAACAGATCCCCAACCTGCCCAAGCATGCCCCTCGCAGGACTATCTTGCGCATTAACGACCGGTACATGCACGGCGTGAGCAGATTTCTGGAGCACCGGCACAGGAGCTTTGCGAAACGCAGCCACAGACGGCGCAAGCCTGATCGGTGTCCCAACAGTAGCAGCACCATCCACTGCCATCGCATTTCCATCCGAATGCGCTTGTACTTGCGAAGTCTGGATTTGCACCCGCGGTGGGGAAGTGGACGTCGTAAAATCAGGTCCGCGGGGGTCCTGAGCAGAATCCTTCATGCATCGTGGGAGTCAGTACGCCGCTCGATATCGAAAAAAAAAGTATCTTACAGTCCATTTAACGCCAACCATCCAAGTTCCCCCTAAGACCTCCCCATTTCTCCTGACCGCACGCATGGCTTCTCCAGGGTCACGGAACCCGATTCTGAACGCGTTTACAATCTCTGAATTAGGCTCCGGTTCGGTGCTCGCACCAAGCGAGCGGAAATATTCTACGGTGAGAGAATATTTGTCTGGTGGATAGCCAAAGACAATAATATAGGTCGGTTGGTTTGGGGTGCTTGATTGGGTACGAGTTTGAGATTGGGAGGTGTTCAACGTAGAGGAGGAGTTTGAGAGGGAGAAGGGCTGTTAACGGGAGAGTAATTAAATAAAAGTAATCAGAATGAGAACGGGACGCACGCGCGAAGGGGGAAGAAACTGCCCGTTGGGACTCGCCAAAAGAAGACCCCTCACGGAATATATCATTGACTGAACTAGTCGGCGGCGCGTCCATGTCTGTGAACGCTTGCCTTTGCCTTGCAACAAACAGACTTTAGCATACTAGTATAAGAATTAAAAGGTAAACGTACGTGCTCGAGCTCTCAAACATCGACTCGGCACCAAAATGCGAGGCTCCACGGGACAAACCCTTGTTTATTTTTGCCTTTGTCTGCACGACGGGGATTTCGTCTGTATTTTGTGCGCTGGGAGACATGACCTATGCGCCTGATGCGTCAGTCCCGTTTCTGAACTCAGTGAACGGTCACTTACATTATGTTGCGCCACGGACTGCATGAATCATATTAAGAAGTTAAGGTGGTGGGAGATAGGACGAGCGTACCATCATGTAGCCTGGCTGGTAATGTGTCCTGGACTGCCCGAAGGTGTCAGTGAGAGACGTGCCGAGGGGGCCTGTGCCACTCGTGCTGCCCCAGGGATTATGGCTCGTGCTCTGAGCATGCGGATGTGGATGAGCATGGGAGTTTGTGCTCGTTGACATGGTCACTTTTCTAAGGATTCTTAATACGAATTAGATGCAGCAGGAGAGCAATGTCCAACAATTTGAGCAGAATTCGGGTTTGGTTCTTGTGTAGCTAGTTTTCCCACGCGGGTTTACACTATCTATGAGCACTACCACCACCCGCCTCGCCCACTCTCTTCGTGCAGGAACATTCAGACCTGCCAATCGCTCAGTTCCATCATCCAGTTCTACGCTCTTTCTTCGTACCAATGCGTCCGATCCTTCAAACCTAAGGTTCTCTCGCGTCGAGTCATCCGCCTTTGCCCGACCCTTCCATGCATCACACGCGGCGCACGAGTTTCATTTTGATACTCACCACTTCGTGCAACGGCTCGAGCGCGAGGGGCTCAACCGTGCACAAGCGGAAGGCATAATGGGTGCCATGGCGGAGGTCATCGACGAGAGTATACGGAATATGACGAGTAACATGGTCACGAAAGCTGAGCAGGAGAAGGTGGGCGCTACCACTCCCTCTCGCAGTGCTGCGTCACTCAACAGATAGGCAATTCGATCGCCCATTTCTCATTCGTCGTATTATTCGCTTCGCATTTCAGCATCAATACACCCAACAAGTCGATTTCGCACAGCTGAAATCTGAGCTGCAGCTTATTGAGAAGAACGACCTCGCTTCTTTGAAGGCTGATAATGACCGCTTGGTTGCGGATATGCAGAAGCTGAAGCAACGGCTACGTGAGGAGATCACGCGTACGCAAGCTGGCGTTCGATTGGATCTTAATTTGGAGAAGGGACGGATGCGGGATGAGAGCAGCGGGCAGGAGCTTAAGATCAAGGAGGTGGACACGAGAATTGAACAGGAGATTGCGAACTTGAGGACAACGATTCAGCAATCGAAGGTATGTTCTGAATTCTTCTTTTCGGCGAAGCTTGGATTTACTGAACTCTTGGGTGTTTAGGCGACGACGCTGCAATATCTTGTTGGATTTGGTATGTGCAAATTAAATACTTGACTTTAGGCTGGGATGCTGATGTTTTGCGTTTAGTGACTGGTTGTTCTGCACTTCTAATGGCTTACCTGAGATTCAGAGTATAATACGTTATATCATCATCGATACCGTTCCTTACACTCGAACTCGGAGGGCTTCGATTGTACCATGGATCGGGATCGTAACCTAACTTATCATTGCACTTATATAATTGTATGTTGCTTGTAAGCAGATACTACATAGATTCATAGATTCACGTTGCCTGCAGGCGCGAGCTCGAATACTGTTGTTGAAGTTACTCCACGTAATGAACCCCCTCCAGCCGAGCCGAGCCGCTGCCGGAAGCGGCTTTTTCCGCTATAGAATTGCTACTACTTCAGCTTCAAGTCGAACATCACTTAAGCTCGCTCTCGAAAGCTTGCGTCCCGAGGCCACTCATGAATACATGGATACTTGAGGAAACGGGCATATTATACAAATTGACATGATTTCAACTAGCAGTATCTAGCATTGCTCATCAACCGCTTGTCGCGCCTCTGGACCCAACACATCCAGCATCTTGTTCCTGGATCGCAATGCTGCCCTTTCCCTTCCCCCCTCCATTGGTTCTTCTTCGGCTTCGTCCTGTGCAATCAAAAAATCGAGGTAAGCTCGTTCCGCCGGATGAAGCATGTCGTCGAACGAGTCGTCAGAGGAGAGTACCGGACTTTCTTCATTGGATGATACCTCGAAATTAGTTGTATGACAGAGAGATGCAAACAGCGAAACATCCAAGGGTCCAACCGTTTCACTAAGCCGTATTTCCTCGACACGTCGCTCAAGGGCGGGACTCGGGGGTGTAGCTGACGAGTTTTCGACGTCAAGGCCCCTTGGGAAACCGATGGATAGATCGTCTTCCCTCTCTTCATTATTTCGCCTTAGGAGCGCGTCGGTATCTTCACTCTCGTCTAGCTCCGGGAGCGAGCATGCGCTGTCGTCGCTAACGCTGGTCGGGAGCTCTTCCTTACCTTCCTTGCCAGGCGATTCATTAGACCGCAAGAGGCCCAAGACAACGCGTTGCGTATATCCCCCAGCGACCACGCGCCCCTTGTTCCGCTTCTCTACCATCCCCATACCTGAAGCGAGCACACGGCCAAGGTCCTTAAGTGGCCCAATAATGGTGGCAGCGCTTGCATTGCGGCTACATGAACGCTTTGCACCTATAGCCTTAGTGTCCTCGAGGATATTATCACCTTGAACATTCTCTTGATCTTGTGATAGGCATGGAGAAAGGTTCTTATCGTGGTGCACCTGTCCCACGTGATTGCGCGTGAGTGTGACGCCAAGGACCTTTCCAGCTTTGTGATCTGATTTACTGAAGGACTTTCGTTCGGCGGGGGTTAGTTTGTTGGTAGAGGAGAGTGCCAGAGCATCGGTGATACCCATCGAAGTGGCACTATCACAGCGCGTCATACTTGTTGTGGTGGACATCTTTTCTATGATTATGCAGAGTATGACTCGAGTCAAGGAAGAGCGAACGATTTGGGGTGGCCTCCACGGACACTGAGGCGCATATTTATATCCCGAATACTGTGGACGGCTTTGACCACCGTCCACAGTGTGGAAGGTTAGTGGATGCGTCTTTGTTCATCGTTCCAGTGTGCGTGTTGTCTCACGTGACTATGGCCCTAAATGTACGCAACAAAGCGGCATCACTGAAGTACTGACGGGCGCACCCACGTTGGACTCGTCCTGACAGATGCTATCGCATTATGATTCGTAATCATTAACTCCGCTATAGTATGATTGACGCTCGATACAGCCTTTAAGGTGCTATTTTTGCGACTCTTTATCCGAAGAGTCCAGGGGTATCTATCTCTGGTACCCCAGGTGGGTATAGGTGGGGGTACCTGAGGGACACCGGGGTTTATGTTATTCGCTATGTGCTACGTGCCAACGACTTATCAAGCAAACTAACACGTCTTGGCGCCTATAATCCTTCCCCATGCTCTTCAGTCATATTCTCGCTTTAGGGATATCGTGCATTATTGTCCTGCTTGTCGTTTCGGGTCTGACTCGCAGACGTGTCTACCCTTTACCTCTGCCGCCTGGCCCTCGTCCGTTACCAATTTTGGGGTAACGCGTTGCAATTAGATACTAAACGACCTTGGCTCACATATACTGCGTGGGGAAAGACATATGGTTGGTAGCAAACCAATGGCCTCTTTGCCAAGCTCTTGGATTCAATTTCATACCTGATCATAGGAAAAATCATTCACTCCCGCTTACTTGGGATCGAGTTTATCATCATAAACTCCGAAACCATCGCGCGGGAGTTGCTGGACAAGCGTTCTGCGAATTACTCTACTCGCCCCGTTATTCGCACCAATGAATTGTATGCATTGCCGGTTTTCATTCAATTTGTTCTTCATCCACTGACAATGCAGAGCTGGACTGGCTTTCAATACTGTGCTCCTTCCATATGGCGAGACTTTACGGCGACATCGCAAGATCTTCCATCAAGTCCTCAGGGCCGAAGTCTCGGATTCGTACCATGAGATGTACTCTCGCCACGCAAACGATCTAGTCATCAATCTCTTGAATGCCACTAGTGACCTGCGACAACAGACTGAAGGGTTCGTACCTAATTCAGTGGTGTCGTTGTGATGTATGATCCGGTTGACAAAATCCTTGTGACAGATACACGGCATCCCTAATCATGGCCGTGACATACGGATATCTTGCTCATGGACATGAAGATCCATTTCTTACCCGCGCACGCGAACTCTTTCATATTGGCGAACGTATTGTGTCTCCCGAGAAGGCTGCCATGTTCACAGCATTTCCTTTCCGTGAGTGCCTCTGTTTACTACATAATTTTGAGCATTCAGCATGAGGTTGCAGTTGAAAAGCTGCCATTTTGGTGCTTCGGTGGAGCACTTGCCCAGATGGGACGCAGCAGAGAATTAGCTCAACAGCTTTTGAACGAGCCCTTTGACGAAGTGAAGGCCCAGATAGTATGTTTTCGTAGAGTTGTGGATGTAAACTTCACCTGATCTGTTCGCGTGAAGGCAAATGGTACTGCTTCACATTCATTAGTCGCTGACTTTCTCAATCAAGTTCACGACTACGCTGACGAAGACACGATGAAGGCTGTTGCGACGACGGGATACGTGGGTAAGATTTCTTTCTACCAAGACTGAATTCATCCATTGACGCGAATACGGCATCTTAGCTGGCATGGAGACCGTGAGTCGCTACTTAAGATCCTGATTTTTACTTTGATGTCCCGCAGACTGCAACTGCATTGCAGATATTTGTGCTGGCTATGGTGCTCTATCCTGACGTCCAAGCCCGTGCTCGTGCAGAAATTGATCAAGCTGTGAGGCATGATAGAATGCCGTGCCTTGATGATAGGGCGTCACTGCCCTACCTTGATGCCATTCTCCGCGAGGTCCTGAGATGGTATCCTTCCTCCCCCCTAGGTCAGTCTGCACAATTATAACTCTGAATAATTGACCCCCGGCACAGGAATTCCACATGCGACATCAAATGATGATGTTTATGACGGGTACTTCATACCCAAAGGTTCGAAGTCGTATGAGTCGAGGTTGCCGTTGACTCATCTGTAGTTTGATCAGGTGCGATAGTAATAGTTAATCAGTGGTATGTCACGGCGGAGTCCATATAACGGCGGCTTGAGCTAAGCATGGCTCAGGGCACTATCTCGGGATGAAGACATATATCCCGATGCATCACGCTTCGATCCTAGTCGCCATCTAACAGTTGACGGAAAGTTGAAGGACCCTTTCGTCAATCATTTTGCCTTTGGTCATGGCAGGTGAATATTCCACACTTATTATCATTTTCAATTATTCACTGATCCTTGCAGGCGTATCTGTCCTGGTAGGCTGGTTCATGGCTCATCTGGCAGTGTTGAGAATGACGAATGCCCTTGGCAGGTCGTTGGTTTGCAGAGAACAGTCTGTGGACTGCAGTTTCTGCCATACTCGCCGTCTTGCGCATCGATCATGCCAAAGACTCAAACGGGGACAGGATTGTGGTGAAGCCGGAGTTCAGTGCCGGCACGATGATGTAAGTGACCTAGTATGCATTAAAGGATCTGCGGTTGACTCTGCCGAAGTCGCCCTGAACCATTTCACTGCTCGTTTGAAAGCGTGAACACAGCGAGAGAAGGACATCTTCGAGCGATGATGAATTTGAAGTAGGGTTCGTTTGTACTTGCGGTGGTCTGTCATATAATAGCACACGAATGTACAACAGCGCAGAGTGCACTGGATGGCAACGTTTTGCGGCCTCTGACTGTCTCTCATGAACAAGATAATTGCTTTCGAGTCCGTTGACTCTTCATAACAAATCTGATCCGCAGTGAAAACTCTGATGGGAGACGTGAGCAAAGTAGGGAGCAGACACTTTATATGGATAACAAAACCCCTGACAGGCAGGCGAGCAGCTCCCATCTAGCTACTGGAGCGAACCCTATATGAGGCTATTTCAATCCCATCGCTGGCGCTCTAAACCGAACACCTACTCTGAACAGTCCAAAGGACCTTTCTCAACCTCAAACATGACATACTCATCTTGACTGTGAATGTGAATCATTTACGACAACGCACTCGATAGTTATAATTTACGCACATCTTTACATTCCTCTTGTATCGTAATGGGGGTTAAAGTGATATCAAGAGACTCTCCTAGCGCCAAAGGATGAGGTAGGGTGATGTAGATATTGCGCTTGGACATAGAGCTTGGTATCACTGGTGAATGAGTTCAGGGGAGACTGTGTATTCAAGGCCACGGAATTCGACCCTCCACACCCGACTTTGAATCTGCACGTCAGTGCCTGGTTGGCACCCTTCGCTTTGAGGTAGTTGAAGCAACGGTACGGCAAGGGTTGCAGAAACTTGCCTTGTTCGGTTGGCTGAGAGCTCAACCCTAAATCCTCTCAACAAGGTCTGTCCACTAACGGAGACTTAGCAGCGTCGGATCAGTCACAGGATAACAGCTTGGAGCAATGAAATGTGATCCGCCTGACAATGAGCCTCTGCCAAGATATGAACATGCACACCGCGTGAAACCGCATATGTATCGTTCAGGCGTGGCCCACCGTGACGTTGGGGTGATTCGAGCCGAGCACCGAAACGAACTGGTCGCGCTCAAGCGAGAAGGTGGCAGAATGATAATTACACGTACAGCGTCAACGAAAAAATCATATTGGATTGCCAGGGATGAAGGAACCCTTCAAAATTCAAGCATGAGAAACTGCTTCAGGGTTTCGCGTCCAAAAGGTGGTTTATCCTCCTAGACTGACTCAATTAGCGGGAAGATGAGTGGTCTTAGCCTAGTAAGACTTCAGTCAGTCTATTAAGTAAGTGGTCAATAGTCTTGAATGCATATAGCGATGAGAATTAAAACACCCAGTGGGGGCGCTGAAATACAGCTGGGACGCTGATGTGAGTGATCTACTATAGGGCTATGAGTCGCAACCAAGCGAGTAAGGTACCTCGTGGGAAACGGTTTGTTTGCAAACCTCAATTGCCAACTGGCAACGTGACATGATGCCATTCACCGGTGCAGTTGTGCACATGGGTCGCCGCAATGAATTTGCTGCTTGTGAGTCATTGCATGACCGGTCACCCGTTGCGAGTCTACGTACCCATACAGCTAGTCATATTTCAAACAAGTCAAGTCGCTCTGTTTCGTGACCGTCATCCCAGGGCCTGTCAGTCGGAGTACATGCGGGATAAAGGAGATATCCGCACAATAAAACATGAATGGGAGGTAGCGATAATCAGTCTACAGGATATGGGTCAACACAACAGCGTGAAAGTGTGAAATGATACGATATAGAGAAAAGCAAACGAGAAGTGGTGCATAATACGATTGTCCGAGTCGACGGCTGAGAACGTACTAACATATAGTCGGAATCTATTAAGAAACGAGTCATTCGATGGGTCACACCAATTGAAGTATAGGTCCAATCTCTCCATGACCTTTCCTTTTGTCGCTAGTGGTCTTTCGGCGTCAGCAACATCCACTTTTTCCGTTGAACTTCCAGACCGTTGGTACCAAAGTACCTCTCGCACTCGAAGGCCCATTCACCGTTGGCGCGTACACAATTTCCCAAACCATCACAGTACTCCCTAACCTGCGAATCGATGGGCTCTCCCCATTTCGGAATGGCTGCCCTGGCCTCGAAGTACTTCTTCTCGAGTTTTGTATGGTGCTCCGTCGCCCATAACATGGCGCCGTTGACATCCGTATCAAACTCGCGCATGACAATTGTTACTATGTTGTGACTGTCATCTCCGCACGCTTGCTCTTTATTGTAGGATGTGACGTCCTGTAATATCATGTGAATTTGATGAGTGTCATTTGCGATATGTCCGTAAAAAGACACTGACATTAGCGAGAGCGATCATGTCTGTTGATGCCACTACCATATCCTCAATTGTCGGGTGCGAAATTACTTCATCTGGGATATCGAGACCCAGCTCCAAGAAGACGAACGAAGGCCCTGCTGCGACCGTTTTGCGGCGCACGTCGAAATAACTTTGGATGTCACGAATGTGATGTCCGCTTCGGTCCATGGCCTGCTGCACTATGCCCTCTATAAATTCACCGAATGTCGCGATGAATCGCTTCTGGGATTGAGCACTAGCGTTACATATAGTACGTTCCCAGAATCTGTTGGTGTGGTATTTAGGTTCCAACTTTGAATATCAGATAGTAAATCACCCACTGGCGAACGATTTCTCCGCCGACCCATTCCCCTTTGGGACGTGGCTTATAAGGGTGGTGCAGAGCATTCATTATGATGTCCTTTTGTTGACGGACCTCGACCTCTTCCAAGCCATCTGAGTTATCATCTACAAAACCGAAAATAATCATGAGATCACAAGCGCTGCGAACGTGTTCTGTGTGGATCCAACTCTTCAGTAAGTCGTTGACTGGTATACCTTTAGAGATCACCTTTGGACGCGTTTGGGTAGCATAAACATGCAAGAAGACCTGACAAAAGCGTGAGTACATCGACAGTATTATTATGAGCCATGTCTTACTGCATTTGTATCCATCGAAGGCTTGTTGGGCTTTGGGGCTGAGGACTTTAAAGCTTTCAAGCCAAGCAGATGATTCAGCATCAACTTCAGAATAGTGCTGATTGAGAAGACGGGGAAATGGCCATCTTGCGAGTAGGTCAGGTATGAAGATTTTCTTCAGAAGTTGATCACATCCATCGCAGGCATTGACAGTCACAGATCCCCCAGCAATGGGACGATCAGAAGCAACCATATTGTGTTGGTCCATGGTCAACTGTGCTCCTAGACCTGACACTAGATGCGCGATCCAGGAAGGGAGAGTGTTGAACATAGAAATTGACATGCTGAAAGAACTAGGTTTGTATCCATACATGCACTGACCAGATTTTATAGCTGCGAATCAGTGCTGCCGCTGTCGAGTCGGTCCTGGCCCATCTGTACAACACCCCTCTCGCTTAGCAGTGAAAGAAGTTACGAATGCTTAAGCGTTTACGGCTCGCTGATGCGGCTTACCGATTGGTGGAGATCGTGCAACAGTGAGGTAAAATTCGGTAGAACTAGATTGCCTTATCCCGATGCCGAGATAGTTTATGTAACACATTAATCGGCGAAAGCTCACCTTCCTGCGTCAAAATTGTGAGAGTTCTGACAGCCTGCAGTATTCCGTGTGCAGCAGCCTGCTGATCAGCATTTGCGAGATCTTTAGCCCTCACATTTACAGCGTGCTTGCCAGTGCACGCAGTCCCCTGATGTGTTATCATTCGAATCTTTCTTGGTTCCTTCGAACTCGGACTTGGCACAAACATTACAGCGGTTTCTGGTACCCTGTGATCAGTCGCACCTTACTCGGTTTCTTCAAACCCTGCACAGACAAAGTCCGAATACCCTCACGTCATTCACAATGAAAAGACCCCAGGCTCTGCTCGACATGTTCGCTTCAGTTTAATGCTGCGTTTATTATCAAGCGGTATACTGAAGATATTACGCGCGCATGTCCAGCTACCATGAACGGCAATGAGCAGGCTCACCGCAATATTAACCGTGACGGCGTGAACTTGACACTTCTGAAGTTCTAGGTGGCATTATGAGAGGTCGAACCTTTGACGGCCGAGCAGCGCAGAGCATTGATGTTCATGTGTCATTGGGCATTGGCACTCGTGATTGTCACAGGTTCCACTCATGTTTAACGAATTGACAAAGGTTTCATTGTCATATCCTAGCAAGCGTGACATGTCATATTTATTTGATGAAGGTCTCATGGTTTAGGGCAAGCGGAGTCCCCCAGCTCCATGCTCGGGGGACTCGGTCACATTTTATTATAGACAGAGTCGCAGAATACAAAGCATTGAGTAGACGCTAATAGCCGGAAACTCGAGAGAAAGAAAATGAGACTAACTAGAGAGATTGAGACTCGAGAGAGACGAGACGAGCTAGGGTCTCGGTTATCCAAGCCCCGGTAAAGGTAGCGAGGCAGAATTTTGAAAAAGTCGCACTGCAGTTTGTTATGCAACACACTAGTGTAATGAGCAAACAAAGTCAAGCGAGTTGAGGCGATACCTCTACAGGCGTGCTCAATTCTTACGATACGTCCAACACAAAGTTCGTAATCCGCACACCCCACGTGCACACAATATGAAAAGACCCTCCGTTCAACATCTTCGCTTCAGCTCGCGAAGTTCAAATCCCGTTCCTGTGATCGGGTATCTCAGATCGAATCTGATTTTAATTAAGCAAAGAGTACTTTGAGCACTCTTACAATGTGTAACACTGGTAGGTCCAAGTACAGAACTCCAGTTGATTGCTTCTGATATTTTCGTTGATCTCAGCTCAATATATGAAACGAATCTGTTAGCTCATGATGCTGGTAGCGAGCGCTAGTGATGCGGAGGTTCGGTTCTGAACCGCGATTCGAACCAGACCACGGTCCAGTTCAACGTTCAGAGTATAGGCTGAACTGGACCGATGACGGTCCGGTTCAGCGTTCAGCAAATATTCCTTGAACGCGTCCGAACGCGTTCGAACATTTTTTGAACGCTGATATTTGTGTTCTATCTGAAGTGTGAGGCACAACCACGTGAATAGAATGAGGTCAACACATGGCCGAGGGAATCGAGCGGAGCATAGCCTCGAGCTCATATATCTACATCACATATCACCCATTCGACGGAGGCACTGAACGAACGGTTTTTCCTTTCCCCCCACCAAACCTCACCAAACGATCGGTTCTAGTGCCAGGTATCACGGCGACGGAGATGAACGTTAGGGGCGCGTGACGCCGAGACTGAGATTCGATCCGAGTCTGAGATACCCGATCACAGGAACGGAATTTGAACTTCGCGAGCTGAAGCGAAGATGTTGAGCAGAGTCTGTCTTTTCATATTGTGAATGACGTGGGGTGTGCGGACTTTGTGCGCTCATTTAATGTTTGTGCCAAGGAACCGAGAAAGGTGCGAATAATAACATGGTTACCATAAACTCTTTGACGGCATCAGTCATCTATGCCACACTAGATCATTCTTATGGTCATGGTATTCTTGTTCTTGCCATACATGTGTTGTAATTAGGGTTGAGCACAGGTGGACCCGCGGGTCGCTGGAGCCACACCTCACCCGCTACGGTACGGGTGTACACCGACCCGCCAATTCTACGGATATGAGCGGTGTTTGCGGTATACCGCGGTTTTTTCACAGACCCGCGGGTCGTATAGTATTTTCGAGTCCTGGAGACAGCAAACACCTCCGATTCTCATCTACATTTTTGTGCTGCGCAGGGGAAGAAGTGGCAAAAATGACCATTCACGCCTACAGCAACATGATTGATGTCAAAAAATGCATAGACAGGTAAACACCAATTCTTCTTGAGTTTTTCTGTATTGAATTGGTAAGGCACTGACATAGTATAGTAGTATCAGCAGAGGTCCCGAATCCAGGTGTTCTTCGTTATCAGACTCCGTCGTCGCCGTGTCAATAGCATTGACATCAATTACAGATGGCTCGGGCGATGATGACGGTGATATCGAAGACGATTTTGACAAGCATGAATGAATGGAAGACTCGTCAGCCTTCTTTAAGCGGCACACAATCCACTGGAACATCAGCTTAACCAACACAGTAGGTTGTCACTTCGAATCGACATTGCTACTCGATGAACCTGCGGGTCGAAGCTTCGAAAGTATGGGTGGATGTAGATTTGATGTTCTGGGGACGAGTGACATGGTGACGACAGCTCCAAGTCCGGGAGGTTGAAAATTTTGACCCTCGCACCCTCGGACAAGCTGAGGGTTCCACACCCGTCCAACACCGCAAACCGGCACGGTGTACGTGCGGGTCTCCATAACCTACACCGTACCCATACCCGCTACACCCGTCAGCGACACACCGCGGTTTTACTCGTACCGTGTTCTACCCTATGTATCCATCCCATTCGCTGTTGAGCCTGTCGGTACAATATTACCAGGGGTGGCGGGACCCCTCAAAATTCCTACCTCAGGGTTTCGCGTCCATAAGGTGGTCTGTCCTCCTAGACTGACTCAATTAGCAGGAAGATGACTAGTAGTCATAAGCTCAGTCAGTCTTGAATACCTATAGCGACGTGAATTGAAATACCAAGTGAGGGCACTCTATATACGCGCTTGCATTGCGGCTACATGAACGCTTTGCACCTATAACCTTAGTGTCCTCAAGGATATTATCACCTTGAACATTCTCTTGATCTTGTGATAGGCATGGAGAAAGGTTCTTATCGTGGTGCACCTGTCCCACGTGATTGCGCGTGAGTGTGACGCCAAGGACCTTTCCAGCTTTGTGATCTGATTTACTGAAGGCCTTTCGTTCGGCGGGGATTAGTTTGTTGGCAGAGGAGAGTGCCAGAGCATAGGTGATACCCGTCGAAGTGGTGCTATCGCAACGCGTCATATTTGTTGTGGTGGACATTTTTTCCATGATAATGCAGGGTATGACCGGAGTCAAGGAAGAGCGAACGATTTGGGGTGGCCTCCACGGACACTGAGGCGCATATTTATATCCCGAATACTGTGGACGGCTTTGACCACCGTCCACAGTGTGGAAGGTGAGTGGAATCTGGATGTGTGTTTGTTCATCGTGCACCAGTGGCGTGTTGTCTCACGTGATTATGGCCCTAAATGTGCGGCATCACTGAAGTGTGATGGGCGCAACCACGTTGGACTCGTCCTGACAGATGGCCTAACGCATTATGCATATTATGATTCACAATCATTAACGCCGCTCTAGTATGATGACAGTTAGGGGATATTGTTCAATGTTGCAACGCTGACCAATGTCTAGAATTTCACCTGCACATATGACGCTCGATACAGCCTTTAAGGTGCTATTTTTGCGACTCTTTATCCGGAGGGGTATCTATCTCTGGTACCCCAGGTGGGGGTACCTGAGGGTGATACACCGGGGTTTATGCCATCCCTATGTTACATGCCAAAGACTTATCAAGCAAACCAACATGCATGTCTTGGCGCCTATAATCCCTCCCCATGTTTTTCACTCATATATTCGCTTTAGGGATATTGTGCATTATTGCCCTGGTTGTCGCTTCGGGTCTGACTCGCAGACGTGTCTACCCTTCACCTCTGCCGCCTGGCCCCCGTCCGTTACCAATCTTGGGTAATGCGTTGCAATTGGATACTAAACGACCTTGGCTCACATATACTACGTGGGGAAAGATATATGGTCGGTAGCAAACCAATGACCTCTTTACCAAGCTCTTGGATTCAAATTCATGCTTGGTCACAGGGAAAATCATTCACTCCCAAATACTTGGGATCGACTTTATCATCATAAACTCCGAAACCGTCGCGCGGGAGTTGCTGGACAAGCGTTCTGCGAATTACTCTACTCGCCCCGTTATTCGCACCAACGAATTGTATGCATTGCCGGTTTTCATTCAATTTGTTCTTCATCCACTGACAATGCAGAGCTGGACTGGCTTTCAATACTGTAGTCCTTCCATATGGCGAGACTTTACGGCAACATCGTAAGATCTTTCATCAAGTCCTCCGGGCCGAAGTCTCGGTCTCGTACCACAAGATGTACTCTTGCCACGCAAACGATCTAGTCATCAATCTCTTGAATGCCACTAGTGACCTGCGGCAACAGACCGAAGCGTTCGTATCTGATTCAGTGATATCGCTGTGATGTATGGTCCAGTTGACAATCAATCCTTGTGACAGATACACGGCATCCCTAATCATGGCCGTGACATACGGATACCTTGCTCATGGACATGAAGATCCATTTCTTACCCGCGCACGCGAACTCTTTGATATTGGCGAACGTATTGTGTCTCCCGAGAGGGATGCCATGTTCACAGCCTTTCCTTTCCGTGAGTGCCTCTGTTGACTACATCATTTTCAACATTCAGAATGAAGTTGCAGTCGAAAAGTTGCCGTTTTGGTGCTTCGGTGGAGCATTTGGCCTGATGGGACGCAGTAGAGAATTAGCTCAACAACTTTTGAACGAGCCCTTTGACAAAGTGAAGGCACAGATAGTACGTTTACGCAGAGTTGTGGATGGAAATTTCACCTCATCTGTTTGCGTGAAGGCAGATGGTACTGCTT